CCCCCACATATTCCAGTGCTTCCTCTCTTCACTCATCTTGATCGGCGTGGAGAAAGCTGGCAGACAGAACAGAACAGAGAAAGGAGAAAGATAAGGATGGTGTCGGTAGTAGAATCTTTTTGACTGTTTGGCAATTACATGTACCTGAAACAGCCTTTGTTTTTTGTTCGTTTATTGCGATTGTGAAGTTTGGGACACTTCTCCCCATGGCTTAACACAATCTACGTGTAAGTTGTTTGTTATATACCCCATTCTGAACAAACAGCCATTTCGTAGATAGATTGCAAGCTTTTTTTTGGGGGGGGGATATGGGGTTAACTGGTCAAGAAACACGAGATTGCGCAATACCCCTTTTCACACGTCAATGCGCCTGTTGGCTGGATAGGGGTTGGGGTAGTTTTAACCCAGCCAAAACGTAATCTGCACAACAAAATCGCATTTTCCACCATGAAAAACTTTCCAAAATAACAAAATCAGGTGTCATTTGAATTCAGAGAAGTCGGATGACGTCATGATTATGAAACCTTGCCAATTTATTTGTGGTTGCTCACGGAATGCATAGGAGCAATTTGGTAAAATTTCTATTGAAGGTTTTAAAATTTGAAGAGGTTAAACTCCTTTTGATGTGCTGCTAGAGGGCGTCCTTTTGGGGTATGACATCCAACTTATGTTTTCTGTGTTTGGCATTCCTCACTATTAACACTTCCATAATGTATTTGTCTGTAGTAAAATGCTTCTGTTTTTTAAGATAAAAGTCTATTGCACTTCTGGTAATACCGGAATTGAAGGTCAAGTGGTTTTGTACCCGGGAATAAGAAGTATTGCTCAAGGCAACGTCTACAACCTCACGAAAAAATGAACAAGACGCCCTATTTAGTTCAAGAGATACAGTATGTATAGCTCAAACTATGTTGTCAAATTGTGTCCTTAAATTGCTTGTAATTTGATAACTGATGACGTAACAAATTTCACAACATCTTCGTTGCATGTTACAAGTTCACACCAGGTTTTATGATCATAGAAATTCATAAATACATAAGAGAGTCTACGCATTCCTATTGGTCGAGAGCCTGTCACGTGGCCGGTCTTAAACGTTTAATAAAGACATGGCTGGCTGGTCTTAAACTCTTTTCCTGTGTCACATGAAATTTGGACTCGCATGAAATCTGGTGCCTTTTAACTTTTCATTGGTTGAACATTCACATTCCTCACGCATGCATGCGCAATTCTACAAGTGAATCAATATTTCATGGTCCGAAATTCACACTACACCAGTCCAGCTAAATTTTGCGTGACGCGCATGCCGATGCCCTTATAAGGTAACGAGTTGTGGAAGGTCATTCCATATTATAGTCAGAGGGATCTTTCATAAAACATGAAGTAAAATTGTTGAAAAAATGGTTGGCAACGTCTAGTTTTTGACTTGTTTCGATTTTTTGACCGAAAAGATTAATTTTTTTGACCGAAAATGTATTTATGAATGGGAATAAATATGTTTTCGGTCGGTATTAAACACTCTGTTTAAGACCAGTGGGAGTCTGGATGGGTGATAATTCCCCTCAGCCCATCCAGACTACCATCGGTCTTAAACAGAGTACTCCTGAACACACATTTGTTCCTTTACTATACACGACCTGGCATTAGTATTCTGTCATTGTTACTATTTCCTTAAAACATCTGTATGGCCCAATAAGGGGGTCAGACAAGTTGACCGTTGAGACAACTCGACCGTTGAGACAACTCGACCGTATGTGCGATAAATGGAAAGACAAGTCGACCGTTGAGACACGCCTCGCATGTTTTGGGCCTAGTTTCGGGGATAGTACCGGGGATTTTGACGGCGGCGTTTGGGAGTGATGACACATGAGTTTTTGTTGCATATAACAGAGCCGATATAGCGCAGCGTGATTGTTCGTGCACATCGTTCATTTTTTTCAAGGCCACGTGCGCGCATCCCCGGTCAACGTGGCCGTACCGTGCACGGTGACTACTCCTAGAACTATGAGGCTCCGCGTGAGCGGAGCCTCATAGATCAAGAACCCCGCAAAATTGCCTGCAGCACAAAACACTAATAAAGTACAAAAACGTCCATCAAAATGCAGCCATTTCACACAGAACCGCTGCACAGTTTGCCCCGTCAAGCACGTCATTTCGCTTGTACCGTACCCCCCGCGGCGCGCTCCGAGCGAACCGAAAATCATCGCTCGATCATATGCGTGCACGTTTCAAGTGTCAGGTTGGCTCAGTGCGGAAAGGGCATATTTTTCATCATTTTGGCCTAAAAACCGACAGAATCCACCTATGTTAGTTCCGCACAAGATACGTGAGTATGTCAAGAGATAAAGTACGGAGTATAGGGGCAAACTGTGCAGCGGTTCTGTGTGAAATGGCTGCATTTTGATGGACGTTTTTGTACTTTATTAGTGTTTTGTGCTGCAGGCAATTTTGCGGGCTTCTTGATCTATGAGGCTCCGCTCACGCGGAGCCTCATAGTTCTAGGAGTACACGGTGACATCGTTTGTGCCGGGCCTGTGCGCCCATTTGCCGCGCTGGTCGACGTGCCCGCATGCCGGCCCGGTCCTCGCGGCCGGGCCGGGCGCACCGGCCCAACGCGACGCCCTCTGTACATCGAGTATGCCCGCGCCGCACCCATGATCAGTCTTATCTTGCCACAGATTTGTGCAACTTTTTCTGCTCCATGTGTACATGTATTCATTTCCATTAAGTCGAGCAGTCTCAACGGTCGAGTTGTCCCGAGTTGAGTTGTCTCAACGGTCGACCTGTCTCAACGGTCGAGTTGTCTCAACGGTCGAGTTGTCTCAACGGTCGACTTGTCCCGAGTCGAGTTGTCTCAACGGTCGACTTGTCTGACATTCGCCCAATGCTATTGGGCCATTTTTTAATTACTTGACTCACAAATTTTCAGATTCGGGCGACTAGTGGATTTCACCAGTCACGACTAATTTCAGTAGTAGCTACTCAATAATGGCACACAACTAGTTGACCATTCAGAAGTTGAGTCGTGACTACCAATACACTAGGCCCTATACTATAGTTGGGTGTCGGACGCTTCGCCCCATTTCCACATCGCCCCATGTCACTTCGCCCCTAACCACTTCGCCCCATCCCCACTTCGCCCCATCCCCACATCGCCCCATCTCCGCTTCGCCCCATCCCCACTTCGCCCCATCCCCGCTTCGCCCCATCCCCACTTCGCCCCATCCCCACTTCGCCCCATGTAGTATAAAAAAGGGAAGGCTAGGGGTGCAGACCAAATAAACTGCCTAAGACCCCAGATAATAAATGCTCCCAATTCTAGAAACTCAGGAAAAATACAAACTCTCTGATGAGGTGCTCGAGACACAGATGAGAGAAATGATGGCTTAAATAAAATCATCAGCCGCTGGATTCAAAAGAATCCCGTAGGTATGGGTCAGTGAGTTCAAAGGAACTCACTGCCTTGAGGAAAATGTTCCGTCAAAATTTGTCTGATATGTGAGACTTACAACTTCATTGATGAGATTGGTTCCTCCAAGAGTGAAATTAGGATGTCAAAGGTATTGTTGTTCTCAGATAAGTGGGAGACGGGTTGGTATAGCCGGGTTGGGAACAAAGTTGGATCTTTTACTTCAAGCTTTTTTCTCGGTAGGGGAGAGCCTAGCTTGAGAGGTTGGTTATGAATTGTTCATTTGGTGATGGGCTAATTCTTTCCGTTGGTTAGCAATTAGTGAATCTATTGAAATAGTTTTTTTTTAAGCCAAAAAAATAGATGAGATTTTTTTTTTTACATGTAACGGCTGGGGCGAAGTGGGGATGGGGCGAAGTGGGGATGGGGCGAAGTGGGGATGGGGCGAAGTGGGGATGGGGCGAAGTGGGGATGGGGCGATGTGGGGATGGGGCGAAGTGGGGATGGGGCGAAGTGGTTAGGGGCGAAGTGACATGGGGCGACGTGGAAATGGGGCGAAGTGTCCGACATTCCTATAGTTTGTTGTATTGGTAAACTAGTGGACTTGTTGCACAGCACTAGTCGCACTAGCCCGACTGCGTCTGGCCGTACAGTACTATCGCAAGCTCTGTAGTACGGCCAGACGCCCGATGCTTCCACAGAGACTGAATTTTGTTGGCCGCCGATGTAGCGATTTTGTTACATCTTTCGATCGCGATTATCTTTTCATCCAGGACACAAATTTCCGAAGTTAAGGTTCGTAGTCGTAGAGCAACTCATGCCTTTTCGAAAAAAACGTTGTTTGGTCTCAATATTTTCATCCATCTGGCCACAAGACGAATTTCAGTCATCAGATTCCACAAATATCGTCCCCCATGCGATCCCCCATGCGATTTCAAAATGGCGGCCGCGCTGTAATGTATGCAATATGCAGGCGCGCCCGCGCAAACTCATGAATATGCATAATTAGTCTGTGACATATGACCTCGTGTTTTTTGGACGTGCGTGCAGCGGGGCCGTACGGTCATACGTCACAGACTAATTATGCATATTCATGAGTTTGCGCGGGCGCGCCTGCATATTGCATACATTACAGCGCGGCCGCCATTTTGAAATCGCATGGGGGATCGCATGGGGGACGATATTTGTGGAATCTGATGACTGAAATTCGTCTTGTGGCCAGATGGATGAAAATATTGAGACCAAACAACGTTTTTTCAAAAAGGTATGAGTTGCTCTACGACTACAAACCTTAACTTTGGAAATTTGTGTCCTGAATGAAAAGATAATCGCGATCGAAAGATGTAGCAAAATCGCTACATCGGCGGCCAACAAAATTCAGTCTCTGTGGAAGCATCGGGCGTCTGGCCGTACTACAGAGCTTGCGATAGTACTGTACGGCCAGACGCAGTCGGGCTATAGTCGCACTAGTGGGGCTATAGTCGCACAGGCCTACGGCCTACCGCATGCACCGACATTTAATTTCGGCTCGCGCTGTAGTTTCAGGGCAATAACTAGGCACTGAAGCTGCGGGGAAATTTACAAAAAGACTTACTGTTATTATCCTCCATGTCTTCCGCTGGAAGAGCATTTTTGAGATCCGCTTGGGGGGAAGACATGATGGAAGAGATTAGCGGCGCGGTAACTATCCACGACCGGTGACCACGCCACGCGCTGTGCTGGCACAACGATCGTTTGGTCGTCGGTGGTCTTGGCTTGGCACAAATGGGACTGGAGACTCTGCAGCTTGAGCTAGCGCACTTCCATGCAAAGATGTTTTAATGATCTTTATTACTCTGGCGCTCTCAAGCTCAGCTCTTAATCGATCAGCCCATGGATTTACCTCCATGATCATGCTCAGAGATCGCCATTCTGTGTGACATGTGACAGCATGCACGCACTACTGCACTATATATAGCATAAACTAGCAGGCCCAGGTACGGTAGGTAGTATGGCGCGCGCGGTGTTGATTTTTCCCCTGGTAATTTTCAGCCGCGCCAGGGTGACCGTAACGGCATGGCAAAATTCTGCTAAATACGTTCAAAAATCTGCCAAAATTCCCAAGAATTCTCGAAATACACTAAAAACACTCAAAATCACATGCAGATGTTGTATTTTCTTAATTAAAGTTCAATTATATTATAAACAATCTGTAGGCACATAAAAATGTTATGAAATACATAGCGTAAATTTCAGGTGAAATGCCGAACATGGTTGCGTCAAGACAAAGTCGGATTCCCATGACCTAGACCAGCCAACCTGTCCCATTTTGCAAGGGTTTGTTTGAAAAAGATTTAAGATTTTTTTATACAAATGTACCAATTTTTTTCAAATCTTCCAAATTTTCCTATTGAATAACCATTTTGCAAAATCCTGCCAGAAATCTGCCCATTCTGTCAAATGTTGTGTCGAACTAATTTTTCAACCCCAAAAAAGGTCGAGGTTGGCCGAAAATCAGCTAAAACGGTCACGGCTTGACGGGCGCCACCTAATGTCGGTAGACTCGGTACGTGCATGTTTGATTTTAGCTTGCAAAGTGACCGTTTCAGCCGATATTCAGCTAGATCTGACAGATTTTTGGGGGAAAGAATATAATCTGTACTGGTTCCTTGGGTACAGAATTGAGTTATTTTAACTAAGAACTAAGTGTAGACTTTCTCGGTGATAAGTAGCAGGGGCCTGTTTTGGCTGCGCTTTGTTTATATCAGCTGGAAATGCCATATCTCCTCCGTTTTACTTTTGATTTGCATTTCCAAGACAAAGGTCAAAGAGATTTACAAAATGTGAGAGTTAAAGGGAAAATACAACATTTGCAAACATCAAAAAATAAAACTACCAAATCATTTTGAAATACCTTGCTGGACTGTTAGTGAATGACAGTGTAAAGCATCCTGTAAAATCATGGCACCTGGTATACTGTCATTTTCAAGAAAAGTGGTATTTTTGTATCAATTTCCAACGCTGATCGTCCGATCAGCGTTGGAAAAACTGGCTTTTTTTTCAAATACTGGCCCCAATTGACCATCGCACTTGTTTGCAATCGATTACAAACCTATGAACGGGTACGAGCCAGCTAGACTGGTTCCCTGACCTTACAATTCCACAATGTATGTAAACTGCTCTGTTTCTTCTTATATGGAGTCAGGGAACCAGACTACAGGAAAATGATTGTTTTTCTTGGTTTTTATAGCATTTTCGAACCCAAAACCTCAAAAAGTCAGTGTAACTATATTTGCTATATATTTCCAACCCCCCAATTCCATCCATTTCTGAAAATTACAGCAAAAGCAAATGATGTATATTCCCTTTAACGTCTCTTCAAACCTTAGAAACTTGGTAAATTTTTTTGGTGCCAATTCCACACAAAATGACACAATACATGGTTTTCTTTGTCAGTTTCTTACGTATTATCCCGTCCCATATAGACCCGCCATAACAATGGATCCTTCGTAGTCTATGAAACACAATGGCCTTGTAGACCATAGGTAAAAAATATATATCCTTTCAAGTTAAATCACAATTTAAACATATTGTTTACACTTCTTCTTTGGCTTACTTTGTCCAAATTCAAATGATTTCCAAATAAGTCTTCAATATAATATTTTTTTTCAAGAGTTTTGTTGCCCCACAAATAAATGATTAGGCCCCAAAAAAACCCTTCTGCTTCCGATTACATGGCATTTAAAAATAGGGTAGGTGGGTAGGGACATTTTTTTTGGGGGGGGGCTGTTTGTGTACGATCATATGGAGGCGTATGCATGTAGTCAAGGGTAAAACGGTGGAAGTTGATGGTTTAACGATGTTTTTTTCCCCTTATTTTTCCCATAAAAAAAGTTAGGGTAGGGGCTGTCAGAATAGGATTAGTAGGGAAACTGGAAGCAGAAATATATATTTTTTGGCCTAATGGCAGTATAAACATAATACATATAATTTAAACTACTTATTACACTCAAGATTAGTACTCGTACTAGCACGTTCAATTCCAAGTTTTTCTGTTTGTTAAAAAGTGTATTGCTAAAAAAATAGCAATTTGAAAAAAAAACACCTGTTTTCAGGAAGCAGCTGTTACTACCAAAGGCAGGTCTAGTCTTTGAAAACAGTATATAATTCTGAGTGTTGAGACACATTCTGAAAGGAAACTAAACCAAATCATGCTTTTGTAGGGCTGTTCATTTTCTATATAAGTTATATTTTGATTATTTTAAAACCATTGGACTGAATATTCGAAATGTGGTCAAATTTACACATTGCAACTGCATGCTGCACCTGTGGCGATAAAATGTACGTGTGGATCATAGGAATGTTTTGCAATGAGTAGTTTATATTTGTAACTGTCAATGGCTTCAACCTGCTAAAAGGATGGGAACAGTGAACCACCGTCAACAAACAAGTTAACTGGTAACAAACAGTACTGACAATAAAAGCTATTTCAATATTTGGTTGGTTGGTGCTCGAACATTCAAATTTTTAGTACATTCAGGACAACGGCAATCCTCATACTCCGACACTAAAGACTGACTAATTATTTTCAGGGGGGAAAAACCCACATTTTATTTTTTAACCAGTTCAAGCCGGGATTATTTGACAAGAACGGAATGAGGCGTGGGTTACTTTTCACTCGACCTCAATCCCAGGCGGGTGGAAGCCATCACCCTCGGGCAGCACACCCATTCAGGCCTCACTCGCTGGAGTCAGTCGCTGACAAAAAAGTAGAACACTACAAAAAAGAGAGATTATATCTCTGGACTATTGGGAGCTCTTCTGCCATAGCAGAACGTTCTGCCTGTTGATCCTAACATCGCTCTGGGGGCTTGTAGAGCAACACGATATCATCGAGAATTTGCTGGAAAGGATCTTTGTCCCTGTTCTTGCGTCGCCAAAAGTATTCAGCCAGGTAGAGACCATCACAAGAGCTAGTGTTTGAATGAAGCAATTTACGTTTAGTCTGCGTCCACTGACTCTCTGCATTCCTAGTAGGAGCTTTAGTTGGTGGATTCTTGAACGTCACAGTGCTATATGCAGTGAGATGTTTCAAATTGTCTGCACTGAAACAATCGTAAGATTGCCAACAGTCCGTTATGACGAGCGTAGAACCAGGGGCAACATACTCCTTTATTAGAGAAATAACTGTCGCCGATTCACGGTTGTTTATCTCAATGAAGAAAACATCCCTCGTCTTCCGGCATATCCCGCCCAATACCCACTTGCCTTCCATGTTACGGCTTTTGAGAAATTTCTGTTGGCCAAATTTTGATTCGCCAATTTCGACAACCAGCTCTGGTCCGCCAATAGCTTTGCTTGAGCACTGCTGCAGCGAGTGAAAGCAAACTTCACGGCAGTAGTTGAACCATTCGACAACAGTACGGTCGCTCGTCGTACTGTCGTCGATACTACATTCCCTAAGAGCCACTTTGTTTGTCATTCTTACTGCCCAGCAGTAGGTCATCACCAGGATTTTTCCAAGAGTCAACTTGCTGTTAAAAAACCAGGTGCAATGTCGAACACTGCAGCTTCGTGAGCGTTTACTACATCGACGGTTGTTGCAACGCCATACGAAACCGTCCCGGCGGCCCGGATCAAGTGTCCAAGTCAGCATTTTGTGGCACCACTTGCATGTTGGAGTAGTGGCTATGAGTCCCTGCTCCTTGCAAAACTCTGCAATGGACTCCTTGGTTGCCAAACGCTTCGCAAGCCCCCACATATTCCAATGCTTCCTCTCTTCACAATCATTCATCTTGATCGGTTTGGAGACAGCTGTCAGACAGAATAGAACAAACAGAGGAAGTAGAAAGATGAGGACAACGTCGGAAACCGAGTTTTGTCTATTTTTGTGAAAGAAGGGGAAGGCGTCAATTTATTTTTTCTTTAAGGTTCTGAACACCCTTTCACTTTTCTAGCAAATGTTGAACAAATCTAAGTTGGACCAAGCCTCATCCTCAAGATGTACAAAGTGATGCCTGCTGGGCGCATCCATGTTTGTGCAGATGGAAAACTTGATTTTGTATGACTTTTGTACGGCTATTTGCATAGCTGCAAATGGTTTCAATATGTTACCGAAGCCAGTATGCCCAAAACCGAAACTCGCAGTAAGTAAATGAGCATTTCTCTCTGCAAATTTGCTGTGAGATGATCTTTGCCTTGAAGTTTTCCACATTAACCAAACTTTCTAGGGGTGTCCAATGGCGGCCATTAAAAAAAAAAAAACTGGTGGCCATCTTGAAAAATAGCCCAGTCAGACAGCCATTTTGGAGGGAAAAAAGGGCCTGTCGCTTCCTTTTTTCCATATTTCACCTAAATTTGACAGAATTATTAAAAAAAAAATTTAAAAATGAGTTCTATATGATTTTAATATAATATCTTTTAAAGATCTATGCAAGGCCTGATTTCTATATCAACCTTGTATGAAGGACCATCAATCAAACACTACAGTACAAGGATCTGTGCTTCCTGTTTTGAAATTAGAAGAATTTTTATGAAATATACATGCCCATGGAGAACTGTACTTTTTTTTGGTAGGCCTATGTCAATTCAATTGTCATACCATACATGTAAATCACGTTTTTGATTCATACCCACACACAATGAATGTATCTCAGCTGTGTGCGATGCTATGCACCTTTAAAGTGTCTTCAGTATTAATGTACCATTGAACCAATGAGGTAGACTACATAATGTGTACCTGTAGATAAAATCATGTGATTTTTTTTTATCACTGATTCCATACATTTTTTTCCAAAAACATTTATCAATTTATGAAGTTTTGTGGATGATGGCTATTAGTATTATAGGAACCTGTAAACTCCTTAGTGATGGGTGTATTAAAGTTGCATTGGGAGATTTAGACACATTTTTAGACATATCAATGTTTTGAAAGTTGTTAAACAAATCAAATAAATCTGATTTAAATCAAATAAATCAGTTTTTTTTTATTTAAAAAAAAAAATCAAAAAAAATCGCCAACCTTGCAATTTAGGCCCCCCCAAAAAAGCCTCCGGTTTCTCGTATGCGCGCGCGTATAAGCTTTAATAAGCTTTATGTGGCCTCTCTGGACTCCCATATATTTGCACTAAGTTTAGTCGGGCACCATTTGCAGTCATCAGCCGTCATCAGCCGACATTTGAAGCCAAAAAAAAAAAAAAAGCCGCGTCGCCGCACCTCTTTTGGGGCAAGCTCCATACCAGAAACCGGAGACTTATTTTTTTTGGCCTTAGCAGATTTTTGTTAAATCTAGCAGATTTCTGAAGTGCATCTAGCAGAATTTTGAAGTGCATCTAGCAGAATTTTGCAATCATTACGGTCACCCACATCATCGTGGAACCAGCTCGGAACACCATCGCTCTCGAGCTCTCGAGTTCGATTAATATAGTCAAATACGGAAGGTTTTTCAGTATTTTTACACCACGATATTCCAAAGCGATACATTAGGCCCTGATGCTACTATATGGTGAGATTTATTAACAGACTCACTGTTATTGTCCTCCGCTGGAAGAGCTTTTGAGACTCCTTTTTGGAAGGGATTGGCGCGCGGTGAATTATGAAATCTTCCATTGACTGTTCACGATCATCAACCGCGCTGCAAACATCATGCCAATCCCAGATCCCACAAATCGTCGTTTTTGGCACCGTACAAAGTGGAGGAAATACAGCTCTATGAGCGGTACAGACTGGTTGGCGTAGATGGTTGACAGAATTTTTGCTAGTATGAGCTTATTTCACTGCAGATGCACTACCATAAAGATGCTAAGCTGTTTAACAATAAATTCTGGGTTGGCTACTTTTTTTCCCAGTCGTCGTCAGTTGAAGCTGAAGGGCGCCGTCATTATTTTCGGTACGCAAGGTGACCGTTTTAGCCGATTTTCGGCTAACTTTGACAGATTTTTGTTAAAAAAAACCGAGTTTGACAGAAATTTGACAGAATGGATTGTTTGGCAGATTTCTGGCAGAATTCTGCCAATTTGACAAAAAAAAATTTGAAAAAAAAATGGTACATTTGTTTAAAAAAAGCTTCAATCTTTCCAAACAAACCCTTGCGAATACTGGGACAGGCATGACAGGTGCATGGCTGGTCTAGGTGCCAAGGTTCACTGGGAACCGGACTTGCGTCGTGAAGCAACAGTATTTTGCCTGAAATTAACGCAAATTTCTAACATCTTTATGTGACTATAGATTGTTTATAATGTAATTTAAACCTTTATTAGGGCGAAACTGCATATCTGCATGTGATTTTAAGTGTTCATTCAGGGGAATTTGGCAGATTTTTGGGAAGATTCCCATATCTGGCCATCACTAATTTTCCCTTCACTGGCTTTAGTGCCCTATCAGCCATCAGATAGTGATAATATCAAGACCTAACAAGTCAAATTTAGCAGGAAAAATATTGAAGTATTTACTGAGAAAACATTTCACAAACATTTCAATTATAAAAATAAAACAATCTAACTAAACAACAACATATAAAGAATACCTGCAGGTCAAACTGATGGTACAACACAAACACATTGGTCAAATTGCCTAAATTTCTAGAATAATGGGCGGGGCAACGATCATACTTACACTTACACTTACACTTAAGATTTGATGGGATTATCAATTATAGGCTTAAGCCTTTTCTGACCCCATATCCAGATTCTTTCAAGTAACTGTCAAATCTATTCTTGAACTGGTTGACATTCATAGGCCTAACTTGGCGCAAGCAGCTCCAAGTAAATTATTTCATTTAGAAAAATTATTTCATTTAGAAAAATTGGATGTGTCTACTTAATACTTCTTTTTATTTAAGTGGGAAATTAGGACTGCAGTTTAAATGAATTCTACAGTAAGTTCATACAGAAATGCGCGTTGTAGAAATAAATGCTCAGTAAGCAAATAATTGGGGCCTACTGCTTGGCTCGCGGTGATGGTGAAATGGGTATAGCCAGCACCATAACTATATCCCAACCCAGGATTTTTTACTTAAAGTTGTCGTGCACTAGTACTATTACATTGTAACTTACTTTGTCAGTACGTCGACTTGGCTTTACCTTGCCTTAACCTGCACAGCCCTCCACAGTCAACCCAACCTCTAGCACAGCACCCAGCAGACTGAAGCACATGCACCCATGGCTATTTCAAATTCCTTGCGCATGGGGTTAACAATAGAATTATGCAAATGCTGCATGCCTGGCTGGACTGATACACACTCAGCTCAGGGGGTGTAATGGATGAGAGGGGCAGGCTAAACCAAAAATAGAAGGTGGGGGAGAAGGCATTGATACATGAAAAGGTTTTTTTTATCATTATAATAATCCTCCAACTTATCCAAATTAAGCCATGTATAAGAAATTTAAGGGGTACTATATGGAACTACTTTGAAAGTATTGCATGGACATCCGGGAATTTTTTTACGTTGGCTTACCTAGCTCCCAGACCTATGGTCTTGAAACTCCGATTCTTGAGTCTGGAGTGCTGAATGGTAATGTAGCAATTGATGAAAACTGGTGTGTTAATAAACAGATTTTTTCATTGACGTCAGCCAGCCCCCACCTGTACTTCATGTCCAAATCTTACATTGATCCATGAGGTCATGTTGAAATGTCTTCTTTTTTTTTCCTGCAGTACTTATTAGGTCGAGTCAAAAAAAAAACTATTCTCACCCAGGCCTGCTCTTTGAAAAAAATGAAGAATTATTATTGGAACTTGCGAACAAAATGGATGAAAAGCAATTGATCCTACTTATTTAAGTGTCAAAAAATGTGACCTCAGTACTTTTGATCCTAACTCGGTTGTTTACCATGTTTACCAATGAAATTAAACCAAAATTTAAAAGACATAACCAATTTTATGGAGCGAGATTCATCAGCTTTGTGCAAGAGGTTGCAGCTTAATTGCTTAAAAAGAAATTTAAAAAATACTCACTTTCAGAATGTCGATACAGTGCTGGAGACGGTGGCAGCCGGAAGGCGTGTGCTGCGGCCGAAAGCTTCTGAAGAAATGCAGGATCAACCCTGATGTCTTTGCACACCTCCTCGATCATATGTTGCGCCGAATATGATCAAGGAGGTTGTGCAATGACACCATCAGGGGTGATCCTGCATTCCTTCAGAGGCACGTGCCTAATTGTGCCACCATCTCCAGTGGAGCCGCGGACACCAATTAGTCGGAAGTGGCAAATTCTGAAAGTGAGTATTTTTTTTTTGTATGGCGTTAAAATCTCACCCTCTTGCACAAAGCTGATGATACTCGCCAATGCCTTGTCATGCCTTGTTTACATCAGCTGAAATTTAGTTTAAGTGGGACATGTTTTTGTGACATATGTAGTGTGCCCTTTAAGTTGAAAGCTGCTGATGTGGAGGAGGATTTAAATTACGTGTAACTTTTGAATGACAGATACAGACTGAGACCCAAACTTTTGAGGGATGTATCCAAGCGAGATGTCCGCACCAGCATCCTGGGCCAAGAGATTGCCTTCCCTATCGCCGTGTCTCCTACAGCAATGCAACGAATGGCACATCCTGAAGGGGAGGTAGCAACCGCGAGAGGTGGGTCCTACAATGTTGCCGGTTCTAGGTAGCTGGTATTTCAAGGGAACGTCTTAAAGTCGGAACGTTCTCGTTCACAGGTACCCATACTCCTGGCTGGAGAGAGGCAATGTAGTAAAATGTCTTGCCCAAGAACACAAGCACACCATTTTCCCCATCAGGGTTCGAACCCACATACTATGGCATGCTAGTGTTCCCCAATACCTATGTTCCCCAATACCCATGTTCCCCAAAATCCTTAGGGTTAGGTTGGTATACCTGACTCCATGTAAATCATAATCAATCTACTAGTAGCACAGCACTCACGCCAACAGATTCCAACAAAACATACAGTTGGATTTAGAAGGGTTGGGATTAACTATTAATTTAACCATTACCTTTCAAGATTATTCATAATCACCAAGAGGTGTTGGAAGATCTCACATAACTGAGGAGAGTACAGCCCTGCCCCAATAGGTCTCGTTCAAATGACGTCATTTCCTACAGACCAGCCACGCGCATTGGCATTTTGAGCGTGAACTTGCATAACGCGCATCGGCTGCGTCGTATTTCGAACACATTTCGAGCAACAAGCGCACGTGTTTGGAACATTTTCAACACTGCGTAATGCGTGCTTGATTGCATAAAATACGCAGTTGCAGTTCTCCTACAGAGATGGCCGTCATTGAGCGAGCCCTATAGCTAGCTTGAAATCGCAAGACCGTTCATGTGAATAATGATTGAGGTTGTTTATATTTACTTCCCATTTAAGCTGCTACATCCCTGGGAACAGGTGTGATCCTGAGCTCCTGGTCCACGTCAAGCATCGAGGAAGTTGCTGCAGGCTGTTCACCCAATGGCCCTCGCTGGTTCCAGCTCTACGTCTACAAAGACCGCGATGTGGTCCGAGACCTAGTGAGGAGGGCAGAGAAGGAGGGTTACACAGCTCTGTTCGTGACAGTTGACACACCTATACTTGGCCGGAGACTAGCTGACGTCAGGAACAAGTTTGCCTTGCCCTCACATCTCAGGTACTGACATTGTGGACAAAAAAAGACGTGATTGTTTCGAAAATAGGTAATCCAATAACTATGGGTTAGTACATGTAGAATGGGCACAAACTGCCAGTCCACCTCCCAGCTCCGATGAAGGCCTAGTCAGAACGAAAATTCAGCCCCAATATTCCTGGTGAGCACTACTTTAACTTATTTTCTTCCTGTGTACAAAGGGTTGGGGTATATAGGGGGAAAAGATCCCCAAACTAAAACCCTTACAGGTTGCATTAGCACGAAAACCTGCCAACATACAAAAGTTGTGAACGTGAGAAGCCAGCCCAGTGTAACAAGGTCCAACAGTTCGACTGTCCTCAGGCCAAATATCCTCAAAGCAGCGGCTGCCAATCAACTGAGGTATTGTTCAATGAGACTAGCTGCCATTAATTCAAAATTGACAATTTGGGTTACAAATGTTGACTGCTAAATGCAAGAAGATCTCAGACTTGTATGCCTATTTCAACTGTTTTCAGTCATGGATGACTGACAGTAGCGGATGCGGGGGGGGGGGTTGCACCCCCTTGTTCACCTCTGTTGACTAATATTAAGATACATGTAAAATGGGGCCAAAAATAATAAATGGAATGACAGTTTTTAAATGTATTCTCAAATTGCATTAGAATGCAGGAGAAACCTTCGTAGATTTCAACATTTCAAGCCCCGGATGCCTTCACTGACATATTTGGTCATTGCACAAAATTGGACATAGTTAGTAAAATAAAACAGCCCATTTTAATGTTTCCTAAGTAAAGCATTCCATGGAATTTCTTCTTTTGTTTCTTGAAGTGCTTTCATCCTAAACCATCCCCTTTCAGTAAACAGCTCTTGGTGTACGTCGTACAGTATGTGCCAAAGACGGCAGCTGACGTGATACTTATATTGTGTCATTTACAATTAGATTAGCCAACTTTAGCACAAAACAACAGCATTCCAGCGGGGTGAAGAGCATGCAAGATTCCGGCCTGGCTGCCTATGTCGCCTCCCTGATAGACCCATCCCTCAACTGGGAACACATCGAATGGCTGAAAAGCATCACTTCCATGCCCATTGTTCTTAAGGGAATACTCACAGGTAAATCATTTGACTGATTCATCATCGATTTATTAGGTTTAACCGTGGTTTTGACTTCATTATTCTTTCGGACGGATATTAGACATTTGGAAAGCATCCTTCACCACCAATGTCAGAAAGTTGGTTTCAAGAAGATCTTGGTGTCCATATAACTTGATGATGTTTTTTTTTTACAATATTACTTAGGCAAATGGCATATGCTTTCATATGGTGGCCCTGAAGGGACATCGCATATCGCAAACGTGTGCGCATACGTATGCGATGTCGCGAAATTTATCGCGAATATATGCGCACACGTATGCGATGTCGTGAAATTAATCGCGAATATGTGCGCACACATATGCGAATTTGTTTGCAATGTCGTGAATTTTATTGCATACCTTGTCGCATACCTTTCAGTAAAATTCCTAATGAACTGGGGAGTTGTAGCAGCTAGTCTGGAATCTAGACATACTGTTAGATATAAATAGGGTCTGACTAATAAACCTTCGCGCGCACGCTGTTCCTCGTGCAATCGTTACTACTAGTACTGTCGAGCGCAAACTTGCTACTTGCGCAACTTTGAAATTTGCGCGCGCAAGTTTGAAACTTGCGCGCGCAAATTTCTCTGAAAATTGAAAATTTCTCTGAAAATTGAAAATTTCTCTGAAAATTGAAAATTTCTCTGAAAATTGACGAAGCGTGCGCGAAGGTTTATTAGTCAGACCCTATTTATATCTAACAGTACGTCTAGATTCCAGACTAGCTGCTACAACTCCCCAGTTCATTAGGAATTTTACTGAAAGGTATGCGACAAGGTATGCAATAAAATTCACGACATTGCAAACAAATTCGCATACGTGTGCGCACATATTCGCGATTAATTTCACGACATCGCATACGTGTGCGCACATATTCGCGATAAATTTTGCGACATCGCATACGTGTGCGCACACATTCGCGATAAATTTGGCAACATCGCATACGTATGCGCACACGTTTGCGATATGCGATGTCCCTTCAGGGCCACCATACTTTCATAATAAAAAAGTGAACAATGTTGAGGCAGCTTTTTTTCACATTGGCTGTAGATTTTTTCTGTTTTCTGTTTTAACCATATGTGTACATAACTTTTAGAGACCTCAATACCTACTCCAGAATGAATATCTCTTTCAGGGGACAATTTATATTTTTGGTCACAATCATGCACAAATTGGTAGAAACAGTGTTTTTAGGTGTGGTTCATTTAAAGACTGTAAAAGTAACAAAATAGATGGAAGTTGGACCCAAACTTTTCTCTCGATATACACATACATTTGTTCATCTTGAGATTTGCCTGTAGCTTATTCCCCAAACCAACCTTCGTGTTTTTCTTCAATTCACCTTCACAGCTGAGGATGCCAAACTTGCTGTGCAGCACAACGTTGATGGTATCATGGTATCGAATCATGGTGCACGACAGCTCGATGGTGTTTTGGCAACAGTGAGTGAATTCTATGAATATACCATATGTACATGTTCTGGCAGATCAAGAAGAAACTCTAGACGAAAATCCAGGAATATTTATTTTCATCCTTTTGGGGGGGGGGGGGGGGGGGGGGACAGGGTGCTGGTATCGTCAAATCTTCACATGACATTGTTTGTCTAAATGCTGACTAGTCATCGTTAAGGATGTGACGTTTACATGTTTAGACAAAAAAATTCTAAATCCGTTTATAAAGTTTCCAAAATGTTTAAATGAAACCCGAATTATAAAAGTGACCTTTTTCAAACCTGTTTAATTTACAAAACCTCAGAAGCACCACAGTACTTGATTACATTTGAGGTACACCAAGTTCAGTTTTTACTTTCGCAATGATTGCTCACTATTTGTGTTGTTATATGTCAATCACTGTTAATTTATCCTGTCAGTCATGCCGATCTGCAGACATAATGGGAAGACGTCAGCCTATGTGACATGGCTAAACGCTTAAACGTTTCAACAGTTCTTAAGATATTTGCTGAATGTTTGTGACGAAATTGAACGCAAAGTCACATCCTTATAGTCATGGTTCATTTGAGAAGCTTCTAAGTTGACCTCGGACTGTATGACTTGTGATGACTTGTGACAACTTATGATGGACTTATGATGACTTGTGATTCATCACAAATGCCTCTGCTACAACTATGAGTAAGAGTAGCTGGGTCCTACAGTTTCTGATCTCATCCAAATACCTCAAAAACGATTGTACATGTAGGTGGAATCAAGGTAAGATTGATCATTTTTCTATCGTTTTAACATTCAGTTTGCAGCAGTCTTATTCATTTTCTTGTTTTAATTTTCAGATAGATGCATTGCCTGAGGTTGTGGAGGCAGTCCGTGGGTCCAATGTAGAGGTCTACTTGGATGGAGGAGTACGGAGTGGCACTGACGTCTTCAAGGCTATTGCCCTTGGAGCAAGGGCAGTTTTCATCGGTCGACCTAGTCTCTGGGGACTTGCGTATGATGTAAGTAACTTTTGTGATGTGTTTTTGCTATCTGACATAATTTGTACTTCATGCACGAATTGTAGATGGCATTTGAAGGGACACGCCGCGGGCATGCACTGGTTCTTGATCTTATGGCATGACTTTTTTTTTCACTTTTGAACACGCACAAAGCCACGGCGTGAGCATCAAGCACTATCTCCATTATTCATAAGTCCCTCCCGCTGGTCTTCTCAACTTTCTCGTTGCAGTTTTTAAGGGGTACTTATACATAGTCCACACCATGCATAAACGATGAACAAATTGAAAGAAAAGTACTCAAGTTCAGCAGTCAAGGAAACATACACATACACATAACATTATTGAGTGATCTTGTTTCCATATGTAGGGCCCCTCCCAGAGGTTTCAAGAAAAGTTCCAGAAAATTCCACCCCCTTTAAAAATATATCACCTTCCAATGTCCATGTGGCTTGAATCCTTCACAAGTCCATCACAAGTCCATCACATGTCCACTTAAGTCTATAGCATGTCATCACAAGTCCTCACAAGCCATAACAAGTCCTCACAAGTCCCCACAAGTCCTCACAAGTCCCGGTAAGTCCTCACAAGTCCCCACAAGTCATCACAACTCCCCACAAGTCCTCACAAGTCAATCACAAGTCCTCACAAGTCGTCACAAGTCCTCACAAGTCCCCATAAGTCCTCACAAGTCCTCACAAGTCCCCAAAAGTCCGTACAAGTCCCCATCAGTCCCCACAGTCCACACAAGTCCTCACAAATCCACACAAGCCATCACAAGTCCTCACAATTAAGTCCTCACAAGCCATCACAAATCCTCACAAGTCCTCATAAGTCCTCACAATTCCCCACAAGTCATCCCAAGTCCCCACAAGTCCTCACAAGTCCTCACAAGTCCTCGCAAGTCATCACAAGTCCTCACATGCCCCCAGGAGTCACAAGTCCCAATAAGTCTTCGCAAGTCGTCACAAGTCCATACAAGTCCCCATTAGTCCTCACAGTCCACACAAGTCCTCACAAGTCCTCACAAGCCATCACAAATCCTCACAAGCCATCACAAATCCTCACAAGTCCATCACATGTCCACTTAAATCCATAGCATGTCATCACAAGTCCTCACAAGTCCCCACAAGTCCTCACAAGTCCCCACAAGTCCTCACAAGTCCCCATAAGTCCTCACAAGTCCCCACAAGTCATCACAACTCCCCACAAGTCGTCCCAAGTCCCCACAAGTCCTCACAAGTCCTCGCAAGTCCTCACAAGTCCTCACAAGTCCTCACAGGTCCCCAGGAGTCCTCACAAGTCCCCACAAGTCTTCACAAGTCGTCACAAGTCCATACAAGTCCCCATCAGTCCTCACAGTCCACACAAGTCCTCACAAGTCCTCACAAGCCATCACAAATCCTCACAAGTCCCCATGAGTCCATCTTCCAAGTCCCAAGCTATTTAAATGAACTGTATGTGGCAAAGCATTTGTTTTTTTATTGTTCCAACCCTATTTACTTGTGACTGAACTTGTGAAGGTCTTTCGATCGACTAAACTGCAATACTTCACCTAGATTCTGACCTCGAACCACAAACAGTCACAAACCCATGTGTTCCTATCTTTTTTTCTATTATTTGAATCTTGCTTCACAAAGTCATGGGCACTAACGTGCAAACAAAGTCAAATGGCTGAGTATGCATACATATTCACTGCTATTTGGCATGCTAAAGTTAATTTTTTTTATGTTGATATTCTCCAGGGTGAGGCAGGAGTGAGGAAGGTTCTTGAGCTCATTAGAGATGAATTCAGCCTTTCAATGGCCCTATCAGGTTGGTTATTTATCTCTTTTCCATTGATCTGAAATTTTAACGAAGCCATCCCAGCAGTCAAAATCAATTGTTAGCTTGGTAAAGTCTGGATTTGGAAATGTGACAGGTTTTGTGTGCTCGCATACATGTACATTTAATGTGTGTAAATGGGTCATTCTATAAATTTGGGTGCACTTATTTTCTTGTCCCTGTAATACATCCGACTTCTATGATTTTATAATTCCGAAGCACCCCTGAATGCAGCCGTCCTCCAAGAGTGATTATGAATAGCAAACTACCTACCCAACAAGTAAAAAATCATTTTGAAGTCATTCTTGATGATACTTGAGTGGCATATTACAAAGAACCAAGGTAACAGGGTCAGGAAAAATGTAACCCTCTGGACCCTAGCTTGGGTTTTGAACCTTGGTATAGTGACCACCTGTTCATGGTATGCTTCCCTTAATTGGTCATCCGGCTGGATAAATGTTTTTTCGTAGGAGTGATTGAAGAAGTTCAACTGTTATCTGTTAGGACAATGGGGAAGTCACTGTGAGAATTTGTGAGAGAATCATAAAAAATGATCATTTTTATCTTTTTTTTCCATTCCTAGGTTGCACCTCTATAGCAGATATCACACCGGATCTTATACAGAAAGACAGATTCCTTGTCATGGCAAAAATGTAACATGTGACCAAGGGGGGATCTGGGGGGGGGGGACCAAAGGGGGCCATGCCCCCCCCCCCCCCCCCCCACCCACCCAAAACGAACCCAATTTTCTTTTTTTAAGTGACGTTGCAATAAAGGCAGGCAATGAGTACATCTTTTCCTATACAAAAACATTGGTTAAAGTGGTCAGAAATTGCCTCAAATCGCACAACTGAGCATCTAGAATCCAACAAATTTTCAGGGCCCTCCCCATGTCGTAATTTTTTTGGACCCACTTTTTGAAAACCAAATTTTTTTGGCCCCACCCCCAAAATTGTGTTATGGATCTGCCCTTGTGTATTATGATATAGCAGATTGAATCATTCAAAAGTTCTTAATAATTTAAAATCATACTATTTAGGCTATAGTCGGAGGTATTTTTGTAATACCTTTTGGTTAAATTTTTGAAGAGTCTGATCATTGGTACACAGATCAAAATTTCTTAATCCGACATAAAAATGGACCTAATGAAACATCTTTTTTTGGTTATATTATAGATTATTGTTAGAATTATGTTTCTTTTATGTAATTTTTATATGGAGTTGGTACTCTATAATGAAGAACCTTTGATGGTTGCTGAGTTTAATTCCTTGTTATTTGTCAAAACTTTTGATAAGTTTCCCAAACCAGTCTCCCAAAAAAGATTATACTCAATTTTTGACCTGTTTAAATGACTGAATATTAATTGGTCTACTGGCAGGTCATTTCGGAGTGACTATAAAGCTTTTGAATGTGGGGAAATTGTTTAAAAAATGGTTTTAAAAAACAGGAGCCTAGTTCTATCATGCATTAATTCATTAAAAGTGATTTTTTGCACTGTTTATTATAGCAAAGTTAACAGTGGAATAATTTTCAGAATATTGTGATTATAAAATTCATTGAAAATTATCTAATGAGAATAGCATTAAAATAGGTGCTTTGAAAAATTGAAAAATGTGTAAAAAACAAAGTGCTCAATTTCATCTTTTGAAAGAGGGAAAATGTTGTCCATAAAGAAATAGGTTGAGTCTCAAAAATAACTATGCAAACATGTGACAATTGACATTTAAAAGGTTTAAATAAATATTTTCCTTTCAATATTTTAAAGTGACTTTAAATGTGAAATAATGAAAAAATATAACTACGAAGATAAATGAAATAAACACCAAAAGAGTTATATGATACTGCCTCGTCTATCCAATTTCTTTTGTGTTGTATCATGCGTGTTGAAGTGGGGGTGGGGGAGTGCCCCAAACCACACTGAAAAACAGTATTAATTTGAGACAAAAACTTTGAATGTCCTTCGTTTTTCGTTTAGTTTATCCTGAAAACTCGGTTAACATTTTACTCTATGCGCACGTGAACGTCTGATTTCGAGACTAGCGCTTTCGTGGGGGAAACTTTCGTTTACATCTATATTAATGTGCGCTCTTCGATTCCGCGAAAAAAAACCTCGCTGATACGCAGCACCTGTCCAATGCGTTTGGACCGGAAAGCCTGGAAACCATCTTGCACTGCCGTACCGTACGTACGTACATTTTGCCAAAATGGAGTCGAGTCTTCGGATTTTGTGTCTACTTTCGTTTTTGACAGTTTTCGTGAATTTTTGTTCTTGCGATAGCCCCGAGCATGGAATTTTTAATATCACTTTGAATAAGGTAGTGTTTAAAATAATCAAGGTTTTTGTTCCAAAATCGAGTGCATTTTCTGTGTTAAACTTCACATTTTGTAGAACTTGTCCAATTTCCGGAAAACGATTTCCGGGTGGGCTAGCCCCACTAGTGTGGCCGTCGGTATGCTGCGCTGCGCAGCATACCGACGGCCACACTAGTGGGGCTACGGGTGGGCAAAAATGGTGGGGGGGGGGGGGGGGGAGGGAAGGGGGGGGGGGAGGGAAGGGGGGGAGGGAAGGGGGGGGGGGGGGAAGGGGGGGGAGGAAGGGAAGGGGAGGGGGGGCGGGGGGGAGGGTTTTTTTTGGGGGGGGGAGGGATTTTGAAAAGAATGTTCCATCCTGACGCCACTTTTTTTCATCAGATATGTAATAGGCCTAATATCATGAATATCTCAGTGAAGGTCAGTCATTGCAAAAATGTTGAAAATACACGTATGCGCGTCGCCAAAATGAAAAAGTTTTTTTTCAATGAAACTTGAAAGATGATAATGTCTCAAAACCGCCAAACTCACTGGTTTGACTGGAATCCTGCTGCTGCCTAATTTTAACTTTTTAGATGGGTTATAATCGAGAATAAGCTTAATGTGGCTTCTCTGGACTCCCATATATTTTCACTAAGTTTAGTCGGGCACCATTTGCAGTCATCAGCCGACATTTAAAGAAGAAAAAAAAAAGGTGCGTCGCTGCACCACTTTTTGGGCAAGCTCCGTACCAGAAACCGGAGACTTTTGTTTTGGCCTAAAGATCAGAATAAACCTGAATGAGCGACCACTTGACAACGTAGAAAAAGTGCTGTGCATTGTTGTGACTGATGCGCAGCTCGATGTGTGCTGGCATATCTTGAACGGGTCTGTTGACTTCTGTGAGGTGTCACCTTTCCCCGAAACAAAGTGGAAGAGAATTATCCACTTTTTTTTTACCCACAGACCGATCCTCAAGATTTCCTAGTCTTGCGCTCTCCATGTATTTAACAGGCTTCCAGCAATTGCTAGTTTGGGAAACAAGACAAACATCGTTGTACCCGACGGCTGTTTGCAGTATGTTGATGATCTCAACATAGTTAAATCTGTTCATTTTAAGTTAAAACCTTAAGGCAGGGCTGAGGTCTAGGGTTCGGGTAGACATATTCTGGTGCTGCATAAGCCCTTTAACACGACTTCAACATCAACTGCATGTTCTTTATGTTTGTTCTTGTTTCAGATTGATCGTTTCAGTGGCGTTTCCAAAAACCTGGCTGAAGATACTGAAATAGCCATAACAGGTATTTATGCCAAGATAATGATAATAATACTAATATAGAATATAAGTTGATAACTTTGGCGTGTGATTGGTCACTGACATGTTTGTGTTTTCTTTTTTCTTCCAGTTGACTGTAACGGGAAAGGGAAGTTTGCAATAGAATGGGTTGTGCGCTACACAGAATGCAATGGGCTGACTCTGGTAAGGATGGGAGTCTAAAACTTTCCCAAAAACATTTAGTCAACACTTCAGAAAGGTTGCCGCCTGTTCCAGTATGTGTGCAGAAGCTGCAGTCGCGTGTCTTTGTATACACATGTACAACCTTAACGTCCTAGCCATTACTTTGGGATAAAGAACTGAGTACTACAGAATACTACTTCTTGCCAACTGACCGGCCTTACTTTAAAGGGACGCCTTTATGGATAAAAATAACAGCCTTTAGATTGTTTAGTATGTTTTCCAGAACCTGTTAAAACCGGTTGTATCTGTGCTCAGAGTCCATACCTTAAAAGCTTCTGATCAAAGTAAATCGTTCTGCTGACGCAGGCATTTCGATGTTGGTTTTTCTTACTCAATTTGACAGGAAAATACAACGCATTTCATCAGTAACCTCTTTGAGCCTAATGGAGATTTAGGGACGATGTTTGACGTTGAGGACTATATCGCTGTACAGAGGAGCGATGCATCTAACGAACTGAATTGTGAAACTCCGCATTTACTCCTGCAGGTGGGTACAATTGTTGGACAAAAACACCATTCTCTTAAGAGATAGTGAGAACTTTAGGTATTAAGCTGTACCCTAAACTACTTTGCATCCACTTTTCCTTTGGTTTCAGAACAAAAAATGTATTTCAGAATAGCGTCAATTGCCCCCCCCCCCCCAAAAAAAAAAATTGCTTCAGAGTGGAACACCCTGGTCCAGTGTTTATGGAGTTTGACTCATGTGCAGTGATACTGGTACATGTATGTGGGGTCTAGGGCCCAACTAAGATCACGGTGTTTGTGTTCATAGGCATCAACCCTAACCACCCCAACTCCATCAAAATTCATCATCCCCCCCCCCCCCCCCCCCCCCCCCCCCCCCCCCCCCATTTTGGTGGGTTTTGGGGGACTTGTTCCAGAAGGCCTGGCGTGTCTGAATATTGATGGAGTATGATGGACTTGGGCCTAATGGCCTGAAGCAGTGCTAGCGGTATCCCATTGATTTTGTCTAGCTTCCTGTATTGCTATTTTGATAAAAGCCATGTACAGTTTTGTAGTAGGGGAGAGGGACGGGTACCAGACTTTACCCCGCCCCGCCCCCCTTCCCCACCCCTATGATCCCCCTGGCCCCGCCCCCACCTGCCCCCTCCCCTCCCCCTCCCAATGATCCCCCTCCCCTCCCAATGATCCCCCGCCCCCAAATAGATCCCTCTCCCAATTATACCCCCTCCCAATATCTCAGTCTCGAAATAAGGCCAGGCCCTTCATATTTACACTCGCCCTCTTGGGGATCTCAACACAGACTCACAGTGACTGGTGCGCGAGTCTACATTTGCCTTGACTCTTAAGTGACCGCAGTTTCCCCTCGTGTTTTAAAGTCAGGCTGTCATAACAATGCAGGTCGCGCTGTTATGACAAATTCTATAGAGCCTCAGGCCTACGTCAGGAGATTAGGTAAACATTCTTGATTGCACAACCTGAGATAAGCGCTGCAACGAGCCAATTAGCATATCGTACAAAAAACGAAAAGAAATTCCACTTATAATCAGGATGACTCAGTTCTAAAACTGAGTATTACTTGTAATAGTCTAAAACTGGGTATTAAAAAATAACATGTAATCAGTCAATCACTGCCAAATATAGAAATCTATTTCTAAATGGGAAAATTTGGCATAAAAGGCTTGGTGATCGTCAAAGTTGCACCATAGATCGAGCTAGGACCATCGCATGCACATTGCATCAAAGCTGTCTCTGATAGTGCATTTCGTTGGTTAGGCCAATATACATGTACTGTTTGACGGAACTCTATTTAACACTTTAAAAAGATTGGTTTCTGCAAAGTACGTCTGTAGCCTTACAACCAGCAGTTTGAACAGGAAGATCCATCTTTTGCTTTCAAAGGTAATGCTTTAGTAAGACATCTATATTACATGTTGAAGGTTAAAAGACTCACCAGAATGTCTATATACAAAACAGCCAAAACTGGGCTGAGTCCATGAATATTGGGCAACTGATCACACCGTGAATGCAGCGATCACGATCCATCAATACACTATTGGGTGTGACAAAATTCATGCACAATGGGAGTCCAACTGCATCTGGCTGTATCGCAAGCACAGTGGTTGACCTTCCTTTGAACTAACACTTTTATAAGGTGCGTTAACCCTAACTCCCTAGGCCTTTTTGCTAGGATGTAGCCTCAATCCTGCAAAATCCTCCAATTGGCCTCATGGAAAAATAGCATATAGCCTCAATCCTGCAAATTCCTCCGTTATTTCTTGAATATGGTCCATGGAGGGATGACCACTGCCTGAATCCTGCAAAATCCTCCGGCTATGTCTGTCAATAGGCTGAGGCAGAGGCAGTGACATCCTGGAGCAGTGCGGAGGATGTCAAGTATAATCAAGGACTAAATTTATGCACGGCTGAGCATAAACAACACAAGGTCCGGCCCAAGACCTTGACACAGTGCGTACTCCGAAATCAGCAACGCACTTTTGCCATGTAACCTCAATCCTGCAAATTCCTCCAATTTGCAAAAAGGATTTTGGAGGATTCAGGGCGGTTAGGGTTAAAGGTGTAGTCTAAAACTTAAAGGGGACGCTTCAGAGTTGAGTATAAATGCTTAACTTGTTTTTGTTTTGTTTGTTTGGGTTTTTTAGACGATGGCTTACCCAACGCACACAGTTGACAAGACGTACAGCCAAGAAGCATTAATCTTGGCAAAAAGTATGGTCAACGAGACTAGAAAGTGTATTGGAGAAAAGATCGGCAGCATGATGCAACAGTGGGAGATTGCGAAACACCACTTGGGGGAACACCGCCACGACATGGCATTAGAAGTTTTGTCTGTAACGCCAGACTTTAATCAGCCACCACCTCTACCAATTCTAACAAGCAATGAAATGGAAGAAGAAGATCAACAGCCTGAAAGGGTAAAAAACCCTGTTGATCCCCTAGATATTTATAACGAAATTGTAGCTAAATATAATGATATAGACCATCAAGTGAATGATAGTGTTATCCCCTGCGTGGTAGACCATGAACGGTGTAGTTAAGCTATTTAGAAAATTGCGTAAAACACTGTAATGAATTATATAAACGAGGGGAAAACTGTGCTTTATACAACGCGGCAAACGTCGGTAATTGGCTAGAAGTTTCTGTTAAAACATTTCAAAGGGATAAGACAAGGGGGAAGTTAAATTCAGCAAACTTTAACACTTGGTTGAAAAACAATTGTAAGATAAAAAGAACTTGGGCAAAAATACACAGAGACTTTTACGACCTCACCAAGAAGTACCCGCATTTACTGCACTGTTGCCTACCCTTAACGTTCTTCAGAAAAAATAAAATGCATATTGTAAACTATTTTACAAGTAATTTAGAAGTAGGATCAAAATGGACACATGCTGTGCTTTGCAACTGTGGCCAGTGTGGACCTTGAGTAAAAACCTGTTGATATATGACAAACCAAACAGCTATTTAAATGAGCTAATTTGAATAACAACGAAAAAGCCACTTGGAGTGGCTTTTTACTGTATATATTAAGACGTATGAAAAGCTATTTAAATGAGCTAATTTGAATAACAATGAAAAAGCCACTCAGAGTGGCTTTTTACTGTATATATTAGATGTATGAAAAGCTATTTAAATGAGCTAATTTGAATAACAATGAAAAAGCCACTCAGAGTGGCTTTTTACTGTATATATTAGATGTATGAAAAGCTATTTAAATGAGCTAATTTGAATAACAACAAAAAGCCACTCGGAGTGGCTTTTTACTGTATATATTAAGACCTTTGATCCTTCCCCTTTCTGGTCCCTCCCCTGTTTACACAAGACCCCTTGTGGTTTGCCCTCTCCCTTTGTTTCTTTGTTCTCTCATCCACCCTCCCCTGCATCTTTCCACACCTTTCACACCTAATCCTCCTTTTGTGTTTCTTCTTTCAGCCCTGCATGTTTGTGTGCACCCCCATGTTAATGTTTTGTACCTCTGTCATTTCTGTTTTAGCCTCTGAAGAAGAACTTGCTAAGTTCGCAACGTCAGGCCACATTAATTTTAAGATTTATATATTAAGATGTCAGAAAAGCTTTTTAAATGAGCTAATTTGAATAACAACGAAAAAGCCACTCTGAATGGCTTTTTACTGTATATATTAAGATGTCAGAAAAAAGCTATTTAAATGAGCTAATTTGAATAACGAAAAAGCCACTCTGAGTGGCTTTTTACTGTTTATATTAAGATGTAAGAAAAGCTATTTAAATGAGCTAATTTGAATGACAACGAAAAAGCCACTCGGGGTGGCTTTTTACTGTATAAATTATAATATATGAATATCAAATAAAGAGAACGTATAAATGATCGTTTTATCGAGTCCAAGTTCAATTATAATAAAAAACCAATAGAGGGCGCTATTTCTGTGTGGTGAGGGATATCAAAATTAATATAAAGTGGGCGGTATAATAAATGATCGATTTATCGAGTCCAAGTGCAATTATAATAAAAATCAGCAGAAGGCGCCATTGGTGGTGAGGGATATCAATTATAAACAGAGGGTGGTATTTATTTTTTATGATGAGGGGTTCATGTACCGATAAAAACAGGGTGCTATTAACGGGCACTAAGCGATCTGATTTCAATTATATAAAGATAGGTGCTGTTCAATAAAAAAAAAAGATAGGGCGATATTTAAATCTTTATTTAAAAATGCAATCATTTTTATTTAAAGTTTATTAAATAGATGGAATACTTTGAGACGCCGCAACTTGGGGATAAGTGCGATCACCATATAATCATCAAGAATGTTTTTTTAATTTGTGAAACGTGCGGTGGAATAGTCTTGCGTTACTTTGATTTTTCGGCAGAAAATGCGCAAGAAGATCGTATCAATTGGTCAATTTTAAAAAGAAATAAAAGAAAAACTGTGGAGAAACTTATTTTTTCTGTGTGTCCAGAGCAAGACTCAAAAGATGTCCAAAAAACAATCAATAAATATAACGAGCTCGTTAATTACAAAACATTGAGGGGAAACGGATGTGTTAAACGCTCGTTAATAGCATCGTGTTTCTATAATGTAGTTGGATTAGACAAAGAACGAGTTAGAGATTTATTTAAAGTGACTCAAAATCAATATAATAAAGCACTAAAAAGATACGATGACCACTACAATAAAGGCGGGGCTGAGGGTGACGCCCTAAGAGGTGAAATAGAGGTATAACTCGGCGGATCGCCTTCGTAATGTTTATTTACCGAGAATTTGATCTTGTAAGTTTTACGATAAGAGATTTTTTTTCTTTTGCCAGCCGTTCGTCTACCCGTTTTTTAACTTTTTTTTCAAAGTCTGTATCGTTTTTAATTTTTTGAAGCTTTGTGCTGGTCTTTGTTCTAATTTTTTGCTTAAGCTCGTTAAATTTTGCGATTTCTCTCGTAATCAATAAGAACTCTTCGTGCGATATATCTCCGTTGTTGATGGCTTGAGACACGTATTCTTCAATCGTGTTAATTTTGGAGTCTGCTAATATCTTTATCTGGTCGTGCTTTTACAGCTTGGCGGATAATCGCTTAGATGCGATTCTAAGCAGAATATCTACACCAAAAGCGCCTATAAACGTTCCCAGTAACACCAATCCAACGGGGGCTGATATAACACCCAAGAGAGCGGGAATACTGACAGCCCCCGCTATAGCCCCCAATCCTTCTAATCCTAGCTCTACGTAATTAATAGTATACAAATATTGAGTGGCTCAGCGTGGAATGGGAGGAATATTATCGCAAGGTAAAATCTGTACTTTTCCATTTCACGAGGCGAAGCCAAGTGAAATGGAAAAGTCCAGATATTACCGAGCGATAATATTCTTTCCATTTCACAATTTAAAGCCACTCAATATTTGTTTTATATAACTGACATATAGATCCTTGTCATTTGATATATTTGAACTTTTATTTCAATACAAACCTGGAGGAAAATGTATTTGTCTCTTCCAAACCACCCCTTCACGAAAATGTTTGAACCCAATGCTGTAGCGCTGGCTCTTTGGAACAATACGCGCTACGCGCAACGCTGAACGTGCACACCAGCATGCATTTGCACACAAATACCGCGTCATGATCCTAACTGTTGAATAGTATTTCCCATTCCCCATGGGCGGATAGTACTTTTTGAGCCGTGGCATGAATGGGAGCAATAACGAATGCAACGTGATATGAGTTCCACCAATCAAATGACTAGGATCTGTATGTCAGTAATATAATGTCGATCATTCTCTTTATTTTTTTATAAGTGCGCTTTCGGTGGTCTGTCTCTTTCAAGATTAAAGATCGAATCTCTTCAATCTTTTTAAGTCTGTATACTACGAAAGCCCATTAGCGCCACTGCAAGTATATATGTTACAGATTGTGTAATTCGTTATAACGGATTATTTAATTCGTTATTACGGATTATTAATTCGTTATTACGGATTATTAATTCGTTATTACGGATTGTTAATTCGTTATTACGGATTATTAATTCGTTATAAAGGATTATTAATTCGTTATTACGGATTATTTAATTCGTTATTACGGATTACTAATTCGTTATTACGGATTATTTAATTCGTTATTACGGATTATTAATTCGTTATTACGGATTATTAATTCGTTATTACGGATTATTAATTCGTTATTACGGATTATTAATTCGTTATTACGGATTATTTAATTCGTTATTACGGATTATTTAATTCGTTATTACGGATTATTAATTCGTTATTACGAATTAGGTCTGATGTTCTCACACGTGGAGAGCACGTGACCAGGGGCCTGTGTATATAGGGCCGCTAGGCGGCGCTATCTTTGCATACAACATTTGCACTCCTGTGCGGATTATAAACGGATTATTTAATTCGTTATTACGGATTATTAATTCGTTATTACGGATTATTAATTCGTTATTACGGATTATTAATTCGTTATTACGGATTATTAATTCGTTATAAAGGATTATTAATTCGTTATTACGGATTATTTAATTCGTTATTACGGATTACTAATTCGTTATAACGGATTATTTAATTCGTTATTACGGATTATTAATTCGTTATTACGGATTATTAATTCGTTATTACGGATTATTAATTCGTTATTACGGATTATTAATTCGTTATTACGGATTATTTAATTCGTTATTACGGATTATTTAATTCGTTATTACGGATTATTAATTCGTTATTACGAATTAGGTCTGATGTTCTCACACGTGGAGAGCACGTGACCAGGGGCCTGTGTATATAGGGCCGCTAGGCGGCGCTATCTTTGCATACAACATTTGCACTCCTGTGCCATACTTGCCGAGTATGACTCAGAACGTATGAGTAATTCGTAATAACGAATTAATAATCCGTAATAACGAATTAAATAATCCGTAATAACGAATTAGTAATCCGTAATAACGAATTAATAATCCGTAATAACGAATTAAATAATCCGTTATAACGAATTAGTAATCCGTAATAACGAATTAAATAAATCCGTAATAACGAATTAATAATCCGTAATAACGAATTAATAATCCGTAATAACGAATTAGTAATCCGTAATAACGAATTAATAATCCGTAATAACGAATTAAATAATCCGTTATAACGAATTAGTAATCCGTTATAACGAATTAAATAATCCGTAATAACGAATTAATAATCCGTTATAACGAATTAGTAATCCGTTATAACGAATTAATAATCCGTAATAACGAATTAAATAATCCGTTATAACGAATTAGTAATCCGTAATAACGAATTAAAGAATCCGTAATAACGAATTAATAATCCGTTATAACGAATTAGTAATCCGTAATAACGAATTAATAATCCGTAATAACGAATTAAATAATCCGTTATAACGAATTAGTAATCCATAATAACGAATTAAATAATCCGTAATAACGAATTAATAATCCGTTATAACGAATTAGTAATCCGTAATAACGAATTAATAATCCGTAATAACGAATTAAATAATCCGCAACATATATACTTGCAGTGGCGCTAATGGGCTTTCGTAGTATACTGTTGTTTCTTTGTTACTATTTAATTGGAGTACATCTCCAGAAATATGAGGGTATAACACCTTACCATCTACACTCATGTTTTTAATATAAAAAGATTTTAAAATTAAAAGATCTCCAACTCGATAATGATACCCTCACCCTTGTTGTTGAATACCTGTCCTTTTTCACCGCTGATAGAAAATGTCAGTTTGTCGATTATACCGTTTTTAAGATTTTTGAATCCCTCAGCTCTATCAATATCGGGTTTGCGCGTAGCCACGGGTACGATTTTTAAGATGTCATCAGGACGACCATTTAACTACTACATCGCATCTAACTACTACCAAAGAGTAACCGCTTGCTTTGTGAATGTTTGTCTTTTGCGTGTTGTTCTTTTTATCGTCCTAGTTTTTTTCTAATATCGATTCAAAGTCGGCGTAAACTACAAACGGTGCTTTTTGTTTAAACCTGTAGTTTTTAAATTCTAATATTGGCACATCGTTTTCGTCGACTATCCACTCGTTATTTACATATTTTCGCTTAGCGGTAGGAAATACAATCTTTGACGGATGTGTATCTATACCGTTACAATCGGTCATGTGTCTATCTAATTTCACTTGCGTTCTATAATGACTCAGGCACCTTCGACAAAAATACTTCTTACTTTTATCTTTTGTAACGTTGTGAATCAATCTCGAAAAATTATTTATCCAGCAGTAGTGATGCTTGCCGCCCTCAGAAAACAAAACAGATCGATAGGTCGTGACTCTGCTTTGTAGTTTTTAGACACGTATAACGGATATATTTCCCCCTCATAACCGTATACGTTTATCATTAAATTATTTTGTCTTTCTATCTTTGGTATCTGGTCGATCGGTGTTGGAAAGTCTACGCCTTTAAATTTGAGTCCGTCGTCTTTGGTGTATACAACAGGTTCTTCTTTATGAATTTTATATTTAGGATCGTTTTTTATGTTATTTTTTACTTTATCCGTATACAAGCCAAGAGCAGCTCTCAAACACCATCTCAAACACTCGTCTTCTTTGTTATTAATGTTTATCATCGCTGTTTTCTGTTTGATACATTTTGGTAGGTCAATATAAGAACTACCCCTCACGGGGTTAAACCTGTTGATGTTGATATACAACGCCATTATCTTTTTTAAAACCCAACCCGATCCTTGATTCGTATACCTTTCATCCTTTCTAAATATCTGGTCGATGTCTTCTTTTAAAACCTGTTTTATTTGACTTTGATTTAAAACGACTCTCTGATCGGTAAAATGTGTAGCTTCGATTGTTTCGATCGTACCATCTGGTTTGGTTTTTTCGTATCTTATTTTGATTGTGAGCTCTATTTTTAAACCTCTTAGCTCTCTCAATTCTGACTTGATTTTATTTACAATTTGATATTTGTGCGTATCAAAAAATCTGACTAAATCGTCGTTAAAAAGTCTAGGAATCAGTTCCCAGTTTCTAAAGTTGTTTCTAAATCTCCTCGTCGCTCTAAACTCAGCCTCTTGAAAATCCTCGGGTTGCCTAGAGTTTTGAAAAATATTGTTCAAATTTTTCAAGGGGGTTGTTTTTTTTAGCAAAATTGTCTTGGAAGATTGTGCATCCATTGCATTTTTGATAGCTTCTGTGTATATTGGGAGAAAATGCCTTGATTGTGAAAATGTATGGTCTGGAAACAGGACAAAGGGAAAGCCAGCAGGGCGGTCAAACGAAGAGATACAGATGGCCTAGATGCAGACAAGAACCCGGGGCTGATTTCAGTCACGCTTCACTGCTCTCCACAAGTGCAGTTTTTTTAATTGGCAGTGACTCTCTGTGTGAAAAAGTTACTTTAACACATCATATATCGTCACCTGTAACGGACTTGCAGTGATTTGAAGGGTTTTATATTGCAGCCTCTGAATATTGACTTCCTACTAGGAGGGTTAAGTTACCAAGTGCAGGAATTTCAAACAAAGTCAATTGTACAAATATTAAAAATACTCTTTCTGCTGATTTGTCTTGCGTAACAACCTTTTCATTTAATTTGATGTAATTCCAAACAGGATGAATCGGGCCCTGACAGCTACACTTGCTACTCCACATATAAAAACCAACACTGTCAATTCCGTGGGGTATTGCCACCAACAACAGAAACACCAGCAGCAGCACCAGCAGCACCAGCAGCAGCACCAGCAGCAGCACCAGCAGCACCAGCAGCAGTACCAGCAGCACCAGCAGCCGCCAAACCAAAGGCTCCAGCGGTGAGCATTTGCAGTCGTAGTGGCTTCAGTGTGGATGTTCCATTTTTCCAAATCCTGCCTTTAAGAAATTGTAGTTATTACAAATTAATTACTCATTCTTTCTTCTGAGTCTCGCTCCTAAATCCAGAAAGAGTTTTGAGGGCAATGCTACAATCATTCGTACCTAGTGACGTATCAGCCCGTGCATGTATGGTTATTTTGGAATCGCGTTTTGCATTTGCCTGATCCGATCCTAGCTACGCAATGATGATCACATAGCAGCGCAGTAACCCCAAGGACAATTTTCATTAATTGGGTGTCAAACTTGCGCCAGACTTGAAGCTGGAAACTCACTAGAAACTTACGGTCAGAAACGCACTTTCGGCAAAAATATTGTTCAAATTTTTCAAGGGTTTTTTTTTTTTAGCAAAATTGTCTTGGAAGATTGTGCATCCATTGCATTTTTAATAGCTTCTGTGTATATTGGGAGAAAATCCCTTGATTGTGAAAATGTATGGTCTGGAAACAGGACAAAGGGAAAGCCAGCAGGGCGGTCAAGCGAAGAGATACAGATGGCCAAGATGCAGACAAGAACCCGAAGACAGTGGCAACTAATCCCTCGGGGACCCCTAAACCCACCCCTAAACCTGCAGCTCCTACCAAGAAAGTCAATGCAACGCTATCGGTAAATCAAATGGCTATGAAGTAACAAACTCATAATTCAGATTTCCTGTCTGTATTCCTGACTGATATTTACAGCAAAGGTTTCCGATAGTTTCGTTTTTACCCTAATCATCCTAGATCTGTCAAAATCCAACGTAAGGTTCTCTAGGATTGGTGGGTACAGCCCGGCCACTTTCCTTTTTATATTGTTTTTTTTTTTCACAGTGATAAATTAAAAAAAAAATTGTTAAGGTCGTAAAACAAAAATGGCTTGGGATTTCAGGTTAATGGGTTTGCAGAACTGTGACCAGTTTATAATGTGTACACAATTGCTTGAGTCACAAAAAAGGCTGAATGTTGATAGAAACTGAAAGTTGATGAAAGAAAAAAGTGTGACAGAAAGGCATTAGCCCTAACCTTCCTAACTCAATCAAAAGTTTATCCTCCGGTTTTGGGGGATTTTGGCTGACAAGCCATGAGTACCAAATCCATCAAAATCCACCTATAGCATTTGTGGTGGATTTTGGGGGATTTGGGCCTGAAGCAATATGTGTGAAGCAGAGTCAATAATGGATTTCGCAGACTTGGTACAGTTCTTAGTCAACCCAGAGTTTGGGTTGATGATTCAAACGACACACAATTCAGTGCATAATTGTTTGTTCTTTTCTACGTACATTGCTCTTATTTACCCTCACAAATATGGATGTTTGGGGGAAGATATCCAGTATCGTGTACACTTGTGCATAGCAGAGCATAAACAAGGTACGGCTTAAGACCTTGACACAATGCATCGTCCAAAATCAGTCAACACATTTTTGCCATTCAGCCTCAATCCTCTAAAACCCTCCATAGGCACCTGGTCGATTTTGGACAGCCTCGACTCCAGGGGCGTGCGCTCGTTCCTTACACTAACCCCTGGCTGTGATGATGACGTAAATGAAGCTGAATGGCTATTCACAACGTTCTGCGCGGGCATTTCGATGATTGCACACTGGGCGCGCCAATAATGCGCTCGCGCTCGCGTGCTTAGCTTTGCACGTAAGTCACGTACAGAAAAAAAAATTATGATTCAAAAGTCGCGATGCGTGTACGATATGGATTATGTCAGCTACGTTTTTCGCTTAGAAAACCCTGTTTCTGTGGTTGTAAAGGCACGAAAGGGGTACGTACATTTAATACAAATCTTTGCTAATTAACACAACGTCCAAACGTTGTGTTTGAAAGGATTGATTCTACAAAATCACAACTTTTAACATTTTAAAGATGGCGTCGGCACGTAAAACGGATAAACTGCAGCCCTAATTTATAATGTACCGTATTTTGGTATATTTAAATTACACAATTCCAGGGGTTACGATCGCGCAAGGCATGATGGGAAACAACATGGCGCTGCAAGATCGTACCCACGGGGCACGAGGTTGGATTTTGGAGGATTGAGGAGGGTTAGTGTCAATACTTGGCTGCTGATTGTAAAAGACTCAACCAAAGAAAGGACTCGACCGCTTTCACGTTGTTCCGCTTTTCTGTCTCATTGCACAGAAACCGCTGAAAGGAAGAGTGACCAGGACCAACAAGCGGGCTGGCCGTTACTGGGTCCTGGTACACCTTAAGCCCCTCGGACCCCCCGATCAAACGTTGCAGGTCACCCGTGAGTATTTGTTTTGCTTGTCTGAAGGCGAGCACCAGATTTCACGAAACTCATTGTAACTTACGATGCATCGCAGCGCTGCGACGCGTCGTATCCCTACGACGCGTCGCAGCTGCAACGCGTCCTGCGATCCATTTCAGAAATTATGTCATACATCTTCTTCTTCTTCCAGTTGAGTGCTAACTGTACAATTGAAGACTGCAGCACTTCTACGTGCGACGTGTCGTAGGTGTATTTGTAGCACAACTCGGTGACTGTTTTATGTATCAGCGTACAGTAAAAGGTCATCTGATATTTAACAAAGAGTCGTCGGATATCCTCTTGAAATTGATAAAAAGGAAAAAACAAAATGGCGGGCGTGCGATGCAATTTTTAAGGAAAACAAGCTCCCAGTGGACTGTGTAGCTACTTTGGAATTTCAACTGCAATATTCCAGGCTAATTCATAATTATTTATAATTATTATAACCCTAACTCCCTAGGCCTTTTTGCTAGGAAGGAGCCTCATCAAAATGCAAAATCCTCCAATTGGCGTCATGGAAAAATAGCATATAGCCTCAATCCTTTAAATTCCTCCATTATTTCTTGAAAATGGTCAGTGGAGGGGTGACTACAGCCTGAATCCTGCAAAATATTGCTTCAGTGACTGTCAATATGTTGAGGCTTGGCCAGTGACATCCTGGAGCAGTACAGAGGATTTCAAGCATAATCCAGGCCTATATTGATGCATGGCTGAGCAAAAACAACACAAGTTCCGGCCCAAGACCTTGACAAAGTGCATCCTACGAAATCAGTAACGCACTCTTGCCATGTAACCTCAATCCTCCAAATTCCTCCACTTTGGCAAAGAGGATTTTGAAGGATTCAGGGCGGTTAGTGTTAATGTATATGTAAATGAGATAGAGCTTCCATGGATGCAGTGACATGGAAACGTACTTAGAGCAAAACAAGTGATTTATCAGTTTGTTTTTCCAAAGAGAGTATGAAAAATACATTCAGCCTATTTATTATGCAGTGTCATTTGTGACATTCCATTGGAATGTTCTATTTTCAAATAAAGTCCTAATAAAGTAACTAACAATTATTTCATTTCTTTTGTGTTTTTTTTTTTTTTTGGCAGTCACCATCACAATGAAATCTCCCAGTGGCTTCTTGTCTGCCTACCAGGCTCCACTGCTTGTTGTAAGTGTTGAAAATATACGTATTTTTAAAAATACGTATATTTTAATTAATAAATTAAAAACTCTTTATTTTAATGTCAAATAGATAATTCTGTATGATAAATAAGTGAGCCTATAAAACGTTAACTGCACAGTCTGAGATTCCCTCGTAAAATTGTTTGACAGTTCTACGGTGTGATGTGCGGCGCCTACTCCATCCTGACGTTCATCTGGCTGATCTTGTTGGCCATGCAGTGGCGGGATCTGTTGAGGATTCAGTTCTGGATCGGTGGGGTCATGCTGCTGGGTAAGTGTCCTGATAAAAAAAAAAACTCTTAGAGGCCATGATATGTGTCACTGTGGTCCTTATGGTCAAGTTTTAAAGATGTTCATTTCAAGATTTAATGCTGGAGTCCATCATTTGCAGCTATCCAAAAAGTAACTGGTGTAATTCTTGTTGAAAAACATACTTGGTTGAAAGATAATAAAGGGGACTAAACTCCCTGTGAAATTATTCTTTCTAGAAAGCTGTCATTTTGAAAAAAATCAGCAAAAGAAGGCCTTTCCAAAGGTGCTTCTTAAGACGCACCATAGGAAATTTAAATAAGTAGTTCGTTTCGTTTTGCGGCAAAGCGCGTGCAAGCATTGCAGGACCCACACACGCGCGTGGTTGCGCATTCGTCGGATCAGTGCGCGACATCGCGTAGCTGCAATCGGCTCATTGAGAACGTGTCTCGGACGCTGAATTAAGGCCCAATTCAAAACATGATTCAGCAACTTTTGATTTGAAATCGAGATCCTAGAATGCTGTTTTTCTCGGAATATACAGCTGAAGCTGAGCTGAAACTTCATCAGTTTAGTTGTTCAATAGCCTTCTTTAGATTTTGAGCACGTTTGTTGCTTCAAACGAACAAAATGCACAAATTACAAGTGATGGACTGTACCTGTAAGTGTAGTCAATCATGAAACAGCAGAGCTATCATCAGATTGAAGAGATGTATTGAATGTATTGAAAGTTACATGGAGCAAGATACATGTACCTTGGTTTCTTCAGCAAAAATTTAAAGGTAGGGTAGATCATTTGTCTTTTGTGAACTTTTTTCGTTTGAAGCAACAAAAATGCTCAAAATCTAAAGACGGGTGCTGAACATATACGAACCTGATGAAGTTTTATCTCTGTGAATGCTGTATATTCCGAGTTAACAATATTCTAAGATCTCGATTTCAATGTAAAAGTAGCTGAGTCATGTTTTGAATCACGCCCGAAATCAGCGTCTAGGTCATGTTCTCACCGCGCCGATTGCAGCTACGCGATGTCAACAAGTGAACTGAAGAATAATAGCAACCACGCTCGCATGTCAATCTTGTCATTTATGGATTTGTCGAATTACAAACCAACTACTAATAGAAATTTCCAAACATGCATCACTTGACACATCTTTAGAAATGACCTTCTGTTATTGTTTCCTTCAAAATGACCCTATGCCAGAAAGAATAATTTCACAGGGAGTTTTGTGCCATTACTATCTTTAAACCAAGTAAGCTTTTCAACAATAATTTTGTCAGTTCCTTTTTGGATAGCTCCAAATGATCTATTCTACCTTTAAGGGAGCGTTTCAATAGTCCAACAAGTGGGAATGTTCCAAGCAGAAGTTCGGGGTGACTTTACCTGTTTCAAATTCAGACTGATGTTCCAGATTGGCTTTGAACCAAATTATTCTAAAGATTACGTGCACACGCCATCAAAATATCAACCGTTGCAGTTGTTTTTATTGGTTTTAGAGCATTTTGAGTTTTAGATGTCACTCAAGTTTCATTGAGTTTGCCTGCCTGAAAGTGCTCTTTGTGGGTGCGACACAAGAATATTGCACTTTGACAAAAAGCCACTCTGACAAAAAAACACTTTGACAAAAAACGTTTTTCATGGACGCATCAGTTCTGGCTGGTCGAGTGATTTTTTTTCTTCTTCCGAATCTGACTAGGCCTACTTGAGAAGGCAGTGTTTTATGCTGAGTACGAAAACATCAACAATTATGGCATGTCTGTTCCTGGGGCTATCATCGTGGCTGAGCTCATCTCATGTTTCAAGCGCTCATCAGCCAGAATGCTAGTTGTTATCATCAGCCTGGGCTACGGAATCTCGAGGTCAATCTCTTTTTTGTCTTCTTCTTTTTTTAGAAGATAATACTTTTCCTTAAAAGTGCATGCTGAATTTTAACCCTAACTCCCTCTGCCTTTTTGCTAGGATGTAGCCTCAATCCTGCAAACTCTCCAATTGGCCTCATTGGAAAATACCATACAGTCGCAATCCTGCAAATTCCTCCATTATTTCTTGAATATAATCCGTGGAGGGGTGACCACTGCCTGAATCCTGCAAAATCCTGCAGTAGTGACTGTCAATGTGTTGAGGCTTGGCCAGTGACATCCTGGAGCAGTACGGAGGATTCCAAGCATAATCCAGGCCTATATTTATGCATGGCTGAGCAAAAACAGCGCAAGGTCCGGCCCAAGACCTTGACAAAGTGCATCCTACTAAATCAGTATCGCACTTTTGCCATGTAACCTCAAACCTCCAAATTCCTCCACTTTGGCAAAGAGGATTTTGAAGGATTCAGGGCGGTTAGGGTTAAAAGTGATTGACAAAAACTGATTTTGTATCTCCTCAAGAGTGCGTGCTGAGTTTTAAGATTTTTGGCCTTGCATGATGTAATGGTACAGACTGATCCAGGCAAGCTATCATTCCATCTCGTTTGCGCTTTTCGCTAAGAAAAGCATTGTGCTAGCTATTGTTCAGATAATCCATCACGGGGCAGTTGTGCTTTAAACAATACCGTGCACAATGGTTACTCCATTGAAGGGGCCTCGTTAGTGGACAGCGAACGCATGCCCGGATTTGTCTTTGCAGAAACATCTTGTAGCAATAAGTTGTATGTCTAAGCTGTTACAAGGGTTCCCAAATTGAGGTCTTGTTAGTGTTTTCACCTGTAATGTAGTCTTTGTAATAAACCATGACGAAACTATAATATTTGAGCAGATTCGCTGATTAATTATGCAAGACAGTCGCATCTTGACCTCTAGATTTTGACCAATCAGCGGGCACTTTCTATATTGGGTCTTCGGTCATTCACCGTTGTTGCGTAATAGACATGGATTAAAAAAAAAATCAAGACACAGCAACAAAGGCTGTGGTCACGCGCTCTGTATTATGTTACGCGACACGCGCCCGGCTGTTGATGCATTACAAAACACTGCATTCGAATTGACCAATCACAGTTTGAGTCCTGATTTGAGAATGAAATGACGTCGCGATTGACTGAGGCGCACGATTGCATAAATCTGCCTGCTTCGACAAAACAGACATTATACAGGAGACTTGGCTCCGTGGATAACGGGTGATACTCAGACCAGACATCATGAGGAAAGTGCTGGAAATTAATGTGAAAAGTCAATTGCCAACAAAAATGAAACAGAGAGAGAGAGAGATAACAGAAATGATGTTCTTTCTTTATTACATGGTGTCCATTTAGTGTGTTTAAGCTTCTTTTTATTTTTTTGCTTCTCTTGTTCTGATCAGACCTCGTCTTGGTAAGGATCTGCACTGGGTGTTGGGGGTCGGGATGCTGTACTTCATCATGAGCTCAGTGGAAGCCTACTTCAGGGTCAAAGGAGTAAGGATGTTTAAATGAAACAAATTTTCAGTTACGTTTAAACGAAAGCCGCATTATGAACATTATGTTTACTCGATCTGCCCTCGAATCTACACATTTTCCAAGAATCAAGGATTCCTTGAAACCAATATAATTTATAAAGCATTAGAAACAAACACGTAGTACTTGATCACAATCCGGGTAGCTAAGTGTAAAAGTTTTCAGTGACTGCCGGCTTTCTACCGTGTCAGTTATATACAATGTATACAATTATGGGTTTTTTTTTCAACTGCATTGCAGATGTCTGTCGTATCTCATACCATCGCTGTATCTAAAGACAGAGCGTGCAGTGTATTTCACTCAATGTGTCTAATTAAATTGTCATGTGACACTACAATGATATGCAGACATGCAACCTTGCCTGGTACAAGTACGGCAACTTTGCCATTGCCAAATCTCATGGTCATAAGTATCTGTATGTACTATCTCTTTGTTTTTTATTGCATTGCTGGTTGATAGCAAATGTCCGCATGCTTATTGTGGACAATAACTAATCATATCATATCACAAAGAGTAGGAAGATAACTAGACTCGTGTATGAATTTGTCAGAGGATGATAATTCATTATTGAATATTTGTTTACTTTCTTTTCCTTTCATTTTCTCTTTTCTTCAGACTGACCAGAGCGATATGATTGCCATTCTCCCATTGTCTGTGCTCGACTCAGTCATCTGCTGGTGGATATCCTTTTTTTCTAATTCTTTTTTTTCCCTAAATGGTCAAAATTTTGTGATAATTGTTAATTTGTTTTTTATTTGATGGATTAAACAGATTGTTATATTCAGATACTGGATCAACTCAAGCCAAGAGTAGATCGTCCTTTAACCAGTTCTCGCCTGAGGCCGTGATAACATGCACTGGCTGTTTTTGTACACAGGCAGGGCTGACGGATTAAGACGTCAAGATCGCCTCGACTCGCCTCCAGGTGACGTCGAAACAGGCTAATCCCTCGTGCCTTTTGTTCACACACACAAAGTCTGTGTAGTCTGTGAAGGCGGACCGTGTGCTGACCGTTGTGCACGGCCTATTGTTGTACAGTATTTAAACATATGAGGTTATGGCCAGAAATATCCTAAAAATTCTGTTGAAATCACTCTTGCGAATCAGTATTTGTGGTGTTTGGCCTTATATCAGAAGTTGGCTGGGAAATTTTGCCTTTTGAACATTGTTTATTTTTGTCAAGAATAAACCCGCGTGAAGTGGTTAAATTATTTTTACAGCCATATGTGGGAGAATTATTTGGGGAGAAAATGTGTTCTACTTGGCCTCTAATGCTGCGAATTTTTGCTGTCATTTTCTCTTCTTTGGCTGCCAGGGTCAGGTCGTGGCCGGGAGAGGTCCTCCAGCAACACAACCTCCCATTATTTCCCCTTAGTTCAGAAGTATATATTGGGTCATGGGCGTCGCGAGGGGGGGCAAGGGGGGGCACTTGCCCCCCCCCCCCCCCCCCTGGAAAAGCAAAAAAAAAAAAAAAAAAAAAAAGGAAGAAAAAGAAAAGAAAAAAAAGAAAAGAAAAAGAGGAGCGAAGACAAAGTGGTGTAAATTTTATGAGTTGGGGGGGGGGCAAAATGTCCCTGCCCCCCTCTAGAAAAAATCCTGGCGACGCCCATGAATTGGGTCCTGCAACATCAGGATATCTTGCTGTAATGTTCACTCTTGCATATTCCTAAATCTCCTATAAAAAATTTCAGGGCCCTCAAATTGAAGGGTTTGCCTTGTAAACTCAAGATCAGTCAGATCAGTCAACACAAGAAGACTTTCACTTGAATGTACATGTATTGATATCTACAAAGAAAAAACTCTAGATTGTTTTGTTTTTCCTTAACGAGCCTTTACATTTTTAAAAGCCTTGTAGACACCACCAGGACTCTGCGCCTACGGCGCAACTTGGTCAAACTCTGGCTGTACCGGCACTTCACCAATACTCTCATCTTCTGTGTGGTGGCTGCTTTTGTCTTCCTTCTGTGGTCGATGAGAGTCCATCGTTGGACCGACTGTATGAAGGTCAGAATATTACTTTGACAATCCCACTTTTTCTCCTGGCTGCCGAACGACAGTTTCGAAAGCTGTAATATAATTAATAACAATTTGAGAATACAATAAAGCAAAAAATGAAATTAAGAAGCAGCTGTAATGTTTTTATTTTTTACAGTGTTATAACCGTGCAATTTTTTCACTCTTTCAAGTGGATAGATCATGTTTTGGAAATAAAGTCTTCATATGTTGCAGTGTATCGTACATTTGCTCTGAATGTACATTGCAGGAAGCATAGACCATCCTTTAAGTGGAATCTTAACTCATCTTCTTGTTGAAGCAGTTGGGGTTTTCATCCTGAGATTTGTATGCATAGCATCAAAGACCAAGATGTTCTCTTTTACCTTTATGTTAATATTCAGTTGCAGAGAGTTTGGGTTAAAAAAAAAAAGATGGACATCTTTTACGAGAGCTAACCGTGGTTGCCCTTTCTCTTCCTGTTGATTTTGTTTATTCAGAAGTGGAACTACCTGTGGTTGGACGACGCCTACTGGCATATCTTATTCAGTGTCTTCCTCGTTGTTATTGTCATCCTCTTCCGCCCGACGGCCAACAATCAACGCTACGCTTACTCCCCACTCACCAATCGAGAAGGGGACGATAAAAGCATAGAATCCATGCTCATCGACGCATTTGGTACGAACTGAGGGGAAAAAATGAAACTCCTAAATTAGAAACGTGACTCATGTGTAAAACCAATAATACCGGAGTGTTTTACAGCGCATGTATCTACCAACAATTAAGTACTCAAGGCGCTAGTAATTGTCTATTTTTTAAAGACGGGTAAGTGAAGCCACAATCTAGCCACAATAGATTGCTCTGGATTTGTCCACAAACTCTGCCTATTTGGTTGGTGAATATGTATTAAAATTGTCTTTAATAAGAACTGTGATGAATATGTGATGGTCTTGTAATGGACTGAACTGCAACATTCCCCAAGATTCCGACCTTGACCACGAACAGTCCAAACCCCTGTGTTCCTATCTTTTCTTCTATCATTTGAATCTTGCTTCATAAAGTCATGGGCACTAACGTGCAAACAAAGTCAAATGGATGAGTGTGCATACTTTTTCACTGCTATATAATGTGTTTCACAGTTGGCATTTGAAAGTTTATGTTTTTTTTTTTTACATCCACATTCTCCAGGGTGGGACAGGAGTGACGAAAGTTCTTGAACTCATTCGAGATGAATTCAGCCTTTCTATGGCCCTATCAGGTTGGTTATTTATCTCTTTTCCCCTTTGATTGGACATTTTAACAAAGCCGTCCTAGCAGTCGAAATCAATCGTGTGACTGTTTTTAACAGTTAAGAGCCCCCAGCCTACATAAAGCAGGATTGACAGGCTGTGACTGTTGATATAACTACAAAGCTTTTGCCTTGACTGTAGGCGATTGATGAGCCAGCTGTACCTACCAGATACCTGCGTTTGTCTGTTGACGGAATTTGACTAGCCAGAGTGCTTATGAGAAATTTGATCGGACTGTTGGTGACTAGCCTGTAAAGGCATGCGGGGAAAGAAGATTGATTTTTCGACAACCTGTGACTGTTTAGACAGCAGGACAATTTTTGATCTTAATGATCAAATAAACCCTAAAGGGAATTTATATGGTGCATTTTTAACTAATACCAGTACAGTAGATCATAACATTCTCATAAATCGATTATCTGCTCTCGATGTCACAGGCACAGCTCTACAATGGTTCCAATGGTATCTCACTGATCGTCATCAATCAGTGTGCATCAACAACACAACATCTTCTCCGACTCTTCTTGCTTGTGGTGTCCCGCAGGGGTCTGTCGGTGGTCCTTTGCTGTTCTCTATCTACACCAGTCCAAACGGCAAAATAATCCAGAGACACGGCATCCAGTATCATTGTTATGCAGATGACTTACAACTCTACATGTCCTTTGATCCGGTACAGTCCAGTGCATCATCTGCCATCGCCAACCTTGAAGCATGTATTGATGAAATAAGAACATGGACAACTGCCAATACTCTGAAGCTGAATGATGCAAAATCAGACTTCATCTTATTTGGCTCCAAGCATAATCTCAATAAAATCAACATCTCATCAATACGGATCGGTTCTGCTGACATCACCCCTTCGCTCACATGCCGCAACCTTGGAGTGATTTTTGCTTCCCAGCTGACATTCAACGACCATATCTCCAGCATATCCAAGTCAGTCGGATTTCATCTACGCAATCTTGGATTTTTTCGCCGATATTTGAACCGTACAGTGACTGAACAACTTGTACATGCACTGATTTCATCTCGTCTGGATTTCTGCAATTCACTCCTCTTCAACATTCCGCAATATCAACTAAACAGGCTCCAGCGACTTCAGAACGCTGCAGCTAGATTAGTTACGCTGACCAAGCGCTCCGAACATATCAGCCCAGTGCTGAGGTCTCTTCACTGGTTGCCCGTATGTGATCGGATATCATTCAAGATTTTGCTGCTGGCTTCCAATACGCTTAGTGGACTGGCACCAGAGTACCTCATTGATGCCTTACCGAGATACTTACCCGCACGGAACCTGCGCTCTTCGGAATTGATCAAACTTGTTGTCCCCCGCACCCATCGTTCATGGGGTACTCGTGCATTCCAACACTCTGCAGCATCCCTTTGGAACAATCTTCCTTTACACATAAGTTCAGCAGACTCAACTAACCAGTTCAAGAGAGCACTTAAGACTCATTTATTTGCTAAGTAATACTTGTCACATTAGAATTGTCATTGATTTTGGGATCAGACTAAATCTGCTTGTCTGTTATGATCATTTTATTCGTTAGATGTGCCCAGTTGTTTTTATTGGCAAATTGTGTATTTTATACAATATATCAATTTTATGTGTGTTTGTATAATGCTTATATATGTGTATGTATTTTGTATTTTTTTAGATGCTTTAGATGTATATGATTTGTTTCTTCCCATATGATTCCTTACTGTAAAAATTTCAGTTTTTCTTTGTTTTTAAAGGGGGTGTATATATATTTTTTCCAAAGTGATATCTGTCATATGTATTTGGTTTTATCCCTAGCATTTTGCTTGTCCTGATATATTTTCAATTCTTTCGGTCAATGTCTCTATGGGTTGGTAATTTGTATGTGTATAATATTTGTATGTATATATAATGTGTGTCTTTTTTTGGATACTTTTATATTTTTTGGATTGTGCGTATATTAAGTTTTTCTATTTTACTATTTTTATCTTTGACATTTTTATTACTTGTATCAACTTTTTTAAACATTTTAACATTACAGTTACTCTTTTTTTATATATATAATGCTATAGTATTAGTTTATGTTTTAAACTTGTAAAGCGCCTTGAGCGTCTTTTTTAGACGGATTTTGGCGCTGTATAAATGTTCTCTATTATTATTATTATTATTATGTATAACACTAACAAATAAGTTGATGGGAGCGGTGTTTGAACTCTCCAATGGTTTCAGGTTCAATTCCCTATGCAGTCACTTTTCTTTTGTTCAGCTTGATAACGAACCTGATTAATTCAGTTTCTAACTTGCAAAAATTGGTCACATATATGTTTTTTTGAAATCTGGATCAAGATGTTCCACCCGTTGTCCTTTCCGTATTTGATGTTAGTCTCAGTAGAAAGCAAGTTAGCTTGGTAAAGTCTGGATTTGGAAATGTGGCAGCTTTTGTGTACTCGCATACATGTACATTTAATGCAGGTGTAAATGGGTCATTCTATAAATTTGGGTGCACTTTTTTTCCTGTCCCTGTCACATCTGACTTCTATGATTTTATCATTCCGAAGCACCCCTGAATGCAGTCGTCCTCCAAGAGCGAATATGAATAGCAAACTACCTACCCAACAAATAAAAAAATAATTTGAAGTCATTCTTGATACTTGAATGGCATATTACAAAGTACCATAGGTAACAGGGACAGAAAAAAATGTCACACTCTGGACCCTAGCTTGGGTTTTAAACCTTGGTATAGTGGCCATCTGTTCACGGTATCCATCCCCATGATCGGTCATCCGGGCTGGATCGAATGTTTTTCGCAGGATTGATTGAAGAAGTTCAACTGTTATCTGTTAGGACAATGGGGAAGTCACTGTGAGAATTTGTGAGAGAATCATAAAAATTATCATTTTTATCTTTTTTTTTCATTCCTAGGTTGCACCTCCATAGCAGATATCACACCGGATCTCGTACGGAAAGACAGATTCCTTGTCATGGCAAAAATGTAACACTTGAAAATCAAATGCATCTTACGATATAGCAGAATGAATCGTTCAAAAGTTCTTAATAATTTAAAATGATACTGTTTACGCTATAGTCTGAGGTATTTTTGTAATACCTTTTGGTTAAATTTTTGAAGAGTATGATCATTGGTACACAGATCAAAATTTCTTAATCCGACATAAAAATGGACCTAATGATACATCTTTGTTTGTTATATAATAGATTATTGTTACAATTATGTTTCTTTTATGTAATTTTTATATGGAGTTTGTACTCTATAATTAAGAACCTTCGGTGGTTGCTAAGTTTAATTCCTTGTTATTTGTCCAAACTTCAGATAAGTTTCCCAAACCAGTCCCCCAAAAATATTATTCTCAATTTTTGACATGTTTAAATGACTGAATATTAATTGGTCTACTGGCAGATCATTTCTGAGTGACTATAAAGCTTTTGAATGTGGGAAAATTGTTTAAAAATGGTTTTAAAAAAGGGGGAGCCTAGCTCTATCATGCATTAATTCATTAAAAGTGATTTTTTTTTGCTCTGTTTATTATAGCAAAGTAACAGTGGAATAATTTTCAGAATATGGTGATTATAAAATTCATTGAAAATTATCTAATGAGAATAGCATTAAAATGGGTTCTTTGACAAATTGAAAAATATGTAAAAAACAAAGTGCTCAATTTCATCTTTTCAAAGAGGGAAAATCTTGTCCAGAAAGAAATAGGTTGAGTCTCAAAAATAACTATGCAAACATGTGACAGTCGACATTTAAAAGGTTTATAATAAGTATTTTCCTTTCAATATTTTAAAGTGACTTTAAATGTGAAATAATGAAAAAATATAACTACGAAGATTGTACAGATAAATGAAATAAACACCAAAAGAATTATACGATACTGCCTCGTCTATCCAATTTCTTTTGTGTTGTATTTGCGTTTTGAAATGGGGGTGGGGGGAGTGCCCCAAACCACATTGAAAAACTATTAATTTGAGACGAAAACTTTGAATGTCCTTCGACTCGACCAAACGATTGGATCGGGGGGAGGGGAGTAAACCCAGGCCTGGTGTTTTGAGGTCTAGCAGTCTTGGTAAATTGCAACGATTTAGATTCTGCAAAGCCGGCCCCAGCCATATCTGTTCCTCACCATGATAACATTTTGCCATTAAACATGTTTTTCGTTTAGGTAATCCCGTAATTTAATATAGTCCTATGGTTTATCCAGAAAACTCGGTTAAATTCATAGAGCTATTGTACTCCAAGCGCACGTGAACGTCTGATTGCGAGACTAGCACTTTCGTGGGGAGAAACTTTTGTCACATCGATGTGTGGTGGCGCTCTTCGATTCGGCGAAAAAACACCTCGCTGGTACGCGGTACATGTCTAATGCGTTTGGACCGGAAAGCCTGGAAACCATCGTGCACTGCCAACGTACAATTTGCCAACATGGAGTCGAGTCTTCGGATTTTGTGTCTAGTTTCGTTTTTGACAGTTTTCGTGAATTTTTGTTCTTGCGATAGCCCCGAGCATGGAATTTTTAATGTCACTTTGAATGAGGTAGTGTTTAAAATAATGACTTTTTTTGTTCCAAAATTGAGTGCATTTTCTGTATTAAACTTCACATTTTGTAGAACTTGTCCAATTTCCGGACAATTTTTTTCAAGGGGGGGGGGGGGGGGGGGAAAGAATGTTGCATCCTGATGCCACTTTTTTTCATCATATATGTAATGATATCTCAATGAAGGTCAGTCATTGCAAAAATGTTGAAAAGACCTGAAGTTGGACTGACATGACCTGATGACTGAAACAATTTCAATTTTGTTAGAACATGTAGAAAATAGGCCTACTTTGAAAATGCACTCGACTCTCAGTCTTACTCTAGACTAGTGTCTAGCCCCATAATTGTGGCTAATTTACTAGACTACCTCCATAAATAAGGGCCACACTTAGAATGTGTACCCGAAAATGTAGAACTAGAAGTAGAACTTTGTCATATTTTGAATTTTCACATTAATTTAGACATGTTAGACTTTGTTTGTAGTTTATTTACGCTTAGGTTAGAAGCACACTCACCCTCTTCATGGCGATGGAAAAGAAGTCCTGCCTTTCTCAAATGTCTCTTGTTTGTGTAATTTCCAGGCTCATTTGCACATGTTTGCGTATCTAATTTCCAATATCAAAAAAGATCACGCGTGTGCTGGATCGTTTCTGCTGTCAGTCACGTAGACTTGAGTTAAGGTGCTCGTGGTAACCCGGACACTAGTGCAGAGGCCAACGAGCTCCGCCACTCGCGTGGTCTTGTTTTGTGTCTGGGTACAAAGTCTAAATGTGAAAATCAAAATTTTACCAAGTTCTACATTTTTGGGTACATGTTCCAAATGTGGCCCTTATTTACGGAGGTAGTCCAGTAAATTGGCCACATTTATGGGGCTATCGAGTCTCCATCACGTCCATCAGTCAGTGTCCATAGACTTTGTACACAGCCAACGAAGTGGTGTCTGGATATTGCTTTCTTTCCGGGATTTTTTTTTTGGCAGTAAGCATCGCCAATGGAACCACGATTATTCAGTAGTTTCAATATTAATTATTCTTGAGAAAAAGAAGAATTACGTCACAGCATTGTTATGACTTAGCTTAAGACTAGAGGCTTAGTCAATTAGGCTTACAAAAAAAATAACATGACTAACTAGTTAATTTAAACGTTAACCAAATCGAAGAGTTTATTAAGCCGTGAACCCGTCCCATATTTTTTCACCCCACCTTGTGATTTGATTGAAGACAAATCAATAGGTTTGGCAAAACTGAAAACATCTCGGGAAAAAGGTGTTTTTAGAGCTCCATCTGTTTAACACAAAGTCACAAAGACAATGTTACTAGCTCGTAACCGGATGAAAAGTCGTTATGTAAAAAATTTCTGGGTCCCAAAAAACAGTCACTGCGCATGTTCAGTGCCATGCTCAGCTGGTGCAATACTGAAAACAATTGCGTCACTGTTAATTGCGTTATGAAATTAATCTTGTTGCTCTGGCTTCACGAGTTGCGTTGCGATGGCTGTTTCTTGTGAAAAATCAATCTGGTGTTGAGTCCCATTTTGAGGTGGAGTGCTTCGGCTTAAAAAAAAAATGTGAACTTTTTTTTTTAAACACGTGTTCGAGAGACGTATGAAAAATGAAAATTATGATGAGGATCAATTACATGTACATGTGAAAATCACCCTGTAATACCTAACTATCAGAAAATACCTGAATGAGCGACCACATGGCAGCATAGAAAAAGTGTTGTACATTGTTGTGACTGATGCGCAGCTTGATGTGTGCTGGCATATCATGAACAGTTCAACTGTGAGGTGTCAACTTTCTCGGAAACAAAGTGGAAGAAAATTGTCCACTTTTTTGGACGCACAGACCGATCAGCAAGATTTCCCAGTCTTGTACTCTCCATGTAAAACAGGCTTCCAGCAATTGCTAGTTTGGGAAACAAGACAAACATCGTTGTACCTGACGGCTGTTTGCAGTATGTCGATGATCTCAACATAGTTAAATCTGTTCATTTTAAGTTAAAACCTTAAGGCAGGGCTGAGGTCTAGGGTTCGGGTAGACATATTCTGGTGCTGCATAAGCCCTTTAACACAATTTCAACATCAACTGTTCTTTATGTTTGCTCTTGTTTCAGAGGGATCGTTTCAATGGCGTTTCCAAAAACCTGGCTGAAGATACTGAAATAGCCATAACAGGTACTTATGCCAAGATAATGATAATAATACTAATATAGAATATGAGTTGATAACTGTGGCGTGTGATTGGTCACTGACATGTTTGTGTTTTCTTTTTTCTTCCAGTTGACTGTAACGGGAAAGGGAAGTTTGCAATAGAATGGGTTGTGCGCTACACAGAATGCAATGGGCTGACTATGGTAAGGATGGGAATCTACATTTATTAAACGTTTAACAAAACTTTCCCGTAGCGTTTAAACATTTAAACAATTAGCCAACACTTCAGAAAGGTTGCCACCTGTTCCAGTATGTGTGTGGAAGCTGCGGTCACGTGTCTTTGTGTACACATGTACAACCCTAACGTCCTAGCCATTACTTTGGGATAAAGAACTGAATACTACAGAATACTACAAAATTATGAATGCAGGCACCACGTACCAAAAAAATACTATGAGTTTTATGCCCACTTATATGCTGAAGTACTGCATGTTCAGTTTACTACTACATGTAGTAGTAGTATTTTGTAGCTTTAGGTGAGGTTAGGTTAACCATTTTTTTCCCCAACTGCTGAATCCAACAGGATCCAACTATGTCACATACCCAATGGAGCCTGTTGGATTGGGCAGTAAACCCCTTGTGTACATTCCTCATGTAAAATGTTGGACTCAGCAGGCAACTGAACCGCATTATAACGCCAAGTTGGACTCTGTTAGATCCAGCAGACAACTGAAAATAAGGCACAGTGGAATGAGCAGGAAACTCCCGTTGGACTCTGTTGGATTTAGCAGGGTAGTCCTGAGGAACTACTAGGGCGTTGTGTTCAGCGATATCAATCCATGATGAGTTTATTGCAATAAACAAAACTAGAGGCAATGTGCACTTGGCATCTTTTAATTTAGCCATCTATATGGGTGCAACTCTATTTTCTCCTTCAGGTTTTTACTTCTTGCCAACTGACCGGCCCTACTTCAGAGGCCAAAAAATATGAGAACCATAGAACTAAAACGGGACGCCTTTATGGATAAAAATAGAGTCCATACATTCAAAGCTTCTGATCAAAGTAAATTGTTCTGCTGACGCAGGCATTTCGATGTCGGTTTTTCTTGCTCAATTTGACAGGATAATGCAACGGATTACATCAGTAGCCTCTTTGACGGTACTAGAGATTTACCGTTACATGAAAGGATGAAGTTTGACGCCGAGGACTATATCGCTCTACAGTGGAGCAATGCATCCAACAAACTGAGTTGTGAAACTCCGCATTTACTCCTGCAGGTGGGTACGATTGTTGGACCAAAAAAAACATTAACTCTAGGGATGGTGAGAACTTTACGTATTAAGCTGTACTCTATACCACTTTGCATCCACTTTTTCTTCGGTTAGAGAGCAAAAAAAAAGGTATTTGAGAATGGCCCCCCAAAAAATGCTTCAGAGTTGAACACCCTGGTCCAGTGTTTATGGAGTTTGACTCATGTGCAGTGATACTGGTACATGTATGTGGGGTCTAGGGCCCAATTAGGATTATGGTGTTTGTGTTCATAGACAAGACATTAAACCCTAACCACCCCGACTCCGTCAAAATCCCCCCCCCCCCCCCCCCCATTTTGGTGGGTTTTTGGGGGACTTGGTCCAGTAGGGCCGGTGTGACTGAATATTGATGGAGTATGATGGACTTGGGCCTAATGACTTGGATTTTGCCTAGCTTCCTGTATTGCTATTTTGATGAAAGCCATGTGAAACAAGTTCATGAATGTCAACCAGTGCATCAGTGGTGGATTCTATAGGTTTTCCCGGACAATTTTGGAAAATGTGCACATGAATTTGTAAAAAAAGCATTCGTTTTCGTGCGAAATAGAATGAACTTTCTAAATTCCTGTTTCTATTTAACAAATGATAATTCTATTTCCATGAAGGTGCATTCATTCGTAAAAAATCAGCGTACAGTTTCCCGACTGTGCACTGAATTTGGTGTATTGAAATTTCATTTTAGAGCGAAATCGAAGGCACATCCGCAATCCTGTATTCCTTTTAATTTATCATCAATCTATTTCGCTATATGTGCAGCCGATTTCCTGCGCAGCGTTGTTTAACGTATGCCTGGTCAAGCATTGAAATTCATTTATGTGTTCACAAAAGAAACACGAGGAATGTTTGATTGAAGGATTGAATATTCATGATGATTGAACTAAACCAAGTGGTGTATAGTTTTTTTAAACATACAATACAATAAATCCTACATAAAGACCTAAGCTGAAGACAATCGTTCCTTTTTTTTGTGCTCAGCATTTGCCACAAACGCATCATATAACCAAGCATTCGAACTGATAAAATGAGAGAGAACTTTAAGAAATACAGAAAGATGTTAAAATACAATTAAGACAAAGAGCCAACAGTAAAAGTATCCAGATCCCATGTAACATGACACATGGTGATTTCTTTACCGTCCCAATATTAGCCTACAAGACTACATTGATTGATTTTATTTTGGTAAGATTTATTATCTTTTTAACATTTCATTTGCCTATTTATAATAGGCCTTTGTGTACATAAGAACAAACTCATTAATGATCAATTAGGCCTACCATACATTGATTAATTAATGAATCAATCAAAGCTGTATCGTGATTTGTATAGGCTGTATAATCTATTTAAATTAAATGCAGACTTTGCGAATTTAAATTATGACAAATGAAAAAGAATGTACAATTCAGCCCCTGTCACAATAACAAATAAATTTTCTGCAAAATGGATTGCACATTCGTAATAATCGGCAATACATTCGTTAAACCGAAAGTCTAATTACGTTTTTGTAATCCTTTAAATGAAACGTTATTGCACATTAATTCCAGGGTTCTCCCCACGTACAAACGTGCGTATCGGCCCGATACGCTGGAATTGTGGCCCGATACGCCGACAAAAATGCCGATCACATTTTTCAGCCCCCGATACGCACAATATAATTTATTACACAAGCCATTAAAATGCACAACATTATCGTTTCTTACGCCATTATTTCATCTTGACATTCAAAATCTTGACAAAAATCCCGTATTTCTGATGCTGCATGTGTGATCAAAATGCACACGATGACGGGTCTTTCGCGACGACCGCCAGCACCCAGCTATATATTAGCGCATTCAGCATGGTACACTGGTTCCCTTCGCGTGCTAACAGTATCAATGCTATGATGATGAAGGACCGGAACCAGTGACTACTGCCTTGTACGTGCATACATGATGATTTCGGCCGAAGTTGGATCGTAAAAACACCAAACAAACATCGATGGAGAAAGAGAATTTCTGCAAATTAATTCACAGAACGTGATCTCTATTTTCTGTGTATGTATTTTCCATTAAAATGACGAGATTGCAAAGCTCGAACGTATGGCGAAACATCGTACGCGTAGCATGCTTCTTAGAAGCAGTGGTGCAAAATTTTCAGCCACATGGGATGGGCCGTACACAGTTCAGTAATGCACACTGATGCTGCGCCGTGTCGGTACGGTGAGCACAGCGCGATGTACAGCCGGCCAGACTGAATGTTGACGGCGCCAGGGGCCATGATGTACGTTAAACATATTGTGGAATCAACTACCTCAAATATATTTTTAATTAGGTGAGGCAAGTTTTAATCACTTTTGATGGTCAGTCTTGATAATTTTCGTGGTGCAAAGGAAAATAATCCAGGCACAAAACTACATGATTCCTTGTTCAATATGCTCCATTCAATCAAGTGTTTTTATTCCTCCATGATTCAATCAGCAGCCCAAAAAATTGGCGAAATAATTTTTCCGACTTACCGACGCTATTTTGAAAGGCATGTAATCGGAAGCAAAAGTGATATTTTTCTTCACCTTAATTTCTTAATTTGAAACTTGCTTGTTAATATAATTCATACTTTCTAGATCAGGAAGTTTTAACACAGGTTTTGAAATGTAGATTTTTTTTTTTAAGTTAAAAATTTTGATATATTTTTTTCTTTAATTACAAAAAATATCACATGATCTCCTCTAAATTTTAAGAGAAAATCTTCCTCAAAGACTCCCCAGATTTGCTCTAAAATGCACCAGAGAGCCTCTAAAGTTCAAAATTTTTCGGGGCCCTTAAGCGGGCCCCGAACCCCACGCCATGGCTTTGCAGGTTGGTGAATCACAACAAAACTTCCCCCACAGGTTTGAAAAAATCCTGGGGAGAACCCTGAATTCATTTATTTAAATGATGCAAAATAAAATTGAATGCTAGTTATTGCGAAAATGAAACCAGGATATACATCGTTCCCAAAATCAGTGCCAAATTGAATTTTTGTTTTACAAATTCAAATGCACATTTTCCGAAATTGTCCGGGAAAACCTATATTATGCCACGTACAGTTTTGTATCGGAAGCATTGTGATTGATAGATATTGATGGACTTGGTCCAGTTCCTTGTAAAAGACGTGAAGGAGCTAGGGTTAACCTACAATAGGTTGATCCAAAACCTCCTACTGTTTCAACGCTCACAGAGAGTCAAAAAGTCTATCCACTTCCCCTGCCATGTGTTTTAAACAGGCTAGCCACCAACAGGCAGATCATACTTGAAGCAAGCACTCTGACTAGTCAAATTCAGACAAAAGCAGGCAACTGGTTGGAACAGCTGTCTTATCAATCACCTACAGTAAAAGCATAGCTGTATCAAGTTATATAAATAGTCACAGCTAGTCAGGAAGCACCGTTAAAAACAGTCACTTGACTGATTTTGACTGAAAGGACAACTTTGCACAAAATGTACATTTGCAAAGGAGGGTTAAGTGTTTTGAGACAATTCCACATTGCACAGTATAATTACTAGTAATGGCTTGCTCGTAGTCTATTTCACAACCCTTCAAGTTTTGCAAAAATACTTTTGCCCATAGAGTTAGCACCCACACTTCAAATTCCTTTGAGACAATCTTCTGTAGAGTATGGATAGCACTTCAAATCCCTGCAAATTGTGTTTTTGTGGTTAAGCTCAGGGCAAGCGGGCAGATTTCAGTCACGCTTCACTGCTCTCCACAAGTGCTGTTTTTGTAAAGAGGTTGTGGAATGCCTGAAGACATTTCCGTCATTTTTCGGGTATATGTAGCCTATTAAGGTGTGATGAAATAAAAACGACTATTTTGTCTGTCATGAAATGAGTACAAAAGGTAATTTTGAGAGCTGTTTTTCAGGTCCTGTTTCGACCCGAACGTGCAATTTGTGTAAAAGTCTTCGTTGGGGGCAGCAAACAAAACATAGTAAATTGTGACGTAATAAACAGGACTCCCGATGCAGCGTAGAATAAACGAGTCCTGTTTATCACGTCATGATTTTTCTCATTTTACGAAGAACCCGACGATTGTTGATTTCAATTATGCGCTCGCCGACCAACAAATTACTCAATGAATTTCAGTTTTATAAACATATAAACGCACATTACAAAAGAATGGGACTTTGTCATTATGATATATATGGGTCTACTCTACAATAAAAAAAATATATAAAAAACAAAACGACTTTCAGCATTCCACAACCTCTTTAATTTGCAGTGACTCTCTGTGCGAAAAAGTTACTTTAACACGTCATATATCTTCACCTGCAACGGACTTGCAGTGATTTGAAGGGTTTTATATTGCAGCCTCTGAATATTGACTTCCTACTAGGAGGGTTAAGTTACCAAGTGCAGGAATTTCAAACAAAGTCAGTTGTACAAATTTGATGCGATCAAGCTTAATGAGTCGTTTGTCGATTTTTTTTTTCCACAGGTTTGAAAAGAGAACAATCTCAGCATTACTGCTGTGAAAACAGCATGCTGGTACCATCTTTAGTTCAAAAATTGTGGAAGTTGGAACACCAAGAAGTGTGGTGATGTGATGAAGTGGTCCGATTTTGGTCTGAATCTCCAAATGAAAATTCCCGACAAACGATTCATTTAGCCTGATCACTTCACTAATATTGAAAATACTCTTTCTGCTGATTTGTCTTACGTAACAACCTTTTCATTTAATTTGATGTAATTCCAAACAGGATGAATCGGGCCCTGACAGCTACACTTGCTACACCGCATATGATAACAAACACTGTCAGTATCGTGGGGTATGGACACCAACAACAGAAACACCAGCAACAGCATCAGCAGCAGCAGCACCAGCAGCAGCAGCACCAGCAGCAGCACCAGCAGCAGCACCAGCAGCACCAGCAGCCACCAAACAAAAGTCTCCAGGGGTGAGCATTTGCAGTCGTAGTGGCTTCAGTGTGGATGTTCCATTTTTCCAAATCCTGCCTTTAAGAAATTGTAGTTATTACAAATTAATTACTCATTCTTCTGAGTCTCGCTCCTAAATGTTTACTTGTGTTTCTTGAATTTGCAAATGGTTTAACCAGATATGTGCACTTTGAGACCATATTTAAAGCAGGTATATACATCCTTTTTCAAAATCTTTGTTTTCTTGTACTTTTTGTCTGAACAAATTTTAAAAGGAAAATAATATCCCCTAAAAAATAAGTTTGTTTGTTTGCATTTGCAGGCTTTTACACAGTTTTAAAAAGTGTTTTTAAATGACCCGCAGAAACTTCAGAAAGAGTTTTGAGGGCAATGCTACAAACATTCATACCTAGTGACGTATCAGCTCGTGCATGTATGGTTATTTTGGAATCGCGTTTTGTATTCGCGTGATCCGATCCTAGCTACGCAATGATGATCACATAGTGTTTCGCAGCGCAGTAACCCCAAGGACAATTTTTATTAATTGGGTGTCAAACTTGTGCCAGACTTGAAGCTGGAAAAAATATTGTTCAAATTTTTCAAAGGGGGTAATTTTTTTAGCAAATTTGCTTTGGAAGATTGTGCATCCATTGCATTTTTAATAACTTCTGTGTATATTGGGAGAAAATCCCTTGATTGTGAAAATGTATGGTCTGGAAACAGGACAAAGGGAAAGCCAGCAGCGAGGTCAAGCGAAGAGATACAGATGGCCTAGATGCAGACAAGAACCCGAAGCCAGCGGCAACTAATCCCTCAGGGACCCCTACACCTACCCCTAAACCTTCAGCTACTACTAAAAAAGCCAATGCAACGCTACCGGTAAGTCAAATGGCTATGAAGCAACAAACTCATCAATGATTTCCTGTCTGTATTCCTGCCAGAAAGTTACAGCAAAGGTTTTCGATAGTTTGGTTTTACCGTAATCATCCTTGATCTGTCAAAATCCAACACAAGCTTCTCTAGGATTGGTGGGTACGGCCCGGCCACTTTCCCTTTTATATTGTTTTTTTTTCATAGTGGTAAATTTTAAAAAAATTGTTAAGGTCTTAAAACAAAAATGGCTTGGGATTTCAGATTAATGGTTTTGCAGAACTGTGACCAGTTTTGTAATGTGTACACAATTTCTTGAGTTACAAAAAAGGCTGAAAGTTGATAGAGCCTGAAAGTTGACGAAAGAAAAAGAAATTGTGACCAGAGGAAGGCATTAACCCTAACCTTCCCAACTCAATCAAAAGTCCATCCTCCGGTTTTGGGGGATTTTGGCTGACAAGCCATGAGTACAAATCCATCAAAATCCACCTATAGCATTTGTGGTGGATTTTGGGGGATTTGGGCCTGAAGCATTATGTGTGAAGCAGAGTCAGTAATGGGTTTTGGCAGACTTGGTACTGTTCTTAGTCAACCCAGAGTTTGGGTTGATGATTCAAATGACACACGATTCAATGCAATTTTTTTGTTCTTTTCTATATACATTGTAAAAACTCAGCATTGTTATATTAGGTCAGCTGTGTAATAAGTTTCATTGTTGTCTAGTTTGCTATTATTTACCCTCACCAATATGGATGATTGAGGGAAGATATCCAGTATCATGTACTCTTATGCATAGCTGAGCATAAACAATGCAAGGTACAGCTTAAGACCTTGACACAATGCATCGTCCAAAATCAGTCAACACATTTTTGCCATTCAGCCTCAATCCTCCAAACCCTCCATAGGCGCCTGGTTGATTTTGAAGGATTGAGGAGGGTTTGGGTCAATATTTGGCTGCTGATTGTAAAAGACTCAATCGAAGACAGGACTCAACCGCTTTCACGTTGTTCTGCTTTTCTGTCTCATTGCACAGAAACCGCTGAAAGGAAGAGTGACCACGACCAACAAGCGGGCTGGCCGTTACTGGGTCCTGGTACACCTTAAGCCCCTCGAAACCCTCGATCCAACGTTCAAGGTCACCCGTGAGTATTTGTGTTGCTTGTCTGAAGGCGAGCACCCGATTTCACGAAACTCATCACAACTGACGATGCATCGCAGCGCTGCTACGTGTCGTATCCCTATGATGCGTCTCAGCTGCGATGCGTCCTGCGATCCATTTCACAAAACATGTCGTACGTCTTCTTCTTCTTCCAGTTGAGTGCTAACTTCACAATTGAAGACTGCAGCACTTCTACGTGCGACGTGTTGTAGGTGTATTTGTAGCACAACTCGGTGACTGTTTTATGTATATAGTCGGCGTACAGTAAAAGGTCATCTGATGTTCAACAAAGAGTCGTCGGATATCCTCTTGAAATTGATAAAAATTAAAAAACAAAAAGGCGGGCGTGCAATGCAATTTTTAAGGAAACCAATCTCCCAGCGGACTGTATAGCTAAGTTGGAATTTCAACTGCAATATTCCAGGCTAATTCATAATTATTCAATGCATTTTCTATTTACAATTTTACACACATTGTCTTAGTATTAGAATCTCATTTATGTATTTTTATGGCATAATACTGGCTAAGATAAGGATGCCTCCTATTTGCAATGACCACTAGGCACGTCGTAACTTGCGACGTGTTTAAGCCGTTGTCAAGGAACTTAACAACGCGTTCAGCACATCGCAAGTTTCGTGAAATGGATCATACGACACTTCGCGGATTGCAATGTGTTACACGTCGTAACTCAGGTTTGGACGCGTCACAGCGCTTTGTGACTGCACCCGATTTCACGAAGCGCTGCGACACGTCGCAACTCGAGTTACGACGTGTAACACATCACAACTCGCGACATGTCGTATCATCCATTTTACGAAAGTTGCGATGTGTTGAACGCATCGTAAGTTCCTTGACAACAGCTGGAGTCACGTCGCAAGTTACGACGTGTCTAGTGGTCATCGCAAAATAAGAAGAGTCCCTTTCTTAGCCAGTTTAATGCCATAAACATTACAAAAACGAGATTATGATACCGAGGCAATGTGTAAAGTTGTAAATAGAAAATTTATTGAATAATTACGAAGTACACTGGAATATTACACTTGAAATTTCAAAGTAGCTATACAGTCCACTGAGAGCTTGTTTTCCTTCAAAATTGCAACGCACGGCCGCCATTTTGAGCTGAGATCCAACGACTCTTCGTTGAATATCAGACGACTATTTACTGTTTGCTGTCTAAAGACACAAAACGCAACCACTGTTTTAAAGTTCTGTCCACAGATCACAAAAAAAGGTGTGTAATCTTTCAGCAAAACGAAAACAATTCACACACACCCCTATGTGATTTGTTTTCGTTTTGCTGAAAGAACACTTACCTTCTTCCCTGGACAGAACTTTAAAACGGTGGTTGTGTTTAAAATTCTGTAACTTGAAAAGTACCTGAGTGATTTGAATGATTCTTGCACTAAAAGAAAGCTTATGGATTGGGCTTTCGTATCCTAGATTTTAGAAGTGCTACATTCGAGACTTCACTAAAACAATAGTTTCGACATTTGGGTTTCGCTTTTTTTACTCGCCCTGTATGTCCGACCTTCATGGTTTGATATCAGTACTAATGTATATGTAAATGAGATAGAGCTTCCATGGACACTGTGACACTGAAACGTACTTAGAGAAAAACAAATGATTGATCAGTTAGTTTTTCCAAAGAGAGCATGAAAACATAAATTCAGCTTATTATGCAGTGTCATTTGGACATTCCATTGGAATGTTTTTAATTTTCAAATAAAGTCGTAATAAAGAAGCTAACAATTATTTCATGTCTTTTGTGGTGGTTTTTTTTTTTTGGTAGTCACCATCACAATGAAATCTCCCAGTGGCTTCTTGTCTGCCTACCAGGCTCCGCTGCTTGTTGTAAGTGTCGAAAATATACTTCTTGCTATTTTATTGTTTGCATATTTTTTTAATTAAAAAACATATATATATGTTTTTTTAGCTGCGGGATAGCAGCTAAACAAATCATCGTGTCTCTCCGTTATTCCGATAATGTTGACATTGTCTATCGGTCCTATATATTTTTACCAATATCAACTAATTTTGTCAAAGTACATGTATCAGTAGCCCAGCCCCACCATGTCACATGACCAAACTGGGGTCAAAGGTCAGCATGGGGTCACTGGGGTCAAAAACCTGATTTTGTACTCATAACACTACTCCTGCCAGAAATAACATGACGCAATCACGTGACTCATGCATGAACACAAAATCATTGGTCCGCAGCTTCCGATATAATTCCGATCGATATTGTTGAATGGAGTCATAAAATTGTGCAGATATCTTTATGTTTGTCTTTCCGGGCATTCGGGCACATTAGAGCATTTTAGCCCTTCACCATTTTTTAAAAAATCATTTAATCTGTCGGCTATCAGAAACTGTACCTTAACCCTAACCCTCCAGGGTATGTTTGCTAGAACCCTGCCAAACGCAGCAACATGCAGCACTTGACTATTAAGTGACAAGCCTGCCAAATGTAGCAAGATGCATCAGGGGAAAAGTCTCAAGGCCACACTGCCTCAGAGTCCGTGGTCACTGCACGCAGCAGGATACAACTGTGGCATTGTTCAGTGGGACTTAGCTCTCATTGTTTCAGAGCTGGCCATTCATGCGCTGGTGTTGGCAGCTGAATGCATCAAAGTGTACCAGTTCTTTTCCACCTGGTGCACTGTGTTGCGTCTGGCAGGGTTAGGGTTAAGTAGGGTTCGACTTTAGCGGTAGCCCGCTAGCCAAAACAGCAGCGAGCTGCTTAAGTAGCTCAGCTGGCGAGTTAAAAATTATTGGGCTACGGCAAAGATGAAAGGACAGGAAGGAATAAATCATTAAATTCAGAAAGCAAACCTGTATCAATTTGTGTCTGATTTTATTGACTGTTTAGGGTTTAATTATTAGAACTGTTGATTATAAACACTGACAAGATTGCCTCAGGATACATGTTTTACATGTATGCACATTGTTGTTTATGAGACACTCTATAAAAGAAAAGCATACGGGCTATTGAAAATGCCCGCAGGCTAGTTAAGAGTCTTTTCAGTAGCCCGGCTGGCTTGTTAATAAAAAATGAGTTAAGGTCAAACCCTGCCTTAAGCCATTGAAGCTTCTTAGGTAAAAGATTTTGAATTTAAAATATTATTTTGTACTTTAATGTCAATACATAATTCTGTATGATAAATAAGTTGAGCCTATAAAACTTAACTGTACAATCTGAGATTCCCTCGTAATATTGTTTGACAGTTCTACGGTGTGATGTGCGGCGCCTATTCCATCCTGACGTTCATCTGGCTGATCTTGTTGGCCATGCAGTGGCGGGATCTGTTGAGGATTCAGTTCTGGATCGGTGGGGTCATGCTGCTGGGTAAGTGTCCTGATAAAAAAAAACTCTTAGAGGCCATGATATGTGTCACTGTGGTCCTTATGGTCAAGTTTTAAGGATGTTCAGTCCAAGATTGAAGTGTAGTCGGTCATAAAACGGCAGAGCTTTCGTCAGATTGATGAGATTTATCGAATGTATTGAAGGTTACATGGAGAATGATACCTTGGTTTTTTTAGTAAAGATTTAAAGGTAGGGTAGATCATTTGTCTTTTGTGAATTGTTTTCGTTTGAAGCAACAAAAATGCTCAGAATCAAAAGACGGGTGCTTAACATATAACCTGATGAAGTTTTATCTCTGTGAATGTTGTATATTCTGAGAAAACAATATTCTAAGATCTTGATTTCAATTTAAAAGTAGCTGAATTATGTTTTGAATTGTGCATGAAATCAGCGTCTGGGATACGTTCTCATTCAGCCGATTGCAGCTACGCGATGTCACGCACTGAACTGAAGAATAAAAGCAACCGCGCTCGCGTTTGCGTCTCGTCAACACTTGCGCGCAACCCATTTACAGGTTTCGCCAACTTACAATCCAACTACTTACGGAAATTTCCAAACATGTGTCACTAGACACATCTTTGGAAATGACCTCCTTTTAGTGTTTCCTTCAAAATGACAGCATGCCAGAAAGAATAATTTCACAGGGACTTTAGCGCCATTAAACCAATAATTTTGTCAGTTACTTTTGGATAGCTGCAAATGATCTACTCTACCTTTAAGGGAGTATTTCCATAGTCCAACCAGCGGAAAAGTTCCAAGCAGAAGTTCGGGGTGACTTATACCTGTTCCAAATTCAGACTGACGTTCCAGAGTGGCACTGAACCAAATTATTCTAAAGATTACGTGCACACGCCGTCAAAATATCGACCGTTGCAGTTGTTTTTATTGGTTTAAGAGCATTTTGAGTTTTAGATGTCACTCAAATTTCATTGAGTTTGCCTGCCTGAAAGTGCTCTTTGTGGGTGCGACACAAAAATGCCACTTTGACAAAAAGCCGATTAGGAAAACGTTTTTCATGGATGCAACAGTTCTTGCTGCTCAACGCGTGATTTATTTTTCTGTTTTTTTCCAATCTGACTAGGCCTACTTGAGAAGGCAGTGTTTTATGCCGAGTACGAGAACATCAACAATTATGGCATGTCTGTTCCTGGGGCTATCATCATGGCCGAGCTCATCTCATGTTTCAAGCGCGCATTGGCCAGAATGCTGGTTGTTATCGTCTGCCTGGGCTACGGGATCACAAGGTCAATCTCTTTTTTGTCTTCTTCTTTTTTCAGAAGATAATACTTTTCCTTAAAAGTGATTAACAAAAGCTGATTCTGAATCTCCTCAAGAGTGCTTGCTGAATTTTAACCCTAACTCCCTAGGCTTTTTTGCTAGGATGTAGCCTCAGTACTGCAAACTCCTCCAATTGGCCTCATAGAAAAATAGCATACAGTCGCAATCCTGCAAATTCCTACAATTATTTCTTGAATGTGGTCCGTGGAGGGGTGACCACAGCCTGAATCCTGCAGAATCCTGCGGCAGTGACTGTCAATATGTTGAGGCTTGGCCAGTGACATCCTGGAGCAGTACGGAGGATTCCAAGCATAATCCAGGCCTATATTTATGCATGGCTGAGCTACTTTGGCAAAGAGGATTTTGAAGGATTCAGGGCGGTTAGGGTTAAAAGTGGTTAACAAAAACTGATTCTGAATCTCCTCAAGAGTGCGTGCTGAGGTTTTAAGATTTGAGGCCTTGCATGGTGTAATGGTACAGACTGATCCAGGCACGCTATCATTCCATCTCGTTTGCCCTTTTCGATGAGGAAAGCATTGAGCTAGCTATTGTTCATATAATCCGTCACAGAGCAGTTGTGCTTTGAACAATATCGTGCACAATGGTTTCTCCATGGAAGGAGCCCACTGATCTCTATATAAAGACTGGATAGCGGATATGCATACAACCTTCACACAGTAGACTTTGCATATTGACCAATTCGCCCCCGGTCTCACGAAGATGGCCGCGTATATACGAACGTTCTACGCGTAAATACGCGCGCGTTGTATCAACAGTTGACGCGCATTTTGGTCACGTACACATATTATGATGTTCTAAAAAGGACACATTTCCGTAGTGATTATTATTTCAAAAACGCCGAAAAAGTGATTTGCGGCATTATAAAAGTAACCACGACGTTAGAAAAATTGTAGTAAACCTTGGTCAGTTGGTCAGTGGTGGTGGCCAAAATATAAGTCAAGTGAACCGCGACGTTACAAAAGAAATCATGCTGTCTATAAAGACGGCAACTTGTCCTTTGTAGATCACCAGCCGGTCTCACCAATATGGCGTCAAATTCGTACATTGTGCGGCTCTTTATTAGCTATCCAGTCTTTATATAGAGATCAGTGAAGGAGCCTGGTGAGTAGACGGCGAACGCCTGCCCAGATTTGTCTTTGCAGAAGCACCTTGTAGCAATAAGTTGTATGTCTAAGCTGTTACAAGGGTTCCCAAATTGAAGCGAGGTCTCGTTAGTGTTTCACCCGTGATGTAGTCGTCATGAGGAAAGTGCTGGAAATTAATGTGAAAAGTCAGTTGCCAATAAAAATGGGGGGGAAAAAAACGAGAGAGAGAACAGAAATGATGTCCCTTCTTTATTACATGGTGTCCATTTAGTGTGTTTTAGCTTCTTATTAGCTTTTTCCTTCTCTTGTTCTGATCAGACCTCGTCTTGGTAAGGATCTTCACTGGGTGTTGGGGGTCGGGATGCTGTACTTCATCATGAGCTCAGTGGAAGCTTGCCTCAGGGTCAAAGGAGTAAGGATATTCAAACGTTTAAACGAAAACAAGTTCTTAATCCCTTCACAAATTTTCAGTAACATTTAAACGAAAGCCGCATTATAAACAACTGATGTCATGTTTACTCGATCTGCCTTCAAATTTTACACATGCTTTTTCCAACGAATCAAGGATTCCTTTAAACCAATATAATTTATAAAGCATTAGAAACAAACACCGTAGTACTTGATCACAATCCGGGCAGCTAAGTTTATACGTTTTCAATGACTGCCAGCTGTCTGCTGTGTCAGTTATATACAATGTGTACAATTGTGTTTTTTCTACATGCCGCTGGCGCAAGATCAACGCTCATTGTGCTGTAAAGAATGAATTGATGATTTTTTTTTAAACACGCCCGAGTGCAAACATCCTGGGTCAGGCGTGCGTCTTTGTGAAGTGGCTAAGCGTTTAAACGTTGCTTAATGGTTTTGCTATCGTGTACAGAATTAAGCGCAAAGTCTATCCATAGTACAATACTGTCATGACGGACATCATAAAGGAAAAGAAGATGGCATGACGTAAGACAGACTGTTTGCACGTGCTATCGTACAGATGGGGTTTGTGGGGTACTCGCACTTCGTTACACTTTCCCTTGTTAGGGTAACTTCTTTACACGTTGGGGTCAGACAAAGCCCAACTTGTTGGGTACAGTTGTTCCCTTTACCCACAAGCATCCTCTCGGTATAAAGCACACAGGCTGGCACACTTGTGGCTTGGAGTACGCTTTCATCTGAAAAACATGTACATCTTGTGCATGAATTTGTCGGAGGATAATCATTTGTTACTGAAGACTTGTTCACTTTCTTTACCTTTCGTTCTCTCTTTTCTTTAGACTGACCAGAACGATATGATTGCCATTCTCCCATTGTCTGTGCTCGATGCAATCATCTGCTGGTGGATATCCTTTTTTTAATTCTGTTATGTTTTGTTAATTTGTTCTGTATTTGATGGATTAAACAGATTTCTATATTCAAATACCTGATCAACCTTAGCTAAGTCCAAAAAAAAAAGTCTCCGGTTTCTGGTATGCGCGCGCGTCGCCGTAGCCATGCGCGTCGGCAAAATGAAAAAGTTTTTTTTTCAATGAAAGATGATGTATCAAAACCGCCAAACTCACTGGTTTGACTGGAATTCTGCTGCTGCGCAATTTCAACGTGTTTTTAGATACACAACCTCCCATTTCCCAACCCCCTCCCCCTTAGTCCAGAAGTATAAATTGGGTCCTGCAACATCAGGATATCTTGCTGTAATTTTCAGATATAAATGCCATATTCCTAAATTTCCTATAAAATTTCCTATATAAATTCAGGATCAGTCAACGCGAGACGACTTTCACTTGAATGTACATGTATTTATACCCAGAAAGAAAAAAACCTCTATATTTGTTTGTTTTTTTCCCTTAACGAGCCTTTACATTTTTAAAAGCCTTGTAGACACCACCAGGACCCTGCGCCTACGGCGCAACATGGCCAAACTCTGGCTGTACCGGCACTTCACCAACACTCTCATCTTCTGTGTGGTGGCTGCTTTTGTCTTCCTGCTGTGGTCGATGAGAGTCCATCGTTGGACCGACTGTATGAAGGTCAGAATATATTACATTTACTGTTTGGAATACTTGTTTGGAATACAAAAGGGTTGTGCGTGGTTTTCCACTTTTTTCTCCAAAAGTGTAATATCCACTGAGCTGGAACTTTAACTGGTTAGGTTTGGAACAGTTTTCTCTGGATTTTGAGTGGTGTTATTATTGGAAACAGACAAAATGCATGAATAGCAAATTATCCTGTATGCCTTCAGTGACCCTCGTATGCAAACATACACGCTGTGCAAAGTTGTCTTTTCAGTCACAATCAATCAAGTGACTGTTTTTAATAGTTACGAGCTCCCAGCCAACTTAAAGCAGGATTGACTGGCCGTGACTGTTTACGTAACTTACGGAACTTGATACAGCTATGCTTTGACTGTAGGTGATTGATAAGCCAGCTGTGCCTACCACTTGCCTGCTTTTGTCAGTTGACTTAATTTGACTAGTCACAGTGCTTGCTTGAAATATGATCTAGCTGTTGGCAGGGGAAGAGGATTGAATTTTTTTGACTGTCTGTGACTGTTTAGACAGAAGGAGGGATATGGAGGCCTTGCTTCATTAGGTAGTGAGACATGCACACAGCAAAGGCCTGTTTATACAGGGTGGATTAAAAAAACCCCGAAACTGAGATATTATTGCTAATTGGAACAGAAGTAGGGCACATGTGAATCAAAGGGAGATATTCTCTGTTAGGGTTGAATCTCCTCTTTAAAATGACACCCTGATCATGTCCTTATATTCACGGTTGACTGAGCAGTGACCAATTTTATCTTCCTGTTGATTTTGTTTATTCAGAAGTGGAACGAGCTGTGGTTGGACGACGCCTACTGGCACGTCTTATTCTGCGTCATCCTCGTTGTTATTGTCATCCTCTTCCGCCCGACGGCCAACAATCAACGATACGCTTACTCCCCACTCACCGACCGAGAAGGGGACGATGAAAGCCAAGAACCCATGCTCAACGACGCATTTGGTACGAACTGTGAACAAAAAAGTGAAACTGTCCTAAACTAGAAACGTGACTGTGTGAAACTTTGACAATCAAGCCACAATAGATTGTTGTGGTTTGCCCATAAACTCCACCCGTTTTGGTTTGTGTATATTTATTAAAATTGTCCCTAATTAGAAATGTGATGAGTTTGTAAAATTTTCGACATGATAGTCACAATCGACCTTTCCAGATTGGACCATAAGCCCCACCCTGTTTTTGGTTTGTGTACACTTCTCACAGTGCTTTTTCTGGGTACCTGTGGTCACCTGACCAAAAGTCACAATCTGATTGGTCAGTGTGCATTGTTTGATTGACAGGTGGGATGGTCCATTTACTGACCAGTCTCACTGCCTTTCCAGGCCAGTCTGCTACAGCTGAGGGTTTTTTTTCCCTTCAAATTTAAGATTCATTTCATTCTCCTTATGTGTGAATTTGATTACTTGCTTTCAGAAGTAATTATATTAACAGTCCAAATTAACATGCTTACTGTCAAGTTAATATTCTATGTAGTGTTTATAACACTTCAAATCCTCGAGTGTTTTTGAGGGATCCCACAGTACCATTATGATTCCTAGTGAAGTAAAATGTTCAGGGTTGCAGTGCTAAAGACAAAGAAACTTATACCTTAAAAAAATATAAGTTACTGTATTTAAACTCTCAATAAGGAAACAATTCGGGCGATTCACAATGCAGTGCGCCACCAAGAGTTTGCCACGGAGAGTTCGTTTTTCAAGTTTACGGTCGACAAAACATGGCCCATTTGAACGAGTGTCAGTAGAGAACTTCAGCTAATTTGTTATAGATTGGGGCAAAGCGTTCTGCCGCCTTACAAAAAAAACTCCATATTGATAAAACGAAAAGAAAAGGGCAAACAGATACTCGAATCATATGCTTACGAACTTTCTGGCCGGAAAAACTAACAATTTCAAATGTCCCGCGCTGCGAATTTGTTGACCATCTCCCACAATGCACTGGGAAAAATGAACTCTCTGTTGCAAACTCTAGGTGGCGCACTGCATTGTGAATCGGCCGAATTGACATAAATTTTTTGTCATCAAATTCATTTACCTGTCTTGAGTCATAGACATAATTCCAGCATCTTGAGTACCTAATTGTTGGTAGATACGTGCACTATATAAGACTCCAGTAAGACTCCGGTATTACTGCCAAATTTTAAGACAATTTGTTTCACTTGTATCTCAATGTGTTGGAGTTGAATCCATCACAAGTCCATCACAAGATCTCCAGTCTCAAGTAAAGTCACTACCCATTCAAATGAAATGAGACAAAGGCATTCCTTTGTTAATATGCTGATCCCTTGTTGTGTGTGACGGGACTTGTGATAGCCCCACCATAGGCGATTGTGCAGTAGCATACAGATACTTGTGTAAGCACTGGTGCCTCCTGTTCAGGCGGAACAGAAGTTTGAATCTTTGAGGGGAATTCCTGTTGTGAGATATTACGTCAAATATGAATGTGACCTTCTCTTTGTCAACAGAGGGCATGAAGATGCGGAATGTTGTGAGTAACCGCAACGAGAGCCAGACCAGCCACAAGACTGACGATGACCTGAAGTGGGTGGAGGACAACATTCCTGCAGCAGTGGCTGATGCGTAAGTACTGTGTCTTCAGTCAATCACAAGCCAACGCAAGTCAATCACAAGTCGTCACAATTCAATCAGAGACAATCATAAGTAATCATGAGTCTAGTTAAATAGCATGACAAGTCGGTTACAAGTTTATCACAACTCGGCCCAAGTTAATTACAAGACATCGCTAGTAAATTACAAGTAATCACAAGTCCTCAAAAGTCATTGCAAGTCACTCACATGTCATCGTTAAGTCGGTCACAAGTCGTCATTATATCAGTCAGAAGACATCTTAAGTCCTAACGAGTCATCGCGAGTCGATCTGAATTCGTTACAAATAGGGCTGTGCATCGGAACCGGGTACCCGAGTACCCGACCGTTGATGTCAGGAACCGGTTCTGGATTATGGGATTGGGTACCCGTAACCAACTTGACAAATTACTGAGTAACTTCTCAGACAATGAAAATGAGAGGTTTTGAATGTCATTTGTGGAGAATTTTCAAAATGAAAACCAGGCTACATGGGAAAACAAAACATATTTCCTGTTTATGACGCTCGCAAAAGTTGCAGTTTACACCGTAAAGCTATAGGCTCACTGTACACACTTGTATCTTGCTGTATTGATGTACCGGTGTGGTAGTATTATCGTGCGGACCTTTATTAAACAATCTGAACGGCAACTTCCGTGATTTGAATTGTGGGTTGGGTTTCTTTAACAGGTACCCAGGTACCCAAGTTTTTTTTCAATCGGATACCCGGTTCCCGTACTACCTGTAAAATGCACACCCTTAATCACAAGTCATTATGAGTCAAGCCCAATCACCACAAGTCATCCAGTCTCAAGTCAAGTCCCCTTGACCATAAGGAAATAAGATCATGTAACCATACGTGGCTACCTTCTTCAAATCAGAACATACCAGTTTGTGTGTCATCAATGCATTTCGGTACTGTATCTGTAAGTCGGCGTGCAGCAATTGCTTCCCAATAATGCACACCATGCATAGCATCAACATGCATGACGTGACTGGAACAGTGCAACAAAGTCCACACCAGGCTCCCGGAATGTAAATTGGCAAAGGGGGTGCAATGTCATTATGTCACAAGTTTGTGCAGACCAAAAACAGTTTACTCACCATAAAATGTACTGTGATCATCAAGTATCTACCCTAAATATGTTCTTCTTTAAATTCTGCTACAGTGCCCTAGGTGCCTTCGACGACTCAGAGGAAGAACTCGTTACCAACTTGGAGAGAAGCAAGATGGAGTAAGCAACACGGCCCTCCCAAACGTCACAGCTAGTACCAGCAATTATGTACAGATGTACCTGTGTGAAAACGGGAGCCAGCTAAACAAGTCTATGGACAGGTGGCAATTATAAACAGGTTGCCGATATGTGCAGATTTGGCCTGCGTTTTGACGGTCAAAGTCTGGACATGTTATGACTGTTGCGTCTCTGTCCAAATAGCCATGAATGCCGGTCCGAGAGTACAGATGCAGAGTTGTAATTGAGTCGCTTACAAGTCAAACAAGTAAATAATAATAATAATAATGTGTATTTATAAAGCACACGTATCCGCCAGTATTGGTGCTCAAGGCGCTACATCAGTATTACCCTGCACATTGGGCCAATGAAACATTCCAAAGACAATGTCAGCTCCCTGGGGAGTATACAGCTTGATGCTGCCATTTCGGCGCAAAGCAGCTAAAATCAACCACAATAACCACCTCTGCCCTTACAGGTACCCATTTACTCCTGGGTGGAGAGAAGCAATGAGTGACAAAGTGCCTTGCCCAAGGGCACACGCACCATAACCCCAGGCTTGACTCCAACCCACAACCTGCAGAATTACCCACAGACCACAAATTCAATGCTCCAGACCACGGGGCCACGGCACTCCACAGGTTACAAGTAAAAGGGAATGAACATTGACAAAATAGCTCCATTGTCACAGTTGATTCGAATAGCTTGTGACATGACTTGAAACTTGCAATGTGATTGACTTGTGATTGACTTGATTAGAAAACGCTGCAAATGTTACAAAAACTTATGGACCGACATGAATGGTCTTTAAGCAACTTTTGATAACTTAAAAGGGTATTTTTTTTTCTTCTGCTGTTAAGTCACTTATTTGACATGAGTGTGCTAAGTTTTAGTTCGTTGGTTTTGGGGAGTGGATAAACGAACCATGGCCAGGTCGCGAATTTTTTCCTCCCAAACGACATCCACATACGGGTGTACGCTATGGCGTTTTGGACTTAACTTTTATAAAAACATGAGAAGAAAATATAAAATTAGAAAAAAAAGGGAATTTGAACGTTATGAAATTTGGACTTATTTCCCTTTTTAAGAAAAATCCTCCAAAGCCTCAGGTTAGAAAAGGAAAAAAATTCGGTGCAAAACCGAAATTCGAACCCGCAACCTCGTGGTGCGAAATCCTACTCTCTATTGTCTGAGCTGTCGCACTGCTCGCCAAAACGCGGGGAAACAAATAATTAAATACCTGCGTGCGTATCAAAAAAAGTATCGTAGAGGGCGCTAAACAACCATGTATGCGGATGTCGTTTGGGAGAAAAAAAATTTGCGCCCAGGTCGCGGTGATGTACATTTAGATGAGCCAATGGTACACAAATATTGTAGTATATTGAATGTAGACATAGTTTTCAGTTAAATAAACACATCTCAAAATCTAGGTAATTTTTTTAAGTTATCTGTCAAATGTGTGATCTCCAAATCTAGTTTAAAATGTTCATTTTTCTCTGAATTTAGTGAATTTCAATTTAGCGCACGCTATGTCTCAAACGTAATTAAAGTCTAACCCTCTTAAATTATCATAGATTTCAGTGGTTTTTTTCTGTCTGCAAGGAGCATATCCACACATTTTTTATGTCATTAGTCTTTGCGATGATTATGTATTTAAAGAAAACGTGGTGTTAGATGCGGGACAAAATAGGGACCTTTTTTTTTTTGACTTAAACGAAATTGTACATCAGGCTTGTGATGGATTTTGCATTATGATAAAGTACCTTTAAAGGTAGAGTGGATCATTTGCAGCTATCTAAAAAGGAACTGAGGAAATTATTGTTGAAAAGCTTACTTGGTTTAACCCTAACCTCACCTAAAGCTGCAAAATACTACATAGTAGTAACCTGTAGTATGCATTTCTTTCCATACAAGTGTGCACAACACATGTAGTATTCCGTAGTATTTGGTCCTTGAACCCCAAAGAGCCCTTACGACGTTAGGGTTAAAGATAGTGGTTTAAAGATAGTAATGGCAATAAACTCCCTGCGGAAATTATTCTTTCTGGGATGCTGATTTTTAAGGAAAACAATTGTGAAAAGGCCATTTCCAAAGATGCGTCTAAAAGTGAGGCTTCAGTGAAAGCATGCCAAAGGCGCGGCCTACTAGGGGGGTCCAGGGGCATGTCCCACCCCGAATATTTTCTACAATGCTTTCTTCCGCATTCTAAGGCAGTTTGAGAATAATGTAGTGTTTTTGGCCCCACTTTACTGGTATAACATAAGTCGGGGTTGGGGGGGGGGGAGGGGGAGTTGCAACCTGCTGTTTATTGTCATTTTTTTTGGAGGGAATTGTAAATACACGTAAATGTTTGCCGAGGTAAAGTTCTAAAACCCATATTTACGGCAAGCCATTTTCTGTGGCTTTTGTGTAATTCGTGGTGGTTTGTTTTGTTTTGAAAAGTCAAACACTCTTTCACTAGATCATGATTTGTTTCAGAGTTTGTTTATTTTTTGGTAGGCTATTACAATCATATTTTTGTTGTTGGAAATATTCGTTGTTATATTTTGCGACCAAAAAAAAGTTCCAATAAAGGATTAAGGAATTACTGGAATGTAACTGTGAATGGGAAGTAAAATATCGGGGTTGGATGGCCATATTTGAGCTCAGTGGTAGGCATGTGTGTAAGGTCAACAAACCCAGGTGGTAGGATGCATAGCACTTAGATGACTTGGGTTTTAATATGTATGATCTTTTGTATCAAGACGAAACATAAGACAAGGTTTATGGGCTCCGTGCACAAACAAGAGAGGGCGCTATTTTTGTTAACTGCTTTTGAGAGCCCATTCAACATTACACTACAATATAGTGTAAACATTACACTATAGTATAGTATACAAATATTGAGTGGCTCAGCGTGGGATGGGAGGAATATTATCGCAAGGTGAAATCTGGACTTTTCCATTTCACGAGGCGAAGCCGAGTGAACTGGAAAAGTCCAGATTTTACCGAGCGATAATATTCCTCCCATTTCACAATTTAAAGCCACTCAATATTTGTTTTATATATAACTGACATATAGATCCTTGTCATTTGATATATTTGAACTTTTTTTCAATACTAAACTGGAGGAAAATGTATTTCTCTCTTCCAAACCACCCCTTCACGAAAATGTTTGAACCCAACGCTGTAGTGCTGGCTCTTTGGAACAATATGCACTACGCGCAACGCTGAACGCGCACACCAGCAGCATGCATTTGCACACAAATGGCGCGTCATGATCCTAACTGTTGGAATAGTATTTCCCATTCCCCATGGGCGGATAGTACTTTTTGAGGCTCGGCATGAATGGGAGCAATAACGAATGCCACATGATGTGAGTTCCACCAATCAAATGACAAGGATCTGTATGTCGGTTATATAATGTGAAACATGCATGACTTATTTTATTCTGAATGTGTACAAAGCCATAGCGTCTTTTCGTGAGCGTCAGGCGTTGTCGGCAATGCATTCGCATGTCAATGACAGTAGTCTTCCACAATTCTGGAGCCCAGACTCAATCTGACATGGTTCGTGAAACAGATGGGGGATTTATTCACCTTTATGCCCGTGTTTTTATAGCTGTTAGAATTGTGCAAAAGTCGGTCTTCTACCATTTTTTGTGTTAAATCCCCAAGGAAAGCATTTTCTTAAAATGAAATCCTCCACCATTGTTGATTAAAAAGGTGCTAATTTGAAAGGAGAAAAATTATTAAAACTCACCATTATTTCAGTCATTCCTTTTTCCCAAGTATTTATATTTCCTTTTACTTGCTTCTTGTATTTAAATTGCATTGTATTTGTTATAATTCAAATCATTTTTGAAATCTTTTAAAGTGTAACAAAGAAATTGACTGGAGCGAGGTTTGAACCTGCAACCTTTAGAATACCATACCCGTCAATTTCTGTGTTCAACTTTATAATTAGTGATATGTACACCTAGTCAATTTGTCTTGTTTATTGTAATCTTATTCAAATATTCAAATTAAAAGTTATGCGAATGTTTATGTTTTGCAATGTGAGCATATTTGGTGTAACTAAACCATGATTGTGTCATAATCGGTTATTGTTCCAATCGTTTATAACATTTGCAAAACCAGTGTGAAATTTATATATTTGGTGATTTCAAACAATTGTAATGGAAACACAGTGTGACAGTTGATTGATTAGTTACTCAAGGTCTGGACAAAAAAAACTATTTTACCATCTTCATATAGTTTCAGACATATTAGAACGTTTCTCTTAGTGTAAAAAATAAGAAATGCCAAACACAAAACACTATCATTAAATTGTATTTTCCGTTAAAATGTTTCCAGGAAGTATTTCTAAAAGCATGATTTGGGTAGTCTGTGGAATATCCCCTTGCACAGCAAGGGTCTATGATATGGGAGCAGATTTGGCGATTAATTATGCAAAACAAGATTGCGTCTTGACCTCGAGATTCTGACCATTCAGCGGGCACCTTCTAAATCGGGTCTTCGGTAACCCCTTGTATTACAAAAAAAATGGAATCCAAATTGACCAATCAGCTTAGTCCACATTTGTAATCAAAATGACATCACAGTTTCTAAAGTCGACTCCCATTGGCTGGCACGCGGGGTCACACACATGTTTACATTACATATATGTAGTGTGGACATTCCTTTTTTGAGTAGTTAAGAAAAACCTGTGAAAAAAGTCACTTTACTCACACTGTGAAAACTCTTTCAACCCAAATTTTTTTCTATGATTCCTTTCAGTGTTTCTCTTCGTTTTGCAACAGATATTTCTAACCCAAAAATGCCTCTAAACCTGTTTTCCAGAGAGGGGGAAACACTGTGTGGACGTGGGAAAGTCCACACAACGTCGCTGCTACCTGGTTTATGTGGACCTCTTTTGTTCGGAAGTCCACACAGTGAATGTAATGCTTGTACATAAAATTTGCATGTTAGTATATTTCAGACGTTCGACCATGGCTCTGCACATGTGAATGTCTGATCCTTTGACTATGATTTCGGTAGAGTTCAGAAAAATTCTTTTGACTATTCTAAAAAAAATTTAAATGAGTTCACGTCCCCTGATAACATTTGCTGTTGTTGCCCCTGGTCAACATAATTGTTGAGTAATTTGTGTTTTGATCTTTATTGTTTACTTTTAAGTGCTTGCCCTCAATTTGAGATTTTCAGTGTGTGTTATTAGCTTCCAATTTCATTGGTTGCTGTTCTCAATTGTCTATTTCTATTGTTTTTGTGGCTATTTTCATATTATGTTCCCTGTTTAGTTTGATGCCAAATAAAAAAACAACAATAGGGAGTCGAACCTCTTGGACATATTTATTTTGTTATTTTTTGACATTACCATTTTACCACTTGTACTTCATCAATTTCACATTGTGTTTCACCAGTACTATCTTTTACATGGGTCATCCTTTCCGTGAATCATTCACTCATAATTGCAAATGTTATAATTGGCTGGAAATGATGTCTCTACAAAGTTATGATGTCTAAACTTTTTTGGAAAAAAGGTTTTTGTTTTTGTGCATGGATTAATTTACAAGTAGATGATTTTTATTTTAAAAAAAATAAAACACTTTGTGATGTCAGGGGAAATTGTAAGTGAGTCTTGTGCTTAGAAATTGAGATTTGATATATGCATATGAATAGTATTTAAGTAAACGTGCATGCAAAGGAGCTGACGAAATGCTCTACCATCTGTTTAATATATACTTAAATTTTATTCCTGAGGGTTGCCAAATCACCTGGCAGATTATGTGAATATCTTTCTTTGGTAGGAAGTTTGTTCCTCAATAAATCGAGTGTGCAGAAAGACAAATGGACTTTTGTACTTTGTACATGTAGTAAGATAAGTCAGCTGTTAACTATCAGCCTTTTTATCTCCTGATCTATATAAATAGGCAAGCCCCGCCCCCCCCCTCCACTCCACTCCTTCCAAATCCACCAATTAATAAAGATGGGAGTTTCTTTTTGACATGTAAAGCAATAGGCCCCGCCCCTTGATCTAGATATTTTTTTAATAAGTGGTTTCGAAAGAATCAGAAAACACAGTGAGCCCTCTGTGTATATCATATCAATAGGTATATAGAACGCCCCCCCCCCCCCCAAAAAAAAAAACAAGTGAAAATTCGGTGTTATCATATTAAAAGTGCCGATGTGGGTCATGACTGTGTCAATTCACGGCCGGCCAAACGTACACGCATCAACTCTTTCAATAAAAAGAAAGGGAAATACATACATTATTTAACGTGTAGTTGAGGAACTCGTTGTTGGGACTGGTAACCAGACTAACTTGTCGAATGACTCAACCGCTGCGACGTTAAGTGTTGTAGAGGTACCGTACCTGTCTACTCTAAACTGTTGCCATCTATCCGCCGGTTGAGATTAGCGCGGATGCACAAAAAGCCAAAAGGACACGGAGAGCAAGGTCGTCTTTGTTCGGTGAAAGGTTTTGGGATACCTGGACCGAATTCCTCCATTATTTCTTGAAAATCCTCAAAGATCGTGCAATCATACGAACTACAAATATGGTTGTGATGGAAAGAAACGGGAATTCGGACTCAAATCATCGGACGAATGGGGCGAGTTCTGGTGGCGGTAGTTCGAACAACAGCAACCATTCAGAGGATAGTTCAAGCAGTTCCGAGGATGAACATGGTAAAAAAAAAGTCACAAAAGTAAAACTAAAAGCAAAGTAAAGGGACGATGCGCACAAATGTAAATTGGTTTATTTGATTTTATCAGGGTCTTGAGCTTCTTCAAGGGTTATCAAACCGTGAAGAGATACATGTATGTGTGTTTTTGTTTCCTTTTTGTGTGGATTGTATGTTTGTAATGTTTTAAAAGTTGACATTTATTGATGATGGGCTAAGTTAGCCATGTATTTGCCAATGTAGAACAAATGTAGTTCCTTCACTTTATTTGTTAGTATTTGTTGACAACATTTTTGGGAGGGGGAGTGGGGTTGAAGTCATTTGTTACTTTGTGGATTTGAGGTTTTGTAAGATGCTTTAAATTTATTAATAGTTTTTCATAAGTTATTATTTCCTTCTTTTTTTAAAATTGTGTAACTTGTATTTTCCCGTTCCTTTTTTAGTGGGCAAAATAGTATTTTGAAATATAAATTATCATTACTGATGTTTTGCATAACGTAAAAAAAAACTTCAGAGTAAGACCCGTTAGTTAATATTTGATTAATTGGATGTTCATTGGTGTGCATGATTTCAAACATTTTTTTCTAGTTTCAAAAAGTTGAGATTAGGCCAAAAAAAAAAATAAGTCGGTCTCTGGTCAGCGCGCGCGTCGATTTTAATCATGCGCGTCAATTTTTTTTTCCCAAAATGTTCCGCGGTAGCTCCAACAGCGCCCTCTATTATCGCCGCACCTCTTTTAGACCATTTTGTTTGCTTGTTAGCAGGTTAGGTTTTTTGTTCTTTTTTTTGGGGGGGGGGTTGCTTTGCTTTTATTAATTTTTTTATTATAGGACTAGGACTAGAGAGAGAAAGACAAATAATACATTTTCATTCAATAGATAATGTACATGATAGATAATGTAAGGAGTTATTTTCTGTGCCTTGTGGTTAAAACGGTGTAACTATTTAGAAACTATTCGCAAAGGTATATTTTCACTTTTCATTTCTGAATTTTATAGCCTATCACACAACCTTTAAGCAGCATATTATTGTGTTAAACACCAACAGAATACATGCGTATAACTTTCATCTTATCAAAGTAACTGACGTTGCATTGTATGCAAGTGTAAGTTAAGCAACATTTTAAAAAATCTCAAAAAAATAATTAAGAGAGATGCTTATTTTCGAAAATCTTTGACACACTAAGGCTTCTTTACATGCAGGTCACAGTTTTTCTTTGAATTAACACATACATTATGTACTAGTCCAAAAATTTGGGACTCTTATAAAGTCTCAATACTGTGTATGAGAGTCTCAAAATTTAAGGTATTGAAAACATGCAATGCAAGAAAATAGACTGGCACCTGAAACAACCAGTCCATCACAGCTTCAGTACTGCATCAATCAACTGTGCCAAAAGAAACATCTGGCATGTCTGGTACTAGTCTCTATCTCTACACATTTCTTCATATTCAGCCACCAGACTAATGACAATGAATGAAGAGGTCTGTCTTTCCAAACAGTTGGACCATGCATGGTTGGACCATGGAGAAATTTCTCCATGATTGGACAACCATGGAGGAACCATTTTCTTCCTCCATGGGACAACTACCAGTCTAGTCAATTTAAAATTACTTGACTTCCCTCTATGTGCAAAATGTTGAAGAAGAGGCTCCTTTAAAAATTGAATTGTGTCTTCAAACTTGGTTGGTGAAATATTGAGGACCTTTTTCTTCGCCCAATGAAAATTTTGGAGAAGTTTGCTGGCTGGCTAAAGGGTTAGTAAAGTTGGCCTGATTTCATTTTACATGTTTTTCAGCACCCAAGGTCCCAGTCTGATTATGTACATGTACATACATGTATGTATGACTGCTCATGCAAAATATTTTCCAATTAAAAAATCATGTTGTGAAGCTAATAAAACTTAAAAGACAGGTCTCTCTTTTACAAACAAACATAATATCAAATTCAGTTAAATACTCATGTGATTTACATGTATGAAATGTGTGTTTTGGAAAAATATCCGAATACGTAGGTTTGTTCCTTAAAAAGTCTTAAATGGAGTAATGCATTATTTATGTAAATAACACTTTTTTATAACAAAGTGCTCATAAATCTGTTTGTACATGTATCATAGGTTTGTTTTGGTGTAATATGTTAATTTGTACTTGCTAACTGACGTTAAGAAATATTTTGCCAAATCCAGTTAATATAATCAGTTAACGATATCTGGAATCAGTGCAGTGATCTAGGCATATTAATATATGCATGGCCAAGCATAAACAACACAAGGTGCAGCTAAAGACCTTGACACAATGCATCCTCCAAAATCATCAGGCACTAAAATGACATACAGCCTCAATCCTCCAAAATCTTTCAAAGCTGCCTGTTTGATTTTGGAGGATTGAGGAGGGTTCTTTGTCGAGACCTCATTGAAGCCATCACAAGTCAACCTGTACACGTCCATCCTAGCTTGAACGACAACCATTAACCCCATGACCTCAGCTAAAGCTACAAAATATTACTGAGTAGTACATGTAACCTGTAGTATCCATTCTTTCCATACATTGTGTGCTCAATAAATGATAAACGAAAGGTTTGCGGAAACACCATGTGCAAATAATTTCTCAACTAAGAGAATGGTTCTGAAAAGAACCAGAGGTGTAAACTCGACGTTCCGGTCAGTATGTACGTGTTCTACATAACCCCCGAGGACCGACACACAAAAGGAGAACAACAGATCCTTTCAGTCCTCGAACGACGGTGCTTTTGTTCGAAACTGTCCTCAATCGTACGTTTACTTGCTTAGTCTATGGGAAAGTGTTTAAGTACAGGGACAAAGGGAAACACAATAGGTTGTCCTCAGGCGTATAGTAAAACACGACTGTGTGCTCTGGAAAGTGTGCACAACACATGTGTTATTTGGTACTTGACCCCCAAAGAGCCCTTAGGGGGTGAAGGTTAACGAACTATTTCTATGAACTGTGACAAAGGCATTCCTTGTCATTGGTCATCCCCTTGTTACTTGTCATGTGACTTGTGATTATGCTTGTGATTGTCTTAGGATAGAATTGACTACAACTCTGCCATGAATATTCATTAAAATCTTTAATGCTTGATACATGTAAATGTATACAATTTATTTTGCAGAGCCAGGCATGCGAGTTGGTGCAGACTACCAGGCAGAGATACCTGAGATAATAAGTGGTAAGTTGATAAGACCGATTACCAGTGATGCATTTTTTTGTTGTTGACCAATCATAGTGCGGAGGGTAGGGAATCATTCATATTAAAATGGAATTGTTTCTGTTGCTTTATTGGCCAATAGACCCGATCCATTCAGCACGGCCCAATTTTTTTGACCAATCACAGCTTTGACTAATGTCCCACACGTATGGGTGCACAAAAGTCTGACATGTGGCACATGTATGTGACACATACGGCTGAAAAATGCTATGTGGCATTGCAGGGCTGCACATTTTGGTTGCCCACGTCCGCAGTGGCTGGGCATGGGCATCGCGAGGGGGGGGGCACTTACCCCTCCCCTCCCCTCCCCCAACCAGAAAAGCAACCCAAAAGGGGGGGGGGATTTGAAGTTGTTTAAAAAGATTGACCAAAAAGGAATGTCAAATAATTGTCATGCATTTAAGAGGAATACACAATTGCACAAAATATGTTCCTAAGTAAAATTCATGTCATGGTAAAGGATTTATGTTATGGTAATGTTTTACTGTAAAACTTATGTTTAAAACAAATTTATGTTTGTATGACAGTGCTTACAAAGGAAAAATATGGAAGGGCAGTATACATTTTCAGACTGTTTTTTGTTGTCTTGACAAAAACGGATGTGCTCAGTGATATTGTTACTGCAAGTCTGCAATTTTAAAGAGCATTTGACACTCGGTATAATGACACAGCTCAAACTTCACTGAGCTAGTTCATTTACAGTGGTGGATCAAGGGGGGTGCGGAGGGGGCGTCCACCCCCCCCCCCACCCCTCCTCCCCCCCCCCCCCCCCCCCCCCGGCAGTGATGAAATTGTCTCAAATAAGGCAATTTTTCACCCAGCAGTAACCTCTCTGGATCCACACTTGATTTATGGGCCTTTTACACTGAACCCAGTTCCAACACAGAGATTTGCAAGAATCCAGCACGGCTCCTACATGGGTCTGGCATTCTGCACAAGAAAAATCCAACTCTGGTCATTACCAGGGTTGAGAAGCTCTAGCCGGGTAGAAAATCTTAAATCTACACCGTTGTGAGTGTGAGTGGTACCCCTTGCCTCCCCATGTTCACTGATGCCTGGTTTCGCTTAGGGTAGACCCGTGTCGATTTCAACATGGGTAGGCAAGAGGATTGTGTGATAAAGCCTTTAGCTAGTTCAGTTTGTGTGTCTCATTACACATCCATGCTCTCAGCCTTTCTTTTTTTAATATTAATTTCAAACAGATGTTCCAGCTGTTCGTCGGGGTGACAGCAGACAAGAGGCATTGTTGGTCTGGCTGCCTGATGGAGAAGTATCCGACACAAAGTGTAAGACAATTTTCTTCTTTCAAAACCATTCTGAATTTCTAGATCAGTATAAATTTCAAGGTTCTTGTTTTGTTGTGTTTTTTTAATTTAAGGCCAAAAAAAAAAAATAGTCGGTCTCTGGTCAGCGCGCGCGTCGATTTTAATCATGCGCGTCAACCTTCTTTTTTTTTTCAAAATGTTCCGCGGTAGCTCCAACAGCGCCCTCTATTGCCGCACCTCCTCAATTTTTTTTTACCAAAGAGCTCAAAGGGAAATTGCACCAAGGCAAATGATCGAGGGCACCAAGGTAAATTATGGAGGACACCAATGTACATGAGGACACCAAAAAAAGCAAAATAGTACCCCACCTTGTCTGTACAATCCAAGCTTGAAAGAAAAAAGAAAAAAAAAGCCGCGTCGCCACATCAATTCTTTTATTTGGCCTAATACGATGTGTTTTTGTAGATTTCTTAATTGGGGTGACCGGTATCAAATGGATTAACAATATTCTAAATTGCACGGGAAAATGAAAAAGAAAACAATTCCTTCACTTGATGTTTCAATTCTCTTAGAAGCTTTCTCAAAATGAAAAAGATTATTTTAGAAAGATAAACTACTACCATTTATATCTGAGGCCACCATCAGACAGGTAGTTTGCTGCAGCGTATCATTTCTTACAAAAATCAAGTTTGCATTATCAAGCCGCATGAATCTTTTAGATTTAAAATAATTTGAATTACACACATGTAGTAGTTTTTGTAAAGAGAAACAAGATTTTTGTCAGATTTTTCTGGTTTTCGTGCATAAATTAATTGCAAAACATCTGTCTCGTGCTCATTGAATTATTCAGGCATTGGACTTCATCTTTTTTACTGTCTCAACAATTTTAACTTGGCTTAGCCCAAGCATGTGCACGCATACATGTGTGCATGCACCATGCGTAACATCTGGATAGCAAACATATGCCTGCTTTACTGCTTGCATGAACAAAACTTGATTATAATGCTTACTACATACTTATCGGGATATTCTCAGTGTCTGATATTTAAAGGTATGTAGAAAAAATTGTACCGACCAAATTAATGAGAAAAATCCTTGATCCAAGTGAACAGAGGACTGGTCCCATATACCCAGTGACATTTTTTCTGCCAGAAATTGTTTCGATCAAAAGAAAATAATCTTTGAAGGGGGTTAAGAAATCATGGCACACTTTTTTTTTTACGTACGTTGGCAACAGAATCCAGTTACAAGACCCCAAAAAATGTGCAAAATGTAGAGTAGCCAATGAGCTAAAAGTTCAACAGGCTACAAATGGAGTTGTTATGAACCACCTAAGATTTTTAGCAGTTAAAATTGTTGCTTTAGCCCTAACTCCCTCTGCCTTTTTGCTAGGATGTAGCCTCAATCTTGCAAAATCCTCCAATTGGCCTCATGGAAAAATAGCATATAGCCTCAATCCTGCAAATTCCTCCGTTATTTCTTGAATATGGTCCATGGAGGGGTGACCGCTGCCTGAATCCTGCAAAAATCCTCCGGCTATGACTGTCAATAGGCTGAGGCAGAGGCAGTGACATCCTGGAGCAGTGCGGAGGATGTCAAGTATAATCAAGAACTAAATTTATGCACGGCTGAGCATAAACAACACAAGGTCCGGCCCAAGACCTTGACACAGTGTGTACTCCGAAATCAGCAACGCACTTTTGCCATGTAACCTCATTCCTGCAAATTCCTCCAATTTGCAAAAAGGCTTTTGGAGGATTCAGGGCGGCTAGGGTTAAACAAACAAAAAATGCAAAGAAAGCAATGATCCAATGTACCTTTAACTGTAGGATTTTTTTTTATATAAAAGTGGTACTCAGTTGTATGTGGAACTCAGTTGTATATCTGCATTTTTGTGGTAGTGTAGACCCCTCTCACAGACAGCCATCTTGGTAGGCAAATTGCAACTGCATATATTCAAAGCCATCAAGTATGTGTACGTGCATACATGTGCAAAATGTTTTAAACATGCACACATGTAGCTTGAAATTTCTTCAAAATATGGCACAGCCGATGTGCGTCATGAAAAGTTGACCCAAAATGCCGATGAACGTGAGAATCTGTAGGCAGTGACTTCATTTGAGAGGGGTCTAGTGACTTAATACTTGCTGTGTGAAGTTGCCATTCAATTCATATTTATACTAGCCTCAATGTACATTTTACAAGGTCATGTTAAATACGTCTAAGCACTGTCGATATCAGAATTTTCAGTAATTGATATTTCGGAAATCCTTTTATCGAGACACTTTGATTTTTTTTTTTTAAGCAATCTTAAGTTCCTTATTTCCATGGTTTTCTCTGGAGCATATTGCTCAACCTTTTAAAACAAATCTCAGCACAGACAGTTTGTCCAGAACGGGCGGTTTCTTTTGAGGTTTTACACTGGGAGAGACGGTGAAATCCAGGGAAGGCAGAGCACAAAGCGACGCCGCTTAGCATTTCGTGATTTTTATGCCCCGCGGCGAAGCCGAAGGGGCATACTGTTTCCGCCTTGTCCTTCCGTGGGTGGGTGGGTGGGTGTGTGGGTGTGTGTGTGGGTGAGTTTGTCTTACATACGCAGTGTGGACTTCCGAACAAAAGACGTCCACATAATGTAGGTAGCACCGACGCTGTGTGGACTTACCCCACGTCCACACAGTGTTTCCCCATTTCTGGAAAACAGGTTTAGAGGCATTTTTGGGTTAGGTTTATCCGTAGCAGAATGAAGAGAAACACTAAAGGGAATCATAGAAAAAAAATTGGGTTGAAAGAGTTTTCACAGTTTGAGAAAAATGAGTTTTTTCACTGGTTTTTCTTAACTACACGAAAGCAATGGAAAGTCCACACTAGTCATGTGAAACAAGTATGGGTGGGTGTGTGGGTGTGTGTGTCCGGACAAATCTTGTCAGCGCGATAACTTGAGAAATACTTTACATATGAACTTCAAATTTGGTTTGTGGATTGTCCTTGGTAATCCTAAGAAGCCTTTTGCATTTGGGGCCGAAAGGTCAAGGGTCAAGGTCACAGTGGCTGAAACAATAGAAATTTTGTCAGCACGATAACTTGAGAAATACTTTACATATGAACTTCAAATTTGGTTTGTGGATTGTCCTTGGCAATTCTAAGAAGCCTTTTGCATTTGGGGCCAAAAGGTCAAGGGTCAAGGTCACAGTGGCTGAAACAATAGAAATTTTGTCAGCGCGATAACTTGAGAAATACTTTCCATATGAACTTCAAATTTGGTTTGTGGATTGTCCTTGGTAATCCTAAGAAGCCTTTTGCATTTGGGGCCGAAAGGTCAAGGGTCAAGGTCACAGTGGCTGAAACAATAGAAATGTTGTCAGCGCGATAACTTGAGAAATACTTTACATATGAACTTCAAATTTGGTTTGTGGATTGTCCTTGGCAATTCTAAGAAGCCTTTTGCATTTGGGGCCAAAAGGTCAAGGGTCAAGGTCACAGTGGCTGAAACAATAGAAATGTTGTCAGCGCGATAACTTGAGAAATACTTTACATATGAACTTCAAATTTGGTTTGTGGATTGTCCTTGGCAATTCTAAGAAGCCTTTTGCATTTGGGGCCAAAAGGTCAAGGGTCAAGGTCACAGTGGCTGAAACAATAGAAATGTTGTCAGCGCGATAACTTGAGAAATACTTTACATATGAATTTCAAATTTGGTTTGTGGATTGTCCTTGGCAATCCTAAGAAGCCTATCGCATTGGGGGTCAAAAGGTCAAGGGTCAAGGTCACAGTGGCTAAAACAATAGAAATCTTGTATTTATTCTGAGATCATAGGGATTAGGGATTAATTCATATAAAACCTACAGAAGACACTAATGCTGTCAATGAACGTTCCATTTGACCAAGGTACATGTAAGTTGATGTTAGAGTGGTGTTATGTCATGGAAACAGTCACGGTTGCGGGGCATTTGTGTTTGTTAACACACCTGACTTGTTTTATTTTGAGTCACAAGCACAAATTTTATTTCATTAAACAGCAAACGCTAAACACAAATTAAAAGCACAAATGGGAGATTTATTTTGGCGATAATCTGAAGCATTTCGATATTTTCAACATTCCTCAATATTGAAAATTTCAAAATTTCAATGTGATTAAAAATTTGCTTTCGGTGATATTGATATCAAAATAATATCGAATAATCGAGTAATATCGATAGTGCTTAAATATGTCCAGTATAAATGTAAGTGACTTAAATTAGCAAAAAAAAGGAAGTTTGAAGCCCCAAAAAAAACCTTATCAAAGATCAATGTTTTTTGTACATTACAGTGGATGAGTACATCCTGTTAGCCAAGGAGCGTTATGGCTACAACACGGAGCAGGCCCTGGGGATGCTGTTTTGGCACAAACACAACGTGGACAAGTCCCTGGCCGACCTGCCTAACTTTACCCCCTTCCCTGACGAGTGGTCCGTGGAGGACAAGGTGCTGTTTGAGCAGGCCTTCAGCTTCCACGGAAAAAGCTTCCACAGGATCAGACAAATGGTAAATAATAATGACCCCCCCCCCCCCCCCCCCCCCCCCCGATGCCCATTGTTGAGTGGTGATTGTACTACAGCCGAGTCTCGTTAATACAAACTCGTCCGGACCTAGCCAAATTGTTTGTTATATCAGAATTTTGTATTAAGAGGAACATCAGTCCCATTCATTGTGCACATAATTGCACAGTCAGGACCAAGGCTCTATGTTTGTTATAACCAGAATTTTGTATTAACAGAGTTTGTACTAAACGAGATTTGACTGTATTACTAAGAGATACAGTTCAGACTTTTCTGTTAATCAAGGTGACACTCTTTGCATCTGTGACTGATCTGAGAATTTTACCTTTTGATATTTTCAGGTTTATTGCGTTGTTCCTTATTTAAACATAGTATAAAGTAATCCCTTTGGAAAGCAATCAAACTCCTTCCAAATGAATGGAAAAAAAAACTCTTTCAAAATAAGCTTACAGATAAACATAAATTTATTGTCTCTTTTTACCTTGGTCATTTCTTGTGTGTTTTCCCAGCTGCCGGATAAGTCTATCAGCTGCCTTGTGAAATATTATTACCAGTGGAAGAAGACGAGGACTAGTACAAGTCTAATGGATAGGCAAGCAAGGAAGCTTGCTGGAGGACACAAAGAGAATGAGAGGTGAGATTCCACATAAACCTGTGGAGTATAGACGGACAGGAGTTTCACATTATGAGACCGTAATCTGTACAACTTTTTTTCCTGACTTTTTGAAAAGCATTTCCGAAAGATGGTTGCCACATTGTCTTTCAAATGGAATTTAAAACATTAGGCACATATCTAGTCTTTGTGTTGTAAGCATACTTAACAGAAGAGAAATCACACAAGTACAAAGATGTATTTCAAGGGGACCGATATGTAATTATTTCGCTGTTTAGATAATATATAGGTTATGATTTTTCTGTGTTTTTTAAGTTTTCTAGAAACCACACCTCTCCCCCCCCCCCCAAAAAAAATTCTATATATAAGTTTGATGAATCAAAACAAGGGAACATTATCAACACAATAAACTTCATATATAGGGTACTGTCTCACCCACATTTTAAACTTTAAAATTTGACACAAAAATGAACCCATTTGCGGGGGAGGAGAGAATTTATCCTTGATCACGAGAGCTTTGTGTTATTCTGTCACCAGTGAGGCCTCAGAGATGGAAGAGAAACCCGAAGAGAAACGGGACGAGACGTTCGATCCCGAAAAAGAACCCAAGGTAAATGTTTTGCCCAGGATCTTCTAGATATGTGATCAAGAGTTTGAAATGGACCACTCCCCCCGTCAGTCAAACAGTGTGCTGTGTCCAATCAGATCTGGCCTATTGGTCAGGTGACCCGGTAGTTTAGTCAAACATGGCTGACAAGCACTATGATTTATGTACACAAACCAAAGGTGGGCGGGGCTTATGCCCAAACTGGGGGCAGTCTATCCCAGGTTTACAGATATAATGTGCAGAATAGAAGGGAGAAAAGAAATGCTGACGGAATCATAATCCTTAAAAATGGAAGAAATAAATTGTGTTGGCATTCATAAATTATATGTAAGATGCTTAAATGATGGACTTAAAGGTAGAGTAGACCATTTGTAATTTGTGAATTTGTTTTCGTTAGAACCGACAAAAGTGCTCAAAATCTAAAGACGGATGCTTACAACCCCCTATCCTGATGAAGTTTTAGCTCTGTGAATGCTGTATATCTCAAGAAACAGAACAAACAAAAACACAGTATTCTGGGTATCGATTTCAATTCCAAATTTATATTTTGAATTGAGCCCTCACGTGACACAATCCCGAAATCAGCATTCGGGACATGGTTCTCATTCAGCCGGTTGTCGCCCACTCACGGATTCGCCCAATTACAAACCAACTACTAATTAGAACGCGTGGGGGCAGATTCATGGAAATTTCCAAAAAAATGTGTGACTTGACACATCTTTGGAAATGACCTTCTTTTTGTTGTTTTCTTCAAAATGCATGTCCAGACAGCATGCCTGAAGGAATTATCTCACAGGGTGTTTTAGTGTCATTACTATCTTTAAACCAAGAAAGCTTTTCAACAGTAATTAGGTTGGTTACGTTTTGAATAGCTGCAAATGATCTACTCTTCCTTTAACACCAATTTGGTTTGTGCACATTCATCAAGTTCGTATGGATTGTACATTCACAAACCAATGTGTACACACAGTTTAATAGTCCCACTTTAATACTAGAGCTCTTGTGGATAGTCACACAATACTATTAACTTGGGTTAGTGTAAGGGTTAGGGTTAGGATTAAGGTTAGTTCATCAACAAAAGTGCCTGTAAGTCCTACATTGAGACTGGGATATTAGCCCTGAAAGTGAATGGTACAGAAACTGTTAAGATTAATAGAGCATAGTTGTACAAAATATATTTAGTACTCCAAATTTCATCATTTTAAAGACTAATGCAACTAAGACCATGTCCGATCTCTCGGCTGTGGCTTGTAATGACACATGCGTCTATTGAAGCAGCTGAAGCCACTTCCCGTAGACTAGTCTTTATGCTAGCCATAGCCGAGTAATCTGGGTATGGCCTTAGTCAAAACCCAAAACAACAAAAAACAGAGGTGAATTCCAGACGTTATAGTAAAGAATTTCTTTTTTTTTATCTGTTTGATTTAAGACTCCACAGGTAGAAGGAGTCGTCAAAAGCATCTGTTCCAACTGTAATAGCACTGTCAGCCAGCTGCACACCACGCCAAAGGGTTTACTCTGCAATGCTTGCTACAGCTTCTGGAGGTAGGCACAGGGTTGGATTTTTACCCTTTTTAGACTGGCATTCCAGAGTCTCGCTGAATCAAATAGTATTATTTTTGGTTTCAGACAGTTGAACTTAATTAAATCATTTTTCCACTGAGGTGTTGATCTTTCACTGTAGTCCCTTCTGACACTGTAGTCACTGTAGAACTTTACAAGGGGTGTGCATTTACAGGTAGTATGGGAACCAGGTACCCAATTGAAAAAAACACGGGTACTTGGGTACCCGTTTAAGAAAACCAAACCCAAAATTCAAATCTCAGAAGTTGCTGCTCACATTGTTCATAAAGATGCGCACGATAATATTGCCACATCGGTGTGTCAATACAGCAAGATGCAAGTGTGTACAGTGAGCTTTTATAGCCTAACATTGTAAACGGCAACTTTTGCGTGTGTCATAAACATGAAATTTGTTTCATTTTCCCATGTTGCCTGGTTTTATTTTTTTTAAATTCCCCACAAATGGCATTCAAAACCTTTCATTTTCATTGTCTGAGAAGTTACTAAGTAGTTTGCAAAGTTGGTTAAGTGTACCCGATCCCATAATCTGGAACCGGTTCCTGACATCAGCGGTCGGGTACTCGGGTACCCGGTTCCGATGAATATCCCTAACTTTACAAGTACTTAGTTTGAATCTTCTGAATAACTGAGTTTGGCACGCTTATGGAATGCCAGAATGAAACTGGTGTTAACTAGTTTGGGGATTTGTGGGGTTGGAGGGGGGGTAGTTCAGAGTTGTAGTCAAATTCATCACAAGTTAAATCACAAGTTGGATCACAGACTAAGTAACGTTAATCACCAAGGAAGGTCACAAGTAACAGGGAATGAAGACTGACAAATGAATTCAAATGACTCTGTCATAGTTCATTTGAATAGCTTTTTATTGAGACTGGATGCTGACTTGGGATTGACTTGTGACGAGTTGAGATGACTTGTGATGACTTGACTGCAACATTGGGACAGTTGGTAGCAACTTTTGAAATGCTTGCTAGAGTTAGACTGCATAATAAGTGCAAATTTATAAATAAGTACCTCAATCATTCAATATCGTTTTCTTGATGACAGACGGACCGGTGTCATGCGTACCCACGTGGGCCCTGTCCGCAATGAGACCACCAGTCATCGCCATCACCCCTTCAGGACCAAAAAGAAACCCCCCAAAGGGATGTACTTGGATCCCGACGACCTGATGGCTGTCACCACCAGCCAGGGAGAAGCCATCTTTAAGGCTCTGGATGCTGAGATTATTAACCTCAAGAGACAGGTAGGTTGAGGATACTTCCTTTTCTGCCTCATACCTGAATATTAACCCTGACTTTGACCAGCCAGAAAGAAGCGAGCTATCTTTAAGGCTCTGGACATGTAGATTATTAATCTCCAGGGACAGGTAGGTTAAGGATTTTTGTGACTTTTGCTGTCCTCACTACCTACATAGCAGCCCCCCTTAGCAGAAAATAGTGTGCTTAGCTGCACCATGAAATTTGCCCCTAGATATTATACAAATATTGACTGCTTTAACTTGTGATATAGTAAAACTAGCCTTCCGAGGTGATCCATGGAGCATTTTATTTTCAGAAAATGGAATGCTCCATGGATCACCTTGGATCATTTGGGAGGCTAGGATCACCTCGGGAGGCTAGAATCACCTCAGGGGGCTAGTTTTACCATACCACGAGATAAAGCAGTCAATATTTGTTTTAAAAACCTCACCCACATATTCTGCTTGATTTTAAGAGATAACTGCTTAATTTAATCTAAATACAATTAAAATGTATTTCTATTTCAATTAAAATTAGTTGAAAATTTACTTGAACTTTTCCAAGCCACCCTTTCACGAAATATTTGAACCCAGCTCTGCAGTAGCGCTAGCACTTGGGAACGATATGCGCAACGCACACACCCGTATACATTTGCGTACAATACCGGTCACTACGTGAATAGTGCTTTGGTTGCCATATCTATAGAACTTTGGTTGCTATGCGTATAGTCTTTTTAGGCTGTGCACAGTAAGATAGCAAAAATAGCGAATACCATGTGACTTGCTCTTGGCCAATCAAGATACAGAATCTGTTGTTGAGGTGTTATAATATCGCACTAGTCGACTGGAATGGTGATATTCTTGCATTCTTTTGTTGCTGCCATTCTCAGATCCAACTGAACAAGCAATTCCTAGGACAGCAGAGGAGCAAGCTGTTTGATCTGAATGAATACCGACAGACAGAGTCTGTTCCACGTAACAATTCCCGCTGGACCAGTGAAGAACAGCTCATTGCTGTACAAGGTAAGGGCTTTGTCTGAATCACTTGACTACGGCTTGCAATTACCATAGACACGTGTGCTAACTGCCAGCCGCAGCCTAGTAAATCGGATGCGGCTCTAAGCATCAAAATATCAAAGTGAATGCTGTAATAAATTTTTTTCAGTTAATAACTTTTTTTAAATTTACAGAATTCTGTTGAAGTGGGAAAAAGAGATTTTTAAGTGGATTATTGTAACCTTTTCTGTCAAAATTTAATAAAAATTAGTCCAAAAGTGCCCTAAGGAACATGCTGTTTACACCCTGTAAATGTTTTCACATAAGTCACTAGAATTCTAAAAACAGCGAGATAAAATTGGCAATATGTACTCTATTGTGTTAGAATAACAAGGTTTTGTTTACATATTTGTGTACATGCCAGTACGTAAATTTGTGAAGTCTTCGGCGTTGAAATCTCTATGTTATCAAACAAATTGAATTTTAATCATATCAAAAATCCTTTATTTTTGTTGACACAAAAAAGTCCCTTTTCTCTTCCAGCAATCAGAAAGTATGGTCGCGACTACCAGGCCATCGCTGATGTCGTTGGCAACAAGAATGCGGCACAGTGCCGCAGCTTCATGGTGAACTTCCGCCGTCGTTTTGACTTGGACAAGGTGTTGGAGGAGTGGGAGGCAGACAACAGTGCACAGCTCAAGGAGTTCAAGAACAAAGAGGAAGCGGAGGTAAAAGTCCAGATAAGAGTCGAAGGGTTGCATTAGCTTTCTTGAGATATGGTGGACATAATATGAGGGCGCTATTCTGGGTGGGCATATTGAGGTAAATACAAAAGAGGTTCCCCACTCAAATAGGGCCATCCATTGTGTTCCTGGGTGGGGGAGGGCCCTGGTACTAGTGGTTAGGGTTTGTGAGTCATGATCAGAAGGTTGGGGGTTCAAATCCAGGTGCTGGGCATTTGTTGTGTCCTTGGGCAAGCCACTTTATCCCAACTTGCCTCTGTCCACCCAGGAGTATAAATGGGTACTGGCATTACTCAGAGAGTAACCTGCAGTGGACTGGCATTCCTCCGGGAGGAAAAAAAATATTCTCAGTCGTTTCATGCCACTGAAACCGGAGTTGAACGCAGGCCTGATGAGCCATATTGGCTCGTTGACAGACTTTACTTTACTTTTGTGTCCGCCATACCTCAGAACAGCCAATGGTGGTGGCAAACATAAAAGTATGTTTGCTGTTGCGAAAGTTTTTGACTTTTATCTTTGCTAGCCTAAACTGGCTGCTGCCAAGCAGGATTTGCGTGTTGAACATTATTAAAATGATTCCCTGTGTGTTTGCGTTCACAGCAACAGACAGACATCGGCCCATCAGTAGCCACCTCAACCACACAGACAGTGAGTGCTATGAACAATGCACCCCCTCCTCTACTCAGACCGGCGGGTCAATCCCCTGCAATTAGACCACCCCCACTACAGGCTCAGCAAAGGTTAGTGTGGAAGTAATATTCGGGATATGATCTCTGTGCAAAAGTACACCTCGGCAGTTACAATGAGAGAAAGTCAAAAGCCACGTAGGATTGTTTGCAATTAGCCCGAGAAGTACCTACCGATTCAATGACAGGAACCTTGCTCAAAGTGAAAATAGGACTGGTACCAAATACCCTGTGAAATTATTCCGCCTGAAATGGTATGGTTCGGAAGAATACAAACATTGAAGGCGGTTTCAAAATAGGGTGCCCAGGGGCACTCGTTGTTACGTTGTGGAATCCCGTTATGAGACCCCAACTATTTGAGCGTATGTTTTCGCTGTTTTCTCAAAATATATATTAGTCACTGAGTTAAAAGTTCAACAGGTTAGTTGTTACGCACCCTACTAAGATTTTGAGCACTTGCCACTTTGTAATGCTTCAAACATAAAAAGCAAACAATCATGAGTATCTTTAAAAGGGCCTCTTGAACGCATAGCCAATGGCGCCCTACGCTTATGCAATAGACCTGTATCATGCTGCCACCATTTCAGTCATGTTCCCTGTATCCAATAACAGTACTGAATGATAATAAGTTTTGTGCAAAAAGGAACCAGACTGTTTGTCCTTCCTGCCTCGCTTTGGTTACATTCATTGATCTCCATTAGTCAGACTGGATAGGACACAGCGCCCTCCATCTTGTGCAGGTACGCGTAGTCATCGGTGAGGGTTTGAAAGTTTGAAATGCGTTTGTCACAGACCATGCAGCACGCGCACGTCACGCATGCGCGGTCGCAAACGTTAAACCCTCACTGTATTACCCAGCTGTTTGTGCCCGCGTTTTCCAAATCTTCACTGCGCGCAAGTATACGTGTGTCCTATCCAGTCTTACTAATGGAGATCAATGGTTACATTGATTTGAACGGGAAAAAGTCAAATGGCTGCAACGTGATAATGGTCTATGACGCCACGGGTATATGTACATTTAGAATAAAATAGGTCGTGCGTACTTTGCGTCATACACACATGAACCATTGTATGCACTTGGTTTGTCCCTCCTTAGCACTGTCTTGAATATACCGAGTATTCCACTATTCGATCATCAACCGAATATATTCAAATAGCTTTTTGCTGGTTCTAGTATACACACACAACTGTGATGTTATTTTAATGTTCAAGTTGCCACATTTTTGTTTGTCGACGGTGGTTCATTGTTCCCGTCCTTTTAGCAGGTTAAAGACGTTGAAACTTGAGGAACACTTCACCGCCTTTGAAAAACTGCATGTAATAAATGAAAGAAGCAGATAATCAAGTTGAGCAAATTAAATTTTCTCGTCTGTAAATTGTTCCTTTCAACTCTTAAACTGTTTCCTCTTTTGTTGTAGGTTTGTTCCTCCTCGAGTCTCCCTGCTGCAGCCACCGCCCTGATTCGGCCCAGTGTCGCCCCTCCTGCTGGTCCTTTAGCACGCAGCAGACCCCCCATGATGGGACCGCTCTCGGGACCCCCGCCCCAGCTGGTCGGGAGCCAGGCCGAGCCTACTTCGCAATAAACCCCATTTGAGAAAACTGCCATTGATCCTCTCTCAAAAGCAATTACTAGAGTTGTAATCAAGTCCTCATCAGTCCATCGCAAATGGCTAATATGAGTCTTTCTATAAATTTAGGGTCCCAAGTGTGATTTTTTTCCTGTTCCTGTTACCTTGGTACTTTGTACTTTGCCATCCGAGTATCATTAAGGATGACTTCAAATGATTTATTGGGTAGGTAGTTTGCTATTCATAATCACTCTTGGAGGACGACTGCATTAAGGAGTGCATCAGAAATATAAAATCATAGATGTCAGATGTAACAGGGACAGGACAAAAAGTGGACCCCGAATGTATAGAATGACCCTTATTAACCCTAACCTTCCCGAATCCTCCAAATTCCTCTTTGTAAAATGGAGGATTTTGCAGGGTTGAGGCTATAGGGCAAAAGTGTGTGGCTGATTTTGGAGGATGCACTGTGTCAAGGTCTTGGGCCGTACCTGGTGTTGTTAATGCTCAGCCGTGCATAAATTCAGGCTTAGATTATACTTGAAATCCTCCGCACTGCTCCAGGATGTCACTGGCTCTGCCTCGACATATTGACAGTGATTGTTAGAGGATTTTGCAGGATTGAGGCAGTGGTCACCCCTCCAAGTACCACATTCAAGAAACAACGGAGGATTTTGGAGGATTGAGGCTGTATGCAATTTTTACATGGAGGCAGTTGGAGGATTTTGCAGGATTGAGGTTGCGTCCTACCAAAAATGACTACGGAGTTATGGTTAAAATGGCAAAGCAAGATTCTGGTATGGAGTTCCACAGTGATGGCATACGAAGAAAGAAAGTTTAGAAATACCTCACAATTCCAGTCCTTGTAACAGTGTTGTAGGCCGTTCCATCGCAAGTCCTCACAAATACATGAAAGGTCATTCGCAAGTCTTCCAGTCTCAAGTCAAGTCACAAGCTATTCACAAGAACTCTGAGGAAAGCCTTCTTTTGTCATTGTTTACTGTTCATTCCCTAGTCTTGAGATGACTTGTGATTTGACTTATGACTGGCTTGAGATTGGATTTGTAGCTTGACTTACGATTTTACTTGATCACACCAAAGTAACAAGAATATCAAGTAGTGCTGCTTTACAGTTTTCAACACCAGGATGAGTGAATGTTGAAAATGGAAAAATCTTTGATTTGTGAAGCAGTTCATTACGGATTAAAAGCAAGGGGGATTGCAGTTGTAGGTGTTCCTGTGGGAAAAGTGTTTAGCAACTTATCCTACTTTTTTCCTGCGGTTCCTTTGACATTGGGGGCCATTGTTGTCTTGTTCCCAGAGGGCACGACATTGCCACAACACTACTTATGAGATGTAGACAAGTACTGTCTGAATAGTTAGCGTGTTATCAACTGTTATTTGATAATGTTTTGTAAGCAGAGCCATACCAGGCAAGTGTGCTTCTTAGATACAAAGAAAACTCAGAATTTTGTTCCTAATAAAACAATTTTCTGAACTTTAGGGTTCCTCGGGAGGACAATTCAATTAAAATATGTTCCGTCCTGGTATATTGGGGACAAGATCGACACTTAGGATCATTAGTGTAGACATCATTAGTGTACACATAAGTGAAGTTGGGAACTTAGAAACAAAAGAAGTCACTGTTTTGGGGCATGACTTGCAAATAGTTTGCATGGGTTTTACTCTGCGAATCTTTGGGACTTGTATATAATCGGAGGTTTGTGTCTAGGAATGTACAATAGCTTGCATTTCTAATTGGGATTACTTTGTACATGTTGGTAGATTGAAAGCGTTTCTGGTAAAATTCACTTGGGACAAAAAAGGAAGATTAAAAAGACAAAATGATTTGCTTCGCAAAAGGGTTAGGAAATGTGAACAAATACTAGCTTGTTAAACTTGAATTTAAGGTTGTTTACAAATTTGCATTGTGTAAGATACTGATTTCTGTGAATTTAAGCCGGTGAAAAAAAAATGTGTTAAAAAATATGATGAACATATTCTTGCAAAACGTGCCATTGTCATGATTTGTGAATGTGAAATCCGTTGGTGGTTGGAGAATTGTTTTCACTTTTCACAGACTAAGAAAACAGTGTGATAGTATTCACAGTAACTTCTCATTTATTATTAGTTTTTTTATATCTGTGCATTTATCTCTGTGTCAGAAAAGCAAGAAGTTGTACTATTGACATAATAACTTAAAGAGGTTGTGGAATGCTCGAAAACATTTCCGTCATTTTTTGGGTATATGTAGCCTAAGGTGTGATGAAATAAAAACGACTATTGTTTCTGTCATGAAATGAGTACAAAGGGTACTTTTGAGAGCTATTTTTCAGGTCCTGTTTCGAGCCGAACGTGCAATTTGTGTAAAAGTCGTCGTTGCGGGCAAGAAACAAAACACAGTTAATCGTGACGTAATAAACAGGACTCGTTTATGCTACTCTGCATCGGGAGTCCTGTTTATTACGTCACGATTTACTGTGTTTAGTTTGCTGCCCGCAACGACGACTTTTACACAAATTGCACGTTTGGGTCGAAACAGGCATGACAGGACTTGAAAAACAGCTCTCAAAGGTACCTTTTGTACTAATTTTATGACAAAAACAATAGTCGTTTTTATTTCATCACATCTTAGGCTACATATACCCAAAAAATGACGGAAATGTCTTCGAGCATTCCACTGGAAATGGCGGTTTTTTTTGTTATGTTGTTATTTTGTCGATCCTATTCAGAACTCAGTCACCGTATGAATTCTTTTGTGAGTCAGTGTGTGTGAGTTTGTGTTTTCTGATGCACTTTTCTGATCAAGATGATGGTGGATCAAGATTTCAGTTATTAGTTTCTGTTGTTGTTTTTTTCAGGAAAATTCTCACTCTGAGTTGTAGCTTTCTCTCTGCTTTGGCCTGTTGATTTCGGTCTTTTTGAAATCGATAAATGTACAGAGTGCCCTCACTGTGACAGTGAAAGTGCCAAGTGTCTACTCAAGGGTATCGCAGGAACAAAGACCCGTCCACATTTAGGGCACTCTATGCAATTGGTCTATTAGCCGGGAATTGTGTGCTTCAACACCATAAAACTGAGACCAATGCACATATTGTTGCTACGCCCAACTATGGCATCATCCCAACTGTAGTTGGGACGATCCCAACTACAGTTAGGATTGTCCCAGAAATTCTCAACTATTGTTGAGACTGTCCCAACTATAGTTGGGACCACTGGCAAAGTTGGGCGTAACATTGTCATTGAATTGTGGCACTCGTGGTACTAGGGGTAATGACAGGAGTGTTCTGATTGTTTTTCTTCCGTTTTCTTCTTCAGGTGAATAAATGTGCATAATTAATTTATTGATCTCAACTATGTTAAAGTCAACCCCTTTAAAAATCTACCTCTTCATTTATTTGTAGAATCTAATTCGTTGTTTCTAGACGTAGATGTCGTTTGCGTAACAAATCTCAGTTTGTCTTAGAAAATATTTTTGAGGACTTTTGTTGGCATTTCCAATCAAGATATTACTTATGAAATAGGAAACAAACTAATGTAGTATTTAGAGAGATAGAAATTGTGTGTTGTGTGGTTTTTTTTTCTCTGGTTAAACTTTTAAAACTGTACTTTCCTTTTCTTTTCAAAACATTCTTTTAGTGGTAAGATTTATAATATTTCAAAGGAGTTTTTTTAGGGCAGTCCATGATGCCAAATTCTATCTTGTAAATATTTTGAACTGCCAAAGTAGTTGAAATCAAGGCCATAAAAGAGAAGTTGACGCCGTTTTTCTGATCGGATCGAGAACTGGAACAATACACATCTTAAAAGTCTTATTTTCACAATACTGTCAATGGGGTACGTGGTTTACCTTACCCAATTTAATACGCTTTTCACTAAGCTAAATAATTGTAGTTATTACTGACTTCAAATTCTGAGAGTAAAATTACCACCAACATCAATGCAGTCTTCATGATGTCAGCAAATAATAATATAACCATGACTTCTTACGTCCGAATTCTATGGCTATGGCTTTCAATTATACATGTGCCTATGGAAGCAGACAAAGCCACTTCCCATGTGTATATTACTGCCAGCCGTAGTCTCGTAATTCGGACCTAGCCTTACTGAGATGACCAAGCAGTGTAAATACCAATTTGTTTTGTTGATACATAGTTTATGTAAATAGTATTTATAATTCCAGTTACAGTTTAAGGTCAGTGTGACAATGTAACGAGCTAAAGATGTTTCCAGAGATTTCTTCATTTTTTAGATACTTTTTGTGAGGTAGGAAAGGATTGGTTTTGTAAAGTGTTAAATACGGTTAAGAGTTGCTGTAGGTCTGCAAAACTTAAAATTAAGGGAGAAAACTTGTCAAAACTTGGTATGATTAAATGTGAAAAAGAGGCATGATAAATGTATTTGCAATGGAAGAACATTAATTAAAGGTAGAATGGACCATTTGTCCTTTTGGACCTTTTTTTTTCGTGTAAAGCAACAAAAGTGCTCAAAATCTAAAGATGGATGCAACTAACCCGGTGAAGATTTATCACTGTAAATGCTGTATATTTTGAGGAAACACAATATTCTGGATCTCGATTTCAGTTCAAATGTGTCATATGTCATATGCCATGTCATATTTTGAATTGCGCCCTCTCTTGACACAATCCCAAAATCCGCATTTGGGACATGATTCTCTTTCGGCCGATTGTAGCTACATATCTCACACTGAACAGACGAATAATAGCATCCGCACGCATGTGTGCGTCGCGTCAGTGCTTGCACCCATTCATGGATTCGCCCAATTACAAAAAAACTACACAAACTGAAATTTCCAAAAATATGTCACTTGACAATCTTAGGAAATGACCTTCTTTTATTGTTCTCTTCAAAACGACAGCATGCCAGAAGGAATAATTTCACAGGGAGATTAGTGTCATTACTATCTTTAAAACCAAGTATGCTTTTCAACAATAATTTGGTCGGTTACTTTTTGGATAGCTGCAATTGTCCACTCTACCTTTAAAGGGGCATTCTGCCTTCCAGCAGTACTATGGACAATGAGCCCTGCCCCAACCTTAAATGATTTCTTGTGAGCCTCTTTAATAATGGCCTTTCTGCTATCTGAATTAGCAAGTAAGTTTTAGGCCTGGTTTTGGCTCATGTCTTCAGTGCATCCCCACTTGCAATAAAAGTACATGTAAAGTTATCATTAATATGCAGGCTAATGATTTGTCATAAAAACGCGGAACATTTTTGTACTTTTTGCAGCCGCACTTATGCACTTGTCAATAGAAACATTTTACATTGGTTTTCCTATTAAAACTTATTGTTAATAGTAACGTTGATAGTAAGCTAGTAATCTCTTTAAATTATTTATTGGGAAAACTGCCAGAAACAATGGTACACCAAGTTAATTGAAATAATTTTGCACACAGAGTTTAATGATTTAAATGTAACTTGGTAAAATGAGAGTGAAAGTCCACAATGTTTCAGAAGAGTTGAAGGGTACAGTTTTTTCCATTGGAAGCACAAAGCATCCATTATAGAGTCATACTATGGGGGCATAAACCAATCATATGCCCCTCCCCGTTAAAAGAAAACTGATGACAACATGTGATAGATAATTTTGAAGGTTGTGCACTTCTGTGTTATATATTGCTGCAATGAGAATAAAAGTTAGATTCTCCGATAATTTGCATTGTGTATTATTTATTTACATCTTTAACTGCATCTTCAAAATTTCACTAGCACTGTTTTGATGTTTTGACATGGGGGGGGTAGGTGGGGACTATAACTGATGATATCATCAATGATGATATCATCTGACATCGGCAGTGGGCCGCCATCATACATAAACCCTTAACCCCAGCCACGCCCCCCCCCCAACATCTACCCCTAAAATACAGCAAAGAAAGGCACAATACTTCACAACAGACTTGTAGCGACTCTAACAGTTGGGTTTCCAAGGTCTTGTCACCAGGCTAGATCTACACAATAACAATGACATTGTGATCCATAGATCCAGGAGCCAGTCTGTACTCACATGACTGTACATTAATATACACGATATCGTAATTTCCGCAGTGGGCTACAGAATTCACTCAGCTTTCGAGGTCTACGTTTCGAGCTAAACAAAGTCAAAATGTCGGGAAAAGAGAGGATTATTGTATTTCCTTCTCGTATGTAAGTATTTTGTTCTTTTTCATGCGTAAAAAAGTGTTAACTCGCCTTACTTTTGGTAGAGAGTGTTATCTTTCTTGGCTACCAAATAGGCGTATTGACTGTACTAACATGACTAATCATGCTAAGTAATTGTAAAGAAAGTTATTGTATTTTGGCAGTGTATATTTTGCCGGAGACGGCAAACCTTTAGTAAACGTTAGTTTGCCGGATATGCACTGAACATGCGCAGTTACTGTTTATTTGTACTTTATTTCCCTTTAAAAAAAAATGCTCCAGAGCCACAAATCTGAAAAAGAAAATGTAATAGGCCTACTCTGCAAAAAATGTTTGAGACATGTTAAAATAATAAAAGAAGAATATTCTTATTTATTTGGGGATGAGAAAATAAACCTTAAAAATGTGGTGCGGTTGGAATCGAACGCGAGTCATCCCGCTTACTAGAGCCTTTGCTGAACCACTGCACCGTATGTGCTACACAACTTTTGGTGGGAATTTAATACACCTTATAATTCAGCCCTATTTTAAAGAGTACAGCGCCCTCTGTTGATATGGATTGCCGCCGGCAAACCTTTAGTAATCGTTAGTTTGCCGTCATTACCTCCGGCAAAATATCCACTACCTTGTATTTTTCATGTAAGCCTATCATTTGCATTTATCCCTAGAGTGTCTCATTCGCATTTATCAAAAAGCTTTAACTTGTTTGATAGGCCTACTTGTATTAAAGATCGTAGGGCCTACTAACATGCTGTCTGCCGTCTGGCTTTCTGTTCCTTGTTATAACATTACACAAAAATACATCTGCAAGCATGGCAAGGCTAAATAAGCATGATAATTTAAGGCAAATTCGTGCAAAATCATTTAATTTAGAATGTTAACATTGACGGCTATTTATGGAATATTGTTGCATTGTTAATACAGAGATATCCCAATTTGAAAAAAACCCAAATTGATTATGTGTGGCAGCAGTATAGGAAATGTTAAAACTTGGGTTATGGAGCATTTAATTGTTACATAGCCTATATTATTGTTACCCCCAGAACTATGGGTATTACTTGTAATACCCATAGTTCTAGGGGTATATTATTATTACGTGTACAGTCTTGACCAATCACAGCCAAAAGTATTACAAATTCTTGTATATATGCCTGCACTTGTGTATGATGCGTATAGGCCTAGCTGGAACTTGTAGACGTAATGTGGACTGGTCAATTGGTGGAGTGATTAATTTGACCTTAGATAAATTACATCATGTGACCACATATTAGGCCAAAAAAAAGAATAGTTCTGCTTCCGATTACATGCCTTTCAAAAATAGGGTCGGTCGGTCGAAAAAAAAAAAATTTTTTTTTATGCAGATTGAATGGGGTATTCAATTATATGCGAAGTTTTAGCCTGAACTATTTCCATTGCACTACAAAAGCTATACACAAAATGGCCACAAAAAGTGAATAAAACCTACCTTAATTATTGTCAATATATTTACGTTCGATAATTCGTAAAAATTTTTTGGGAAATTCAGGTCGTTCGCACCATAGGCACAACGCTAGTCAAGAAGGGGAGCTGGCCAAAACTCCGAAGTGTGTGATGCACTGTACATACATGTACATGTGTGGCCCGCGGCCAACGGGTCGAACATTTCAGGAAACACGCTGCATTGTATCACTCCAAATACGAGTAGTGCGATCTCAAAATGAACTCTTGAACACGGAAAATACATACACAGACAAGCTAGATCAAATCTGTGATTTAACTTGCAAAAATGTTCTTTCTCCATCGGTGTTTTCTTGGCATTTTTACGATGTCTTTCTCAGCATTTTTACGATGTCGAGTCCAACCAGTTGACAGAGCACGTGCCTGCGCCTGCATAGCCATGCTTGTGCTAACGATCGCATAGCCGTGCACAGACTAGTTACCGCATTTTCATAATTGGCCCCTGCGCGGCGCGGCGGGAACCAGTCGTCGCCGCATTGCGCTTATTACGCACGTGATTACAGACATCGAATTGCGAAGTAGTTGAATCGCGCAGCGAATTTGTAAAAATAACGGAGGTTTCTTTTGAAAAAATAGCGAATGTAAGTAAGAAAACAATAAATACAAGCATTTTTTTTATGCAAAAGGGTTGTTGAGGGGTATTTTGTGAAGACAGACAAGACATAAGGTTTTTATTTTTATTTATTCAATCATAAAATTTTTAGGGTCGCAGCCTAAAAATAGGGTCGGTCGGGTAACCGGAAGCAGAACTATTCTTTTTTTTGGCCTTAGTTAATAATTAATATGGCCACCCACTTCATTGATAATTTGTCAGGATTGAGGATTGTGATAGTAACTTAAAACTACTCAATGTGATTTTTACCCGCACTTTACCCAATTCCAAACACATTCTATTTCCAACCCTGCCTGTAACTGCCGGTACGTCTGTGGTTTTCCTCCTTCTCAGGGCTCTGACTAACATGAAGGTTCGTCTCAAAGGAGCACAGAAAGGACACAGTCTGTTGAAGAAGAAGGCCGATGCACTGTCGCTTCGATTCCGGCAGATTCTACATAAAATCATTGAGGTAGTTTTACCACTGACACAAAAAATCTAGGCCAGTAGTCAGCACACACCAAAATGTCCACCTTTCTTGGTAAAAGTGGACATTTTTCTTACTACAAAGTGTACGATCAATGCTGCATCTGTTAGAAATCTAAACGTGTACAAGGCATGACTTTGTACTATGGGTCAGATAAAGCTTTTTGTATTTTTATTTTATTTTGGTGGTTATTATGATCAAAATGAACAGCTTAAAAATGGACTCATGTCAAATATTGTGTTTGTCTTTCAACGTCTACAGACGCCCCCCCCCCCTTCCCTTCTCTGCCATAGGCCAACATCAACTGACCACCCCCCCCCCCCCCCTCTCTCCCTTCCCTTCTCTGCCATAGGCTCGAGATTAGAAGTTTCCTGCACAGGCACTTCACAAAATGTTTCTCTATCTGCTGGGTGGTCCCTTTACTTTAAATTTTCTCTGATCTTTTGAAATCCACCAAAAGGTTTTGAAAGTAGCCTTGTGCAATGAGTTAACCATGGAAATGTTCCAACAGGTTAAATATTTCTAACATGCAAATCCGCTGTTAAAAATGATCGGTTTCCTTCTCAAAATGTAAGTCTCTAAAAACCAATTTTCTAGCCAACATGAGTGTGTTTTGGCCATTATTGGGGACCTCCTGATAGATGAGCATTACAGACGGCCATTATCTGTAAATTTATCTGAAAGTTACTAGACATGATGGAATATAAACGTTGTACATGAATATTAAACCTTTCTGATTTTTTTTTACTGTGCCTGCTCAAGGTAGTCTGGCCTTAGCAGAGAATGACCCATGAAAGAGGATGTTTTCTATCAGCATCAAGTCTCTTTTAGTGCATTTGTATCAAATTATATCGTCGGTTACACCACGAACCGACGTATCGCTTTTTTTTGTGTTTCGAGAAAAAACAATTTAAACTTGGTAATCATTTTGTAGGCTCATTCTATATACTCCCTGTGTAAGAATTCAAGCTGTTTCGTTTTTGCTATTAAATTATAGATTGAACTTTATTGTATGCAATCCGTGTGCATCTGAGTTGCTTAGTTTTTGAGAAATTCAGTTCCAAAGTTATTTGTCACTTCGAGAAACAGATTTTTATCATGTTTATCGTATGTCATGCAACGCGCGTAATAGTGGCCGTGTGCCAGATACGGAGATACGTCGGTTCGTGAAACGCTAAATTCCAATTTTTCATGTCAACACTCTTTTGTGACGTCATAGCACTATGGGAATTAGCGTGTAAAGTGGCTTATTGGGATACGCCACTTCATGGTGCAGCATTTTTCATTTTTTAGAGACACGCCACACAGTCTAATTAGCGCTCTTAGTTAATTAGAACTCCGATCGGAATAAAACTTTCTGAGAATGAGCACTTTGATGAAATAATAACGTTAATGACAAAAACTCAATTTGGCAAAAAATCGAGATATGCAGGTTCGTGGTGCGACCGACGATATCATCAACTTTAAACATATCTGAACATTTCATATTATTTTGTTTATGAATTTGTGTGATTTATCACTTCTAGACCAAGACATTAATGGGTGAAGTCATGAAGCTCGCATCATTGTCCCTGGCAGAAGCCAAGTTTGCCTCGGGCGATTTCAAGTGAGTATTGAAACTTGACCTTTATAGCCGCATCTGAAGCACTTGGCTACGGATTGTAATAACACTTGCGCCTATGGGTGCGGCTAAAGCCACTTCCCATAGACATGTGTTACTGCGGCCATAGCCATGTCATAAAGACGTGGCCCGAGTCCCTTTAGCATCTTTGGATCTTTGATTTGACAATGGACATTTTATCATTAGGCACGGCACATAACCTTGCATGAACTATATTTGCCGATGATAAGTTGTAAAATGTAGGCTTTCTTTCCCAGAAGAAATATATTGTTTCTTGGAACCAATATGTTGCAGTTTTGATTTTTCGGGGATTCCATAGTGGTGTAAAAGTACGAAATTATTTGTTTTAATTCAACAGACTTATAAAAATGCGTTTCTTGATGTTTTGAGTCCTTTTGAACTTTTCTAGATAGGAAATTTCCACAATCAGTAATGGAGAAATCCTTGAAATTAAAGCAGTCAACGTTTCTATTATAACTGTGAGGCGTTCTGGCAAAATGAGACCGAACTGGGCAGAGGTCGAAATGAGGGTTTGCGGGTATTAGGAAAGAGAATAAAATTCTCCTTACAATGCTGTTTCTTGCACTTCAGTTGGATGTTTCGTTGACAAGTTGTGGCTGTTTAAATTTTCGCATTTATCGATATGTAAAAAAGAGTAACATACTGGGAAAATGGCCATTAAAGTTTTGACCGTTTTGTAGTGAAAATGAAAGATGCCATTTTTTTATCCTTAAAAACACTTTTATTCCTCGATTTTTGTACCATTTCTTTAAAATATGTGTGGTAGACATATCAAAAAGTACAAACATCAACAAATCTGAAAATCAACAAACAAATGTCCATCACGGCCTGTGTCCAGTTCCGTCCCTTTTTGCCAGAACCTGTCACATGAATGAAATTCCACAGCCACATCCAATATGGAGATACATACATCACTATTAAAATGCTGTCTGTTTTCAAAACTTTTTCTGCAGTCACATGGTGCTTCAGAATGTTACCAAGGCAAAGACCAAAGTCCGCTCCAAGAGGGACAATGTAGCAGGTAAGATACCTCGAAGAAAATACATAAGTTCACTGACAATTTTCAACAGGCAAACGCAAATCCCAATTTGTGGCCCATTCAATACCTACTTGTTGCATGTAAATTTCAGCCAGCGTGCGTGTATAAAATTCCTGAAACGCGCAAGCTAACTAGGCTGGCACATGTAAAACTTGATTGGCGCCTTTCAAATTTTCATCCGAATCCAAGTTCGAATTATCGGATAATTATTTATTTAAAAATAGTCCAAAGTCATCACTGTGGCATTCAAGCACTGACCCCAACTATTATCTAAAAATGAGAGATAAGCAACTATGGATCTTGCCATACCAACAGAAACTGTTAAAAATTGTTGGAGAAACAAACATTGTCTTGGGCATGCCTACTGCTCTTCCACGTTCCTTAACCCTTACTCTCTGAGGGTAGTTTACTGCATGTCAGTTGGTTATGCCAATGCCCTCCAGCTGCAGTTATTTGGCAGATAACAAGTCTTAACAGTGAAGGCTCCAATTGGCAGGAGTTGGAGGCCCTGGAGGGTGCCTGATACTGACCAGCTGGGGGCACTCACTTTGTTATCAGAGGACTCTCATTGTTCTCTGTGGCATGTATTGGAGTGCCTGTCCAGTTACCCTTGAAATGACATGGCAGATATTGGAGGGCCATGCAAAAAACATAGGAGATTTTCTTGAGGCACATATTGGCATGCGTTGGAGGGTCTAGTAGGGTAAGGGTTAATTCCTCATAAGCTTCATTTGTAACTCATTTAAGGCCCCTCTCAATTCATGTCCGGGACAAATTCAGAACAAGTTGTGGGTAGTATCATTCACTTTGTCTAGGAGAAGCTCTGCATTTGTCACGGACATGTCCTAGGGATATTTTCACTAACAATGATTGACTCACCAATACTGATAACTTCATTGTGGGAAGAGTGCGGGGAAGTTGTTCAGAATCCTGCAACTTATACCGGATACTGTGTCCGGAACTTGTCTTGAACTCATCCCAGATATGAATTGAGATGGGCCCTTACCTTACCTTTGGTTTGCTTTGTTCTAGGCGTTCTTCTGCCAGTATTTGAACACTACACCGATGGCAGTGACAGTAAGTGAAGTTTGTTTATCATTAATTAATCGACATTCACATTCCACTGCATTAGTGTGGAACGATCTTGTGTCAAGTTTATGAAAGATCTTTTGAACTTAAAGGCATATAGGATCATTTGTTTTTCATGCGTTTTGTAAATTTCCAATAGTAACAATGCTCAAAATCCAAAGAAGAATGTTCGAAGCCTAACCTGTTGAAGTTTTGCAGGCATGCAACTTTTCCTCGGATCAGCTGATTTCCTCTTTTTTCACTTCCATTGTGTGCCATTGAAAATAGAAAAACACTGTACAAAGTCTTGGAAAGATTTGAATTTCCCCCTTTTTTTTGTGACTTCCCAGTTGCATGCCTGGTTTTAGCTCGGTGTTTATTACGCTTTGCGAGAAAACAGTAAAAAAGCATGGGGTGGGTGGGCATGAATAATCAGTCATCCCGTTTAACCCTAATCATTCCAAATCCTCCAAAATCCTTCTTGCAAATTGGAGGAATTTGCAGGATTGAGGTGGCAAAAGTGCACTGCTGATTTTGGAGGACGCACTGTGTCAAGGTTTTGGGCCGAACCTTGTGTTGTTTATGCCCAGCCATGCATAAGTTTAGTCCTTGATTATACTTGAAATCCTCTGCACTGCTCCAGGATGTCACTGCCTCTGCCTCAGCCTATTGACAGTCATAGCCGGAGGATTTTGCAGGATTCAGGCAGTGGTCACCTCTCCACGGACCATATTCAAGAAATAATGGAGGAATTTGCAGGATTGAGGCCATATGCTGTTTTTCCATGAGGCCAATTTGAGGATTTTGCAGGATTGAGGCTACATCCTAGCAAAACGGCCTAGGGAGTAAGGGTTAATAACAAGACTAGTCAGCAAGTTCAGGTAACAGCTGACCTCTCTACAACGTAAATATGGTAGACAGCAAATAGCTGATTGAATTTTGACCCCTGTTACAATGTGTACTACAAACTGTAGTACGGTCCTGCAACTGGATCACTCAATTGCTGTTTCAAAAATGCTCAAACTGATTATTTGATCCTCGTTAACAGCGTACGAGTTGACTGGGCTGTCTCGCGGTGGGCAGCAAATCGACAAACTGAAGAAGAACTACGACAAGGCTGTCCAGCTGCTGGTGGAGCTAGCCTCCCTCCAGACATCATTTGTCACACTGGATGAAGTCATCAAGATCACCAATAGACGTGTTAATGCAATTGAACACGGTGAGTGTTGTCGGCTGGATTTACTGCTGGAATCATTACCACAAATGTGAGGAGTCAGTATTAAAGTTTGTGTCAGAGAATCAACTTTAGTCAAAAAATTTCAAAGGCATTCTCAATTTTTGTGGTTAATTTGTTGGCTCTTCAAGTTTAGTGTAATGCAATATTTCATGCTAAATACTGACACATGAGGGCGCTGTTGTTATGCATACAGTAATGCAATCAATGTGCAAGTTCATTCAAGAACTATATTTAAACCTATTTCAACTAACTCAAAACGAGTGTACGCTATTTGGCAATGGCTGGACTAAGTCTAGTTGACTATTTTCAAATGGTAAGACAGTGTAAGGACATGAAGTTCTGTTTGTCACTAAAAATTTGGTTAACACTTTTACATGGTACACGATAACTCACCAAGACTGTATCTTCTTTTTAATTAAAGGCGTTCAAAAATGAAAACTAAATATCGTTTACTTTTTGGCTACCTTTTTTTCCGTTACTCAAACATCAGCATTGGCACAGAAACTCAAACTAGATCAATCTATTATATTTCATCAGAGTTTAAAAGAAAAAAAATTGAAAAAAAAAAAAATTAGTATGTTAAAAGAAACAAAAACAAAACGAGAAGATTCAAATCTCTGATATAAAAATGGAACTTTTCAGGAATATACTAGACTAAAAAGAAATAACAGGAACTCCACAAAACCTTCTACTCCAAACCACCCGTTGCTGTAATAGAGATCATCGCAAGTCATCACAAGTCAATACAAAATAGATGACAATAAACAAAGGAATGCTTTTGTCAAAGTTGATTTGAATAGCTTGCGATTTGACTTGAGAGTGCAGGACTTGTGATGGACTCAAATACAACACTGCAACCACCAGCCCATTCCCTTCCCCTCCAAAAGAAAATAACTAAATGAAATGGCTCAAATCCTTTTTTAAGCTCTGGAAGGAGCTTCTTAATGTCACTTGGTGGTCGGTCTGTCTGTCTCCGGAAAATTGACCAAGATTAGCCCCACTAAGTTTCTCATAAAATATAACTACCAAATTTTAATTTTCCAAAAAAGCAAATAAAATAAATTAGATACTTAAAATGTTTTGCAACAATTGGGAAAGATGTTTATGAACAGGTTGTAAACGGAGACAAAATATGTGCAGTAATGTTATAGTCACGTGGTATTTACCACAAATCGCTATAAATCTAGGTTTAAATTAAGAATAATGGTGTTCCATATGTGCAATTGGCGTCAAATTTTTCGGCGTCGCATCTTTAAGCTCTGGCAAGGATCGTTTGGATAGATTTCATGCAAGACTGTCATGCAAGACGACCAGAGCTTAATGTGCTCTCGCACTTGTTCCCTTTTGCAGTGATCATTCCTCGCATCGAGAACACCATCGCCTACATCACCACCGAGCTGGACGAGCGGGAACGAGAGGAATTCTACCGTCTCAAGAAGATCCAGGAAAAGAAGAAGATCATCGTGGCCAAGAAAGAAGCCATGATGAAGGCGCGCAGGGAGGAGGCGGGAGAGGATTTTGAGGAGGCGGGGAATCTTATAGACGACGATAAGGACGAAGATTTACTTTTTGAAACTTGAGTCAGAAACTGTGGTATTAGGTAGATCGAGATGTATTTTCAATTTTTAGTCACAGCCACTTACGAAATTACTTAGCTACGGCTGCAGCCACATCCCATAGACATGTGTGTGTTACTGCTAGCCATAGTCAAGTAATTTTGGACATGGCTGCTGTAAATTTGATAATATGCCCAGCTTGCAATATCTTTTATCCATTAACATAAGGATAGTGGTTCATACAAAGCAGGGCGTGTCTTTTTTGTTTCAATTCTGAAAGTGAGACAGATCAAACTAAAATGTTCAATCCTCTATCCTCAAAGAGACTCTCTAAGGAATTCATCAAGAACAGCCAGTGGCATATAAATGATGCTTAGTGAGTGCATTAACTTCTCTGTTTTTATTTTTAAAGGAGGGAATCATATTACTGTGATTAATTGATATCTATTTAACCCTAACCTCACCTAAAGCTACAAAATACTACTGGTAGTAAACTGTGGTATGCAGTACTTCAGCATATAAGTGGGCACAGCACTCACAGTATTTTTTGGTACGTGGTGCCTGCATATATATTTTTTGTAGTATTCTGTAGTTCTTTATCCCAAAGTAATGGCTAGAACATTAGGGCTAGAACAAAACGTGGTATTTAAAATTATATGTGTCTGGAACCGGTCCAGTAATGAAAATCAACAACGCATATGTAGAACAATTTTTTTATTCATTTTTTTTGGATAGAAATGATTTTCTGTCAAACGTTGGCTGCCTCATCCAATTCATGTGAAGATGTTGTCAATGGGAGGGAAAGAGTATTTGTGAAAATTCTTTGGTCTTTGCTGAATTAAAAATAAAACCTACAAAAAGCGTCACCTTACAAAATACAACTCACTATTTTTTTACATTTTCCCAATTAGCAACAGTCCATTGGCAAATAATTTCATTGGGTCCTGCAGAGGAATGTTCATTTAGGTTTTTCTTTTATTTAGTTCCTGTGCTATAATTATGAAATATATTTTGTCCAGTATTTATTGTAAACCTCCAAGCACCAATATATCTTGTCAATGTGTACCTCGTATTTCTCTAAATACCATTAGCCAAAAAATGATAGATCTTCAATATGCTCCCAATTATTTACACATTTATAGCATGGCATTTTGAAGTAGCCGTGCTTATTAATGATGGTGGGTACCCTCTGTTAGATACTGTCTTCTGATTGGCTGTTTTCATGCCTGGTACTATGTCACATTGTTATTGCTCTATAGAGTCTATTGTTGCTTTACAACCACCCACTCCCACAAGCACTAGCCTCACAAGAAAGACTAGCCCGCTGCGACAGAGTCCTCACTGTGATTGGGCAAAGTGATCTAACAAACGTAAACATACCTTAATGTTGGATAAAACAATTTTGGCAAACAAGTGGGAAAACTAGATCATGAATATGTTTGGTTTGGTGTAAAAAGATTGGTTTATAAGCTAATAAATTCCATGAGAGGTTTAAGAAAATATTTTAAGTTTAAAATTTTTTGAAAAATTAACTAGAACTACTTTTTAAAAGAAGTGAAACAACTTAATATCTGTTTAGTTTATCCTCTGTGCTAACGTATATCATATAATTAAGTACTGTTAATGGAAAATGTTTATCATGTATCAATAGTGTGTATATGGTATTGAAAAATGTTTAAATGCAATAAATGGACAAGTCATAAGACATCTGTGTGTTTGAGTGTGAACTTGTTTCGAGATTTCCCGAATTCCGGCACGAACCATTTATGAGTGCATGACACACTATTGGAATAACCCCGAGACGTAAAGACGTCACTCTTTGTTTACATGTGCGCTTTCCTATGGGAGCCATTTCGGGATGACAGCCACCAAGCACCCATAGGAAAGCACTCATTTAACGAAAGCGTGATGTCATGGACAGTTTTATTGGTACACCTGGTCATCACACCGTCGCCTGGAAAAAAAATGATGCCACATTAAAAGGAAAACGGAACAAATTGCTACAGCAGAGAGGTTGCATTCAAAAATAATTTTTATATATTTTAAATTCAGAGCATTTCCTCCAAAAGTAAGAATTCAAATAATATATATTCACTTTTAACTAGGCAAAACTTAAAAAGAAATTAACTTCACTGATTTTCAACTTCAATTAAAGATGTATTTTCTGACCTCTTCAACAACAAAAATCTTTCCTTCTTTTTTTACAAATTTTCAATTTGTTTGGTTTATGTGAAAAAAAAAATTCTAATTTGTTCGCCTTTTTTTCTATAATTTTTTTTTAGTTTGGGGTTTTTTTTCTTCACAAACACATCTGTCCCTACATTATCAGTTCTGATTGGGGCGGGAACCAGTCTACTAAGCACTAACCAAATTATTGTCAAGTAATTATCCCAGTAACTAAATGTGAGCCGATTTTTTTGGGCTCAAATGTCATGTGAACAACCTCTGTAAGAGACATCAAGAATTTATTTTTTTTGAGTGAAATTCAGAAATAGCACAGACAATACATCTTTAGAGTTAAGAATAAAAATTGTAAAATTATAGATTTAGGCAACAATATCAATGTTGGCTCAATTAAAAATAGACCACTTTAACATAGAGATGACTTTGGAAATGTTTTGAAATCAAATTTGTTTACATTACACAAAAGCTGCATGAGTTGTACTGTGGCTGTATTCCAATAATTTATACACTCAATGTCACTTAAAATGAGTTCATATTACATTGTTTAGTCCTGGAAGAAAAATTGATTTTTTTTTTGTATTATATATATCCATGGAATCAGTGAATAGGAACAAATATGCTACCTCACTTTGAAGATCCAAAAGATTAGAATATCTGTAAAAAAAAAAAAAAATTCTTGGAGAAATATGCCCTACTTGTTTTTTTAACATTCCTGGATCTTGGTATGAATAATTATAACATTTTGACAATTTCAAAAACAAACATTAAAAAAATTGTTATAGTTCTCAATAACTTTTATATTTAACAATGTACAAGTGATATCCCTCGATATATTAATACTCATTTATAATGCAGATAGTTTAGAGACATTATGTAAGTTTTCATTCTCACTTAAAAAAAATTACATCAGAAAAGTTTACAATTGTTCACACCATGTATATTTGTGAAAATGTTCTTCTCGCCACAGAAAAAGGGAATTTTCAATGTGTATTTCAGTCTCTTAAATTTGATGTGCTCACATATCACAATAGGTTTATCAAGCCTCTTTTAGGAAAAGATTAACTCTATGACAAAATGATTTCAGCTCCCCCCCCCCCCCTCAGCTCAAACTCCATCCCCCTCCCCAAAACAGGGGTCTAGAATGATTCCTGGCTCACTGAGACTGCAGAGTTTTTGATTTAGATGCTGAACCACAAGCTTGTCGATTTTGTTTTCTGGGGGAGTGAACTGTTTGTTCTGTCGCGAACATGCAGCCTTCCAAAGGGGAATCTGTTGAGAGTGGCTTCTCCTTCCAATGGGGGACTGTGCAGCCAAAATGAATGATGGCAAACGTGTCTGACCTTGGTGGATATTGTCTTTAGTCATCCTGTAAAAAAAGAAGACAGAAAAGGTTTTTTTTCTTGTCCAGCATGTTGAAAATCTAAGCAATACCCTACCAATGGACTGAACACTTTAGCATGGCAACCATGAAAAAGAAATAGAAAAAAAAATTGCTAGAGTTGTAAATGAGTCGGTCACATGTCAGGTCACATGCAAGTCACAAGGTCTCAATTCAAATCACAAGCTTAGGCGGTTTACGAAACCTTCACTTCGTCTTCCGCTTCGGCTTTACTACCAAATTCTGAATTACTGAGAAGCAAACTAAACAGAAATATTCTAGCATTTGGCTTCATATCAACCGATTGAATGTTCCTGAAGCATAACAGGCACCAAAATGTAGCTGGAGTTCCAGAAGTTGGGGGCCTAAAATCTCCTGAAGCTGTAGAGGAAGACGAAACCTGGGTTTCGGAAAGGCCCTATGTGACAGAGGTACTCCTTTGTCATTGTTTACCCCCTGTTACTTGTGGCTAGACTTGTGTCCCAACTTGTGAGCTAACTTGTGATTGACTTGTGACTGACTTGTGATTGATTTGTGATCAACTTGTGATGGACTTGTGATGGACTTGTGATGGGCTTGTGACTGACTTGTGACCGACTTGTGACTGACTTGTGATTGACTTGTGACTGACTCATGATCGACTAGTGATTAACTTGCAATTGACCTGTGATTGACTTTGCAATCGACTCGTGATTTGACTTGTGATGGACTTGTGATGGACATTGCAATTGACTCGTGATTTGACTTGTGATGAACTTGTGATTGACTCAACATCATCTCACCCATTCATCATCCTCAGCCCCGCCGGTGTCCTGTGGCTCAGGTGCATCCTGGGCCTTCATTGACATGACCTTGTCAGTCCAGGACGACCCAACCGTCTCCCCTCCGGCGTAGTTGGACACTTGGCTTGTGACGGTGTCCAGTTTGGCTATTGAAACTGTTTAAAAAAAGGAACAAGAAAAGAACTTGCAATCCAGGCAAAGCGACCAAGTGCCAAAGCGACCAAGTGCCAAAGAGACCAAGTACCAAAGAGACCATCAAGTGCTAAAGCGACCAAGTGCTAAAGGGAACAAGTGCCACTCGGGGACATGTTTAAAAAATGTGGAATCTCTGCATACTTGGCGATCATGAAGTTTTAAGAACAGCAAACAGATTCCACTGTTCATGTGAGAGACTTTTACCATTTGGGACCTAACTTCAACTAAATGTGGGGGTTTGAAGATAATATGACACTTTGTTGCAAACCTATGATGAAAAGGAAGAGATATGATTTCTTTGTAAAGAACCCATGGCTTTCAACTCTGATTTAGTGGATCAGATATGTGGCTCATTTAATTTGATCATTCAACAAGTAATTAAGGTGACCAAGTATAGACAGATAGCTCCGTGGAATACTTCTTGTCATACAGCACCTGAATAAATCCTGTCATCTGATTGGTGAGTCGTTGATCACGTGTCACTGAATTATTTGCCCCACAAAAACAGAAGTTCCATACCACGGTAAATTGAAGTTCCATTGCACAGACACACTATTACCAACCAGATGACAAGGATTTTGTCAAGGATTGTATAAAATAAATGTTTCACATTTGTGCAATGGAAAGAAAAAACTTTGTTTGGCGACAGATGGAATGTTCCATTCCACTCGGCTTCACCTCATGGGATGGAACATTCCATCTGTCCCCGTTTATGCATCATGTTCATCACATGAATAGTTCAAGCAACTCACATATGAATGGGCAATCTGCTGTCGTCTTCAATCTGATAGTGTCCCCATTCTCCAGTTCAATCTTGTCTAGTTGCTCCTCCCTGGCCCACAGAGCCACGCAACCATCCCTGTTGTGCTTGGACGTCAGACTGCTCAAGTCTTGCTTACTGACGGTCGATATCACCTCGGGGGTTGAGAGTCTGTCTGATTTGCCCTTGGCCTCTGTTTCTGTAGTGGTGAAAAAAGGTAACAAAACCAGCCATGTTAGCAGTCCTTCCCCTATAAACTTTTGCCATGGTTGAATGCCCCATAACCAGTCAACATGCAAATCTGCATGCAGGCTGTTGACCCATTGCGCAAAGCACTGTTACTGAAGACACTTTTCCTCTTTTTTAATTCATTGACAAAGAGAGTATATATATATATATATCCTCATGCGTAACACAGAGGAACGCATGCCTGTCCTCAGTGAGGGCGCTCTATGCAAGGGGTCAATAGACCTTGCGCACTGCAGGTATCTCAGATGGTGTTTTTTGTTATTTTGATATACTAATAATCAACGCACAAAAGGTTTACACACAGGCATGTAACTGGGAGTTTAGGGAAAAACGAGGAAATTCCAAACCACACAAGACTTTGTACAGCGTTTTTCGATTTGTAATGGCATTCATGAGAAGTAAACAAATGAGGAAATCAACAGATCCGAGGAACAGTTGCATGCCTGTACACATGTCTTTCCAAGCAATACCAAACCATTGCGCTCCGACTCGGCCTTAACGCATAAGGTCTATTAGCTAACCCTCCCTTTGCTTAAGAGGTCACCAATGGTCAACATTTTCTTCCTCACCTCCTGGCCTACTGTGTACAAACCAATGGGGGTCTTGACCAATATTGACCCAAGTAATAAGCAGGCTGACAATGCATGTTTCCATAGGAGGGCTTTAGAGTGAAACGAAATAGCCAGTGCTGACACCAGACTTTACAACTTCGGGGTGGGCAAGTGAGGGGAAAGAAATATTTTTGGTGGGGACAATCAAATATCTGATTTCCAACGTTGAATGCAAATCACAAACTAGCGGGCGGGTCATTCTATTAATTTAGGTTCCAAAGTGTGACATTTTTCCTGTCTCTGTTACTTCTGGACTTTGTAAATTGCCATTCAAGTCTTTCTAAAAATGACATGTTTGGGTAGGTACTTTGCTTTACATAATCATTCGTGGAAAAGGACTGCATTAAGGAGTGCATCAGAATTATAAAATCATAGATGTCTGATGTAACAGGACAGGAAAAATAGTAGACCCTAAATTTATAGAATGACCAGGATAGAAATAAAACAACCACAATCATCACCGCATCCATTTTCTTCTTGGTAAAAGTAAAAAATAGTTGGAAGAACAAATTTCCGAACCAACAACTTGACTTACTGTATGACGACATGAGATGACCTTTGCTGACCTTCTGAGTGTCGCTGAAGTTGGGTTCAATCTCGATTCCTCTGCTGTCAAACTTGCGTCTGTGTGCAACCGTTGGCTTCACGTGAAGTACCACGTATCTGGACTATTATAGTTATCAATGACTAAAAATTAACTGATAGTACTAATCATTTATCCTTACCATTTCAAAATTTGTTAGATTTTGCATGACCTATTTTAAAATGAAAAAAAATTAAGTAAAAATGTGTACAAACTTGTTCAACACCCATACCTCCCACTGTGCCAGAAACCCAAATGTCCCTTTTTTCCTCTCTCAAATTTTGATCATCGTGTTTAATCAAACACTTATGATCTCAGGCTGTGCTTCGTGGTCATATATAGGTCGATGTGGCTGGCTGTCAAAGGGGCCTTTATATGCCAGCGGCTGGACCACGTTGTAGCCGCGTCCATCACAACTCAGCTTCCCAGCTGCGAGTGAGGATGATTAGCTTCCCAAATGATTATTCATTCACCTTTTTCTGGTTTGTGTCTGTGATGACATGTCTGGACCTCCCATGTAGGACTCCATCTAATAGGACACCCGGACCACTGTGAAGCAAGAAATATTACTAAGAAATTATACTGAGATATTGGTTCAATAATAATATAAATGAAACAATAGTCAACTTTTTGTCAGGAAATTTTACATCAAGTGTTTTATGTCAAGATGCAAAATCCCAACTTCATATCTTGAAAATGCATTGGTATACATAATAACTAATGCAATTTAATAGACTGTCATCCACAGTAGAATGACATCGCCAATAGAATGACATCCCCAGCAGAGCGACATCCAAAATAGAAAGACGTGCCCAGTAGAACGACATCCCGAAGTAGACTGGTATCCCTAGATAGTAGAAGAGTGAAATCCCCTGTAGACTGGCATCGCCAGTACAGTGACATCCCCAGACGACGACATCCCCAGTAGAATTAATGGCGTCCCCAGAAGAGTGACATCCCCAGTAGACTGACATGGAAAAGAATGTTGCAATCTGACGCCACTTCAGCGGTTGTGTACAAAGTCTTGGAGAGTCAAGAAAATTGTCTAAAGTATTTCCTAACAAAATTGGAAATGTTTCCAAGTCCCGGATTCATGTCTTATCATTTTTGCAATGACTGACCTTCAATTGAGATGATATAGTCGTGTTCCCTAACGTGGCGCACTTCGAAGCTTACCCGACTTTCCTCGTGTAGTGTTGCCAAACCTCTTTGTTGACAAACCTCAAATTCATGCAGTAGAATACTAATACTTTTACCTTATTAATGCTTGCTATTTAACCTCTGTGAACAGTTTCGGTTTCATGAAATTTAATCCGAAATTCAAAAACGATGGCGTCCGGAAATTGGGCACAAATTGGCGGGGTGTTCCCTAACGTGGCGCACTTGAATAAATCTCGGAAAATTCCAAATTAACATTTAAGAATTTCTGTAAACTTGATAAATTCTGATAAATAATTATTATCTCTACTTACATACCCAGCCAGATATTTGTCAGAAAATTATTTTCTTATTTTTCAGGGCATTTTCAAAGGGTTCACTTTGCACTTGAAAAAGAAATCGGAAAATCACGCCAAAATAAATTTTTCTTCTAACTTTGTTACGGGTAAATGAACTCGCGATTTATGAACAGGAGTGTTTAGAACTTGATGAAATTTCACTTTCTGTGAAATTTCAGTTAAAACTTTTGCTCTAGGTAGGCGCTACAGGCGAAAAATCAAAGTGCGCCACGTTGGGGGCCGCGCCACGTTAGGGTACATCAACAATATGAAGAAAAAAGAGGCGTCAGGTTGCAACATTCTTCCCGAGCAACGTATCCCCGGTACAGTAGAATGGCATCCCCAGTCATCATCATCCCAATTAGAATGACATCCCAAGTAAAACAACTTTCCCAGCAGACACAATGGTAGAGCAACACATCCCCAGACATTGTAACAACATCCCCAGTAAACCGGCATATTCCCAGGTGAGCAACTTCCCCACTATATCCCCAGTACAGGCACACGAGTTCCTTCTACGACACAAATGCATGCACAAGAATCTCGGTTGTAGACTTAGTAGAGTACTACATGTACTACTAGCCTTACTACTCTCTAAGTATCCCAAGTAACTATAAATAGTATAATTCTCAACCAATGCAATAACAGGCACAATTGCAGAATACCCCGCCACTCGATCTATCCACCTCGTAGCCGGCTACGAGGTCACGGTTGGTTGACCTCAATAAACATTCTCAGCGCTACTTGTATGTACTATGCGTCATGCTCCATTGCACTCCCACTTCGTGACCGCGTAGCCGCCAACAGGGTAGTTGGTTTGGACTTACAATTTTTTTCAGCAACTCCCATTCATTTTGTGTTGCTTCGTTCTCAAGCATATTCAAGGGGACTCCCACTCCGTAGCCTCGTAGCCGCCAACAGGGTGGTTGGTTTGGACTTACAATTTTTTTCAGCAACTCCCATTCATTTTGTATGGAAGTGTAGATAGGACATGGTTAAAAATAAAACTAATTCGTACGTACGAATTACTAAACCGTACGTACGAAATACTAATTCGTACGTACGAATTACTAATTCGTACGTACGAATTACTAAACCGTACGTACGAATTACTAATTCGTACGTACGAATTACTAAACCGTACGTACGAAATACTAAACCGTACGTACGAATTACTCAGTGGCGTAGCCACGGGAAGGGGGGGGGGGGCTGGGTGTGGGGGCAGTGGCGTAGCCAGGAATTTTTAAGTGGGGGGGGGGGGGGGGGGGGGGGGGGGGGGGGCGGGTTGGGGGCGGCGCTGGGGGGCTGGAACATTTTATGGGGGGGTGTCATGTAGATCAATGATAATTTTTTTAGAAACTCAAAATCTCAGTGGGGGCGACTGGTGGGCGACAAGGTTTCATGCGGGGGGGGGTGCTGTCACCCCCAAGGCCCCCCCCCCCGTGGCAGCGCCACTGCGACAGCCCCCCCCCATGAAACCTTGTCCCCCCCCAAGTCGCCCCCCCCCCCACTGAGATTTTGAGTTTCTAAAAAAAATTTCATTGATCTACATGACGCCCCCCACCTGAAATGTTCCAGGCCCCCCCGGCGCCCCCCCCCCCCCCCCCCCCCCCTGGAAAATTCCTGGCTACGCCACTGGAATTACTAAACCGTACGTACGAATTACTAAATCGTACGTACGAATTACTAAACCGTACGTACGAATTACTAATTATTTCGTACGTACGATTTAGTAATTCGTACGTACAATTTAGTAATTCGTACGTACAATTTAGTAATTCCTACGTACGGTTTAGTAATTCGTACGTACGAATTAGTAATTCGTACGTACGAATTAGTAATTCGTACGTACGGTTTAGTAATTCGTACGTACGAATTAGATTTATTTTTACCATGTCCTACCTACACTTCCATAATTTTGTGTTGCTTCGTTCTCAAGCATATTCAAGGGGACTCCCACTCCGTAGCCTCGTAGCCGCCAACAGGGTGGTTGGTTTGGACTTAGAATTTTTTTCAGCAACTCCCATTCATTTTGTGTTGCTTCGTTTTCAAATAATGGACCCCCACTCAGTATCCGCGTAGCTGGCAATGGACTTGAATTGTTTCTTTTCCAGTGATTCCAACCTCGTAGCCAGTGATTTTAGGGGTGTATTTCCGAGTGGCGGGGTATTCTGCAATTACTCCCAATAACATTGACAGTGGTCGCAAAACAACCTGTGGACTTCCGGGTTCCACTCCCCCTTCCAAGTTTGATTCTCCACGGGGACAGACTGCAGAGGCTGGTTGTCATATAAACGGGACATAGTTCCCAAGGAATCGGAAACAAAAATCAGAGGAAAAAGTAGTTCAATTCTTCAATAACTTTGAACTAGCATTGCATGCTCTCCTCGTCGGTCTTTCGATGATGCGTACACCGTGACAGCAGTGTCTGCAGATGGGTAGCGCCAGTATCACAACTCCAGCAGTACCACTTATCATAATTTATGCCGTGAACAGTACAGCGTCATCAAACTTATGAATAATATGTACATCGTCGGTCCGCGCGTGATCGTCGTGTGCATGTCCTTCTTTAGCAGGCCCACCAGCACGGTCACCCATACATGTACATGTCAAGGGTTCCGTACGTACATGTAATTGTACGGGGTGTAACATGTACAATGTTACGACTCGGCACATAATTGCCGTACACGGTGACCTTCGATACCTGCATCTACTTCAATTGTTTTAGAACTGATGTTGTTTGCAACCATATGCACTTCTCCTAAGGCACCGTTTAAGCTTGCACGGTGGGCCCCTATGGTTTTCCTCGATTAAAAAAAAGTATGGTAATTTTCTTGGTAAAACCACCAACCCTCTTTGGCACAAAAATCATTACACACACCTTTTTCTGCATGGCTTCACAGGTCATCTATTATTCCCTGCGAAAAATATCTTGACTTGAGACATGATAGGTCAACCATCCCAATTCCCATACACTAGGGTAAAGGATAAATCATAATTAGCATCTCCAAGGATTTCTGTGGTTATGGCGTTACGCAGTCCACGGATGCACACGGAAGTAATCATGATTGAAAACCGCGGAGATTTTTCAACGACAGAAATAAGATTTTGATACAGATTCAAATCCATTCATTCAAAATAAATTCTTTATTCAATAGCTTTTTTTAGAATATTAACAAGGTTTATGTAAATACGGTATGTCCTTTCTCTATGGTTGTGTCAAAAGGAAAAGAGTAAAAATAAACAAACTAAATAACAATTAATGCAAGCGTTCACGATAAAGTAATCATACCTACTTTTTGAATGCTAAAATGTAAAAAATAAATCATGGAAGAATATGCATGGGACCCGAATCATCTGCCCAAGCCGGTTAATTTAACATTGGTCATTTCAAAAACGAAGGCTCCCCTTATCTATTCGTATTAAGCGCACGTTGTAATCAAAATGCCGACACTGTGTAAAATAGTATCCGCCGAGCACGCTATACTTGACAAAGTTACAGATCAGTTAGCCCAAGTACAAGTAATTCTACCTCCGTGGTACAACCGAATGCTATTATAATTGTTTGCACTAGTTAGTTTGGAATGGGAAGAACGACATGTCACAGCTGGCTGTGCTCAAACACGAGTTACATTCCGAAAGTTGACCGATCATTCGATGCGAAACCTCCCGCTCCCCGGAGCTCCGCCACTGATCGCCATTGATACTGCAATTTTACGTCCTGTGACCTGACGTGCCTGACTTGTGGTGACGTAAGCATAAATTATCATAAGTGATACTGCTGGAGTTGTGATACTGGCGCTACCCTGCAGATGACAACAATCCAGTTTACCACTTTCACACACAGCGCCCCCAAGTGACCGAATTGTGTCAATCAATAGACCAAGACAGTGATAAAACTGAAACTTAATTACCCCTCGGACACTAAATGCATATCAAAAGTACACTTTGGATTTTGTTTTAGTTTCCATTGTGTTGTTTTCTATTTATTTGCCAGACAACAAACAAAGTGATACGAAATCAGCCCCGGCCCTCAAAAACATAATGTTACATTTTTCACATGGAGAATTAATTCTTTAATTATGAAAACTTTAGTCCGTGCTCCCAACCACCTGTTTTGTTTTCACAAATGTAATTACTAAAGCGATATTTGTTTATAAAATATGTAGTGATGAATTTTTTTTTGAAAGGAAATTAAAAGTCATTGGAAGTCATTCCTATTTCATATAATATGTCACCTCATGGTTAAATACTTGGGGTCATTGAAAACTGTTTTTGGTCATTCATCATACCCCCCACTCCTGCTAATTTAAATCCAATTCACTGGGATGAAATATCTTTAATTTCAGCATGGTTTCAGCAGTAACAATGTTTTGGAAGTATGTCAATTCTCTCAATAAAAATCCTAAGTTGTGATGGGTGGGGTGCATACCTATGTTCCCCAATATGTTCCCCAAAATCCCATACCCTTTAACCCTAACCCTAACCCTAATCTTAAGGATTTCGGGGAACATCGGTATTGGGGAACATGCCTGCCCTAAAAAAGGGTGACTGTAACGTCATTGCCAAATTCTGCTAAATGTACTTCACTTGAAAATCTGTCAGATTTATCAAAAATCCGCCAAATTCCCCAGAATTACTTGAAATACACTATAAACACTTAAAATCACATGCAGATGTTGCAGTATTGCCTTAATTAAGGTTCAAATTATTATAAACAATGTATAGTCACATAAAGATGTTATGAAATTATTGCGTAAATTTCAGGCAAAACGCAGTTGCTTCACGACGAAGTCCGGTTCCCAGTGAACCTCAGCACCCACACCAGCCAACCTGTCCCATTAACATGCAAGGATTTGTTTGAAAAGTTGAAGCATTTTTAAACAAATGTACCATTTTTTCCCCCAAATTTGCTATGTTTTTCTGTCAAAGAACCATGTTTGCAGAATTCTGCCAGAAATCTGCCAAAAAAATCCATTGTCAAATTTTCTGTCAAACTATTTTTTTTAAAACAAAAAATATGTCAAAGTTAGCCAAAAATCGGCTAAAACGGTCACCCTGACCCTAATCTGTGCGGATTGAACTAAAATAAATTTTCTTGACAATAATACTTTGATTTAGACCTTATGCATAGCAGGTACCCCAGAGGGCTTCTTTGTTATGTTAATTTAGTAACAATGAATGCACAAAGGTTGACTCATGCCCATCCAAGCGATACAAAAACCACTGCCCTCTAACTCCGCCTCAATGCACAAGGTCTATGAAATATTTCTAATCAATATACTTTTCATCAGAAATCAATTAATATTGTGACGTCTAGAGTAACAACACACACATTTGGTGATTTTTTTTTCTTCAGATTTTTATTTCATCATTTTAATCAATTTTATATATTTCTTTGAAAAAATATTCGGGAACATTTCTCTTTAGTCATCAATTACACACTTTCAGTGACACACCCACATGTTATTATTAGACCTACATAAATATTTGCGCTTATTTTACAATGGCACAAATAAAGTAAAACACCAGATTTTAAGAAACAATACAGGCTATAGTAGATAGGCGTATCAATACATTTAACTTGAGCCTCTGTGTACACAGAAAGATCAGTTCAAATAATTTCGGCCCATCAATTGTCAGTCTTTTGAGTTGTAAAGAAACCTGTACTGATAAGGAAATTGATTTACTTAAGAAAACATGAAAAACATTTTTAAGGCCTAAAATGTTTTATTACAAACACATTCCAATACATATCTTTATGGGGTCTCTTTGTGATATCATGAATACAAAACGTTTCTCAACATTTCCGAGTACGGTTGACTCCTCTGCATGACTCCTCTGCAGGTTTAAGTCTCAATCAACAGCCAAAACATCCATCTGACGATATGTGATATTCACAAAATGCACAACCAACTAAAAAACAACATTGTGTGAGTATGGTTCCCAAAAACACTGAGTACAGTATTTATATAACTGTGAGAGGGTGTTTTGATAACGAATGAAAGCGAAAGTGATCTGATGCTTTGAATTGTTAGGGGTTAAACTTGGGAGAATTTTGCAGTGACCAAGTTTTAAAATGAAAGTGTGGTTGTGAAAAGGACCAGGGGTTGTAACGAGATTTCAGTCATCCATGCTTCAGTAATGTAAAGGAACAAAAAATGGGGGATACTGACCAACTCAAAAACCCAATTTAGGATAAATATCGACATACATGAATTGTTATGTGCAGTGAACTATGCAGATGTAATGATGTTCTTTACAAAAGTGTCATCATTGCAATTATGGTGTGACAAATTACCTTTACAAGAACTTGGGACTGGTTTATGTACATTATTTGAGTGTCTGTCTCTTACAAATGCCTGATGCACATTTCAAATGTGTGCACAACAGACTTGGTGAAAAGAAAACATGAGTCATTCTACGGCGTGTTTGTAGGGCAGCTGAAAGCAGCAATTGGCAAGAGCAGGGGAAAAAAAGATTACACTTTTCAGAGGCAGTTTTCTTGTAATTGAAGAGACTTGTTGAAATTGTTTAAGATATTGCTTAAAACTACAAGATCTTGTTGTATATGGTGAAAACGGCGTTGAAAATAAAGCTCAATTTAGTAGGAAATAGTGGCTATTTACAGAAGAATGGTCAAAAACTAGTTTGTTCGCGTCTATGGCAGTCATGTAGACCAAATTACAATTAATGCAGTTCTTTGTGCATGCAGTGGTATTGTGTTGACCATATCTCATAGACTTGCATGTGGACAAACTGGTTTTTGACCATCTTTAAACCATCGCCATTTCTTAATTTAGGCTTTATTTCCAGCGCCGTGTTCACCATATACCATGAAGATGCTGTAGTTTAGGAATACCTTGAAACATTCCAAGAAATCTGCATTTGAAAACGTGTAAACTTTTTTTGGGGGGAGGGGGGACCACCCTGTACATACTCAACAAGATTTGCTGTTGAGCAGTAAGGACTTCGTGCACGAACAGCAGATGGTGCTTTTTGAACGCTGCAGAGATTACATTTTTAGGAACTCACTGCGTGCACGCACAAAAGTCTATTGGTTCAGGCACAGATGACATCAAGTGCTCACAAATAACTTCTTAATTAAATGTGCATAAACCTGAAGCGTTCCCACGCTAGCGGTTGGTGTACGGCGCCAATGCGTACTAGTGTCTTTTCGTCCCATTGTGATGTCAGTGGTCCTTCCCTACTCTCTCTTTATAATCATTGAGGGAGTACTCGTGCACGGAGTCCTTAACATCCGTTTCAGATTGACATTCAAGAATCCTGCCGAACCAAAAAGCATTAGAGATGACTCAAGCCGACTCAAATCGACTTTAAGACAGGCGAACCTTATGTATTAATTTCCCATTGACTAGAGAACCAAGACACTCTTGGAGTCGTTCTGAACGACTTCAACAGTTGATCTTTAGAGGAAGTAGTTCTTTACTGTTTCAAAAGTTAACTTTTCCAGTTCTTAAAGTGAAAACTTTGGAATAATTTGGTTCGGCGCAACTCTGCAACTCGAGTCTGAAACAGGTTCAACTCATAATCCAGCTGATTTCACTTACAATATCTTGACTTGAATAATTTTGTGAAGCAAAAATCGCCTTGTATATTAAAAGGGAAAAAAATGAAAACCTTTTTACTAGCGTCCACGCCCAGTTTGTTGAGCACAGATGTTTAACATGCATGAGCAATTGCAAGATGGCAATAAATGACATGTAGAGAATTTTGTACATTAAAATTCACAATTATTACACATATTCTACTAATTTGTCATTGTTCTGCCTTATATATGTATACCGTACCCATGTTGGCATTTCAAATTAGCATAAACTGAGTACATATGACACCACTTATGATAATTAGTCCGAGCCTGCATAGAGGAAAAATGACCAGTTTAGATGTGCCTGAATTACCGGTGTGTTAAAATCACCACAAAATGGACGGATACCTTTACGGCCGATTAATTCATATTTCCCTGATGAGATCTGGGTTCAAAATTGTTTTAATCTCTATCTGCCGACAAAGTGTATATGCAGATTTATAACAGTCACCTTGGTAGAAAAGTCTGCACGATGCCACATATCTTTTACCATTCATGTGACATATGCTTCATATAACACATATGTACAATCATGATGATCGGGCTTTCTTGCCCCTAACTGAAGACAAACCTGTGCAACTATTTTATTTCGCCAGATATTAACAAGCATGATGTGGTCGTGGATCGTTCTATAAATTTAGGGTCCAAAGTGTGACATTTTTCCTGTCCCTGTTACCTTGGTACTTTGTAATTTACAAGTATCATTAAGAATGACTTCAAATGATTTTTCTTCATTTGTTGTGTAGGTGGTTTGCTATTCATAATCACTCTTGGAGGACGACTGCATTAAGGAGTGCATTGGAATTAGAAACTCATTCCGGTAAAAGCCGGTACTCAACAAAAATTGTACTGTATCGTGTACGATTGCATCAGTGGACATCTTGCCTTTTTTTGTGTGTGCACCAATACTGCTCAATAAAATGATCACATCTTAACTTCATGCGATAAGTACATATTAAACTGTGCAATGCAGCTTTTTGGGAGTGACCAAAATGACGATATAGAAAGTGCCATCTATATTTCATATATCAGACGCTACTAAATCCTATCATATTTAGGTTGAAGAACATTAAAATAAAGAGAAAATACTCAGATAACATAATTTAAAAGAAAAATTTAAACAAATACATAGAAGAGGGTTGTAGATTCTCAGTTCAAGACTCTTCCAACAAAAATCACATCTTAACTAAAATTAAATAAAATTTATAAAGAGAAACCTTCTTATTAGAAATTGGATGAATAAATTGGTGGAGCATTTTAAGTTATTTGTAGCCCTCAATACTAAGATATAAAAATTTGCACCTTCATAAATCAGACATCATCTTTCTCCCACTGATTAAAAACTACTGATGATTACTGATTTTAAAATTATATATCAATTTACAATTTTGTTTTATTATAATTTTTTTAATTTTTTTTTTGGAAAATTGGCAAGGCATTTAAAAACTTTGAAGTCTACAATTACACTGCTCTCCCTGTAAAGAATAGCGTAGGGGAAAAAAGAGGAGGATTGTAAGAAACCAACAACGTATCCTGCGAGATGATCTCATCTTTTTTTTAAGGTCACCATTTAACACCTGTCCAATTAGAAACTATTGGGGGCGCCTTGGGTTGATTGACACCACAGACATCTTTTAAAAGAACCTATACCTGTCAAGCCTTTTTTTTACGCTGTGGGTTTCTGACCAGAAAACTGTGCCTTCTATAACTGCCATGTTACGGCGAAGGCTCATTGTTATCATAAATAACACACGTCGTGCGACCATTCTCTTGCTCATTCATGCGCCCACCATGAGAGTTCAAATTTATGGTCAGAAAAATCAGGCGAATGTCAGGTCTAGTTTTTTGTTTCTAAAAGATGTCCATGATTCACACGTGCCAAGTTTAAAGTGCACTTTATTGATAAAGATGGCAAATACAAACATATAAGGTTTGCACAGGTCAAAGCCTGTATGTGCACAAAACTTGGGCTTGCTGTATGAGCTTTTAGCCGCTGTATAAGCCTTTAGACAATGTCTGATATGGCCACTCACCAAATTTGAAAATCCAAGATATTGACTGCAGTATTTCCAAAGATTTCCCAAGACAGTCAAGATGATTTTTGCTGCACTGCCCTTTTTTGCAATGCAAGAGTACACTCTTTTAACATAGGGCTCGCAAAACTGCTGCAAAAAGCATTGTACGCATGCAGAAACTCTTCTCAATCCAAAGACTTGGAAAACCTTTCCCAAGTCTTGGTCCGAATTCCTACGATTTCAGGAAAATTCCCAAGATTTTGGGAAAATTCCAAAAAGCATCCACAGGCAATTGTGTTGAAATACCTTCTAGTCTTAGTAGTTTTGCCACTTTTATGACAAGTATCCTTTCTTCAGCAAAAATAGTTGGATTTCCAAACCACTCCAAACTCGATGAGCAAGTAAGAGAGGAAAATTGACAGAGATGTAAATGGAAAAAACAGGGGGGAAAAAAGCATTTACTACGTTTTTTCAATTAATTGCACCCTTTAAAAAACAAAACTCAAATCAACTTTTGTACATCTTGATAACAAAATTCACAACTATAACTACATGTTCTTCTTTGGTCAGCCTACTTGGAAATGACAGAAGAAAAATGATCATGACTTCTTGCCTTAAGCAATAAAAGGCTCAAAAACATAATTCCATCAGAATAACATCTTGAGGAGGGGGGGGGGGGGGGAAGATCGAGACCGTCAATTGACATGAGGTTCCTTGGCCCCCTGGCAGATCAAAGAGTGTTACAGGCTGATCAAATGGGGTGGGTGGGGGAGTAGATGCCTCCACACACTCCCCCCCCCCTTTGATATTGCTTGATTATCCCTTTTTAGGCCCCACCCATACGAGACTGGGGCAGGAGAATCTATGTGACTAATGCTCAACTGAGAGTCCTAATAGATTAATGTCATGTTGCAGCCATCTTGTTTTTTTCCCCATTCAAATCAACGTAACCAAAGCGAGGCTGGAAGGAAAAATAGTCTGGTTCCTTTTTGCACAAAAAACATTAACATTCAGTACCGATATTGGATACAGGGAACATGACTGAAATGGTGGCAGCATGATAAAGGCCTATACATGTACATGCCCCTGAAGTGTACGGTTCATCCAGATTTGGTAACCCAAAAATTGACCCCCAAAAAAAACATTCTTTCAGATTTGCAACACAATCAAATCTCTGTTTGTATTTGATTCCATGCAATCACCCAAAGTACTGTTTAGATTGGGCTTTAAAAAAAACTGAATAAATGTTGACAAAGCAACACATTGTTTTAGTGTAAAACTAATCTCTTTGGCCACTGTGAGTTGGAATTTATACATGCCTCAAGCAATTATAGCTAATAAACTGAACACCTAGATTGACTATGCAAGAAACGCCTAATTAAAGTTCAGATTTTATTTTCGCTTGTGGCGATCTTCCAAACTATTTGCAAAACAATGAAGTGCTGACGTAGAAAAAGATTGAGCACACTGCACTCCTCTTGAAATTTGTCATTTTGAAAACAATGGCTTGGCCATCAAATCGTACACACTTTTCCAAAAAGTACTCTTCATTTTTAATTTCTTTTTTTTTTCAATTTAAAATTTTTTTTTTTAATCTAAAAATTTCAACAGGGAATATTCTCAGGCTTGGTTTGTTATTCTAAAGAATCGTAAGATGGGTTTTATCCCTGATTCTTTTAAGTCAATGTATAAACAACCGGGTGACATATATTAGATTTTGTTTCATCAAAAGTTTTAGCAGCATGTAGTTGGTTAAGTTTGCAAGGTTCAATGGAACACTGGTACCATTATGCTTTGACTGAAACACTAAAATCTCCTGTTTTGCATTTGCTTAAATTTTTGATAAAATATTTCCCTTCTTCGATGTGGGGTAAACGAGAGAATATTTGACGATTTATACATTGGTACTGTCAACGCAAAATGTGGCAGTGCATCACCAGGCTTTAATGAGCATGTCTTGGTACCAGACCCTCATACTTATTCACAATACATACAACCAAACCTTAAGTCTGGCACCCGACTGCATAATCACTGAGGTCGTTGCGGTAGATGAGTCCAAAACAAACCCTCACAAGTCCATCACAAGCCGTCCAGTCACAAGCTTTTTAAATGAACTGTGACAAAAGGCATTCTGTTGTTACTGTTTATCCTGTTACTTGTGACTGGACTTGTGATTTGCTTGTGATTTTCTTGTGATTTGCTTGTGATCGGACTTATGATGGACTCGTGATGAACTTGTTGTCATGCATTGTTGTATTTGAGTCCATCACAAGTCCACCACAAATGTGGTCAAAAGTAAATCACAAGTCCTTTCATAAGTTCAGTCGCGAGCACAGATCGATAAACAATTACATAGGACTGCTTTTGAAATAGTTTGTAACTTGAATTGAGACTGGAGGACTAGTGACGTACTCGCGACGACTTGCGATGGACTGGACTACTACACCGACTTCAACACTGTGAGATGCTGGCAAAAGGCCAAGAATATTCCCTTATCGAACAGACGGTTAATAACACAAACACACACACAAAAGCACCCACACACAGGGACGGTCAGCTACCGTCAGTGTCTCAGGTTGCCCATGGAGAATTTCCACTGCTGTGTTATGACTCGCCTTTCACACGTGTGGATCGTCAGACCTATCGTTTTGACGTCTTTACTGTCTAAGCACAGGTTGGTGCCTTGAAGTTTGAAAATGCGGTTGCTTTCGGCTTGTTCCCATTTCTGAAGCGGAAACGTAAACATGAAGAAATTTGTCAAAACTATATTTCTAGTCACACATTTGTAAATGGGCAGCCTCACATAAGAACTTCAAATTCTGACGGCAATCTATGCTACAGCCAAGACAAATTGTAAAGAAAAACTCAATCAGAAATGTCTCTCCTTATGGGCGAATTTTCCAAAATGTTTAAACAGCCTAATAACATAAAAATAATAACATTGCCTATGACACCTCATGTTTGCACAAAGACACTTGGCTTTGTGCACATTCAGAATAAGATCAGTCATGTGTACTTCGCAATTTATATGTACAAACCCGTAAGCGCTAGGGGCTCTTGAAAGTGGTCAAAAAGCGCCCTCTCATGTTTCCGCGCGGAGCCCATAACTTGAGAAATTGCTCTTTTAACCTTAACAGCCCTGAATCCTTCAAAAACCTCTTTGCCAAAGTGGAGGAATTTGGAGGATTGAGGTTAAATGGCAAAAGTGTGTTACTGATTTCGTAGGATGCACTTTGTCAAGGTCTTGGGCCGGACCTTGTGTTGTTTTTGCTCAGCCATGCATAAATATAGGCCTGGATTATGCTTGAAATCCTCCGTACTGCTCCAGGATGTCACTGGCCAAGCCTCAACATATTGACAGTCACTGCCGCAGGATTTTGCAGGATTCAGGCAGTGGTCACCTCTCCACTGACCATATTTAAGAAATAACGGAGGAATTTGCAGGATTGAGGCTATGCTATTTTTCCATGAGGCCAATTGGAGGATTTTGCAGGATTGAGGCTTCATCCTAGCAAAAAGGCCTAGGGAGTTAAGGTTAAAGGAAAGCTTGCCATATTGGTTTTTACCTGGTAACTATGATAACCTTTGCAGCTTCTTAATAACACTGTTGAGCCTGACGTGCTGTCTGATGCCGTCAAGCACAGGTCTGTGTGCTTAATCACCTTCTCTTTGGTGAAGGAGAACTCCTGAAACATTGGGAGAAAACACCAGAAGGATTCAAGATAGTTAACCCATTAGCATTTGTACTACATTGTGTTACATTGTGTTTAATCACCAAAGAATCAATAAAACCACAGCTTGCTCTGGTGGTTTCGGGCGCTACAGTGAGTAAAAGCAAGGTGGTTATGGGCACTATCCGTTCCGTTCACAAGTACCCCCTCACCGGCAAAGAAAGTACAGTTGGGGGTGACCGACCGACGCCATCTTGCCTGACTGCAATATTTTGCCGTGAAGCGCCACTGCGTGTACATAGTACAAATCCCCTGGTGTACGTGCGTCATACACAAGGAATGGTGCGCGCGAGTCAACCAGCGAAATGTATGTGTCCCGCCCATGGGACGTCGTTGCTAAGTAAACGGGCGCCCTCTTTTGTTGGCGCACGGAGCCAATAGTGACTAAAGGGTTAAATAAAGCACACCAGATCTTCAAACGCAGAAACTACCATGAACCCTTCCTACCCGTCAATCAAACAGTGTCCATTGATTAATGAGATAACCAGTTTTGATCAGGTGACCACTGAAGCTCGGCAAAACTCTGTCATAGGCACTGCGACAAATTTACACAAATAAAAGGTGGGCGCAGCTAAGTGCTATTTACGAAAAATTGAATTATTGGATTTTGATAATAATTGGTTTCTTCAGTTTGTTTTCAAACTGACAAATTGAAAGACTACGAATGTTGGGCTGAATAACTCAGTCATGCGCCTGAAGAGATTTACGGAAGTCAAGATACCAATCCCGCTCATTTTTTTTAGCTCAAACCCAAAGACCGCTCATAATTGGTGCAAAAGCACCCATAAACACAAATATGTCACGTCTCACCAACCGTTCACTACGCAGTTTCGCAAAAAAATCAACGTATTTCCACTCAGGCAAATTTCGCAGCAAATATTTTGTGACATTTACTTATTAATTTGCATATGCGCAAAGACTGAACAGGCCTTTAAACAGATTAAGCATAAAACCGAGTCCATTTTATTTTGTGGTTTATTAGGTGACCTCCGATAACGCGTTTTTTGTTTTTATCTACTAACCTGATTTCCACCACTGTTGTGACACTCATACATTCCTAGAACGCCGTCTTCTGTATGGCCTAGCGTGTCCATACACATTGACCCTTGCTGTAGCGCACCAAAGGCCAAATCCTGCTTGTCTGGTATTCTGTTGAACAAAAAATATTGAAACATAACTTTTGTTTCATTATTTAAATTCATTCAGGTAAACGAAAGAGGTGGTCCTACGCTGCAATGCACCAAAGACCAAATCCTACTTGTCTGCTATTCTGTTGGACAAAAGAATAATAATATAACTTTTATTGTTTATTTATTTGAATTCTTTCAGGTAAATGACGGCGGTGGTTCCTCAAAATTTACAGGCACTGTAGCTTGGAAGCCCGATAAAAGCATAGAGAGAGCACTTTTTAGAGATGGGAGGAAACCCTACTCTGATATTCCAGGGTGTAAATTGACAAAATCAGGTAGGGATTGAAAACTCTAACCTACATGATGATCAAGTAGAGAATCGAACCTTGGTCGCAGAAATGGAAAAGCAAGGAACGCAGCACTAAGCCATCCTGACTCTCCCAATCTGACCCATACTCCTGGTAACGGAACGATTATTGCTACTATGAATCACCTTAGCAACTGTCGACTAGCAAAAGCTCACAAAAGCTGATTATTTAACCATTTTTTTCTGATAACTTCAAAATGGGCTTTAAGTTACAAATTCCATCGAAAATAACGAAACTACGTCCATATTCTGTACCAAGCTTTGAAAAGGTTTCACGGTTGATATTCGGTACAATTTTAAACTAAGAATTGACCATTATGCCTTTTAGTCAACAAAAAATACCAATGTAAACAAAGAAGACATAAAATAGAACCGAAGGCCACTAAAAAATAGTGGCTCAATATCAACTTCCCAATGCATGTTTGCTTTACAAAAACCATACATGTAGATGTCTTGCAAATGTGGAGGTAGAAAAAAATAACTTTTGTAAAAATTGTTAGCAATTAAAAGAAGGGCAGGTTCATTTAAGTCCATTGCGTTTATTCCATGTCCTTATGGCACACTGCACAGCCTTTTTATTAAACAGGCTGTATCTGTCTTGAATTATTCAACTCCCCGCCGAGAGATACCCTCCGCCGAAACAATTTATTAATTTAAAAAGAAAAGAGACTCCACGAGCGCCTTATGCAGGGATGCAGGAACCACATCAAAGTAAATGATTCAAGTCTTGTTTCATATTGATTACGCACGCACACACACAGAGTCATTCACCACGACCAGTGTGGCGTACATGTATATGCGTGCGTCAGTTGTGCCAGCTGTGAAAATCAACACACGATCGTGGCGCTGTCCGTAGGGTGCTTTGAGGCAGGCCAAACCTTTCCCTTCTATTCATCTGGGAGTTATGAGACTCGTCAAGAAAAGAGAGTGTTTCGGTAAGCGCCGACTGTATCCACACATCTTTCTGTCTGTGTTTTGCAGTGCAGTCAAAGTGTTCTCGAAATAAAAAATAAACAAACTTTACCAACTGAATAAAGTTTTCTTAAACACAATGTGAGGGTACTTTTAGAATAATTTTTGGAAGCGTTTAATGTTGGCCTGTAATGAATTTTGGGGGATTCTTCTTTGACTGATCACTGTCAGTTATTCAGTTACAATTTTATAATGGTTTGATAAATTGAAAACCATTTTTTGAAAATGAAGGCTTCCTTTCCAAGTGTGTAAGAGAAAGCACAAACAAAATCTCAAGCAAAAATCCCCAATTCCAAGAAACTCTTTCACAAGGAAGTAGTATAAATACAAGTCAAGGATAGATGTATTTGAACATTTCAAGTTAAGATGAACATCCCTGAGAAAAAAAGTGAGTGAATGATTGGTTAAATATATAAAGCAATTTTCCGAGTTGGCAAAATTGTGTATTGACACATGTACTAATGGTCCTAAAATAACTCAGCAATTTGATTAACAGAAACTATAACCAAATTGAGAATGATTAATGAACTGAAATATAATCCTGTCTTTGTTTTGCCTATTCTCATGACCAGGATCACTGCTCAGGTTCTTCCAAACCATTTTTTTTTGCCAAAGCTTCTTCCCCGAACTATCTTGCAAGAACAATCCTGACACCCCCCCCCCCAATCTTTGTAAACATTGACAATCATGGACCCCTATTGTCCCTAATCCTCATCCCTTTATTTGTACTTATAACTTTTTAGCAACAGCTCTCATTTGTTTCGTACACAAATTTCAATCCCGGTTGTTCGGTCAATGCGGACATATTATTTGTGCCCTGCCCCTAACCCTTTTGTCCCAAGTCCACGATTGCCAGTGTTTACATACTCACATTCACACACATAAAAAATTAAAGAATGAATAAAAAATACAACTGTGGTTCCATGTTCTGGTTAAGTAATAATTCATTACATTTGTCTCAGGCACAGCAACTGTGTGGTTGCTGAATTTTTGAGTGCATCTCCCTGTCAAAATTTTGGCGCATCCTGGCTACAAGTTAAAAGGACCCAGCTGTGAAGCTGGCATCTAGCTCCTCAATTATTGACAAGGAAACCACAGGTAACACGTTTCTCACACCAAGGCTGGAGCATTTAAGGTGAAGGGAAGAAAAAGGGGGGGGGGGAGGGCAGGCAAGAGGCCGTCAAGTATTATTCCTGCTCAAAACCCCTCGCCTCCCATTGGCAAAGAAAAGGTGTGACTCGATCACTTTGCATACGAGTCACGTGACCGTGTTCAACGACTTTCTGCCACCTGGCTCTTTCAGAACAACTGAGAAAAAAAAAATGCAGAAATTAATAATGGCTTGCCACGAGCTCTACAGTGTATATTTGTGATGTGTCGGGTGGAATTTAAATGACGGAAACGACTTATTGCTTGTTTGTGTTCATCATTTCATAGTCAATTTCAACTAATTTACTTGCTAGCGTGCTTGCTTACTTTAATTAGTTTTTTTTTTATATTTCAAACATTTGTTTGCTTTAGTTGATACCCTCTTATTGTTTGTTCAGTCAAAGACAGTGACACATTTCTTCCACTTCCCCTGCCATGCATTTGTACACAGACTAAAAACAGTCAGATCACATTTGTATAAACCCTGTGTCTAGGCAAATTCCATCAACAGACAAAAGAGGTAACTGGTTGGTTCAGCTGGCATATCAATCACCTCCAGTCAAAGCATGGCTATATCAAATTAACAAGGGGATTCTTAACTGTTAAAAACAGTTGCTTGATTTTGACTGCTGTGCTCGTGTAGCTGAATTTGTCAGCTAGCGAGGGAGGGTTTTACTTAAATGTATCACTGACTGATTTATTGACAGACTGACTTATTGTTAGATTTTTTTCAGGAGATGGAAATTGCTTTAAGCAGATAAGGAATTTAATAAAAAGTTTTCACCGTTTTCAGAAGCAAGAATCAAAAACGTTTTAATTGAACAATTCTGTTCGTTTCCTTCAGTTTCAAGCAACGTCATCAGACATTAATCAATTTATAGACACAGTTGCATCCTAAACATATTTTAAAAAAATTGGTGAGTCTTTCCAGTTTACATGTCTTCCCCTCCCCCCCCCCCTTCACTGAAGTCAAAACTTGAGATGGTCTGACATTTTGATCTAAGCAGACTCTCTTTATTCCAATTTCATGGACAAATGCCACACAAAATTAGGCCAAGGGAGAGCAAACAAGCACAAAAAACAACTCTACCTATCAAAATAATATTTTTCTTCATCTGTGTTAATTTTCTTGCAAATACATGTTCCCGTTTTCAATCTATCAGCACCTACCACTCTCACTAACTGTCCCCGTCCACCCGAGCCATACCCTGGCACCAACCAACGAGTCCCCTGACACCCCCAAGTCTTCTCCCCTTTCCCAATTAATTCAGCCGGAGCTACTGGCATCTTTCCTTAAATTAGTTCCCCTTTGTTTTCTTCGGACATCTAGACATGTTATTAGAGAAGATTTAATCCATGTTTCCTCGGGGGAATTGGCAAAGACGTAATGGTTTATATCAATTTAGGGATTTTCTTCTTTTTTGGTGGGGGGGGGGGGGGGGGTTTGAGGGTGGCCTGGAATTATATGTTGAGAGATGGGGTTGTGATACAGTTTTAACATGAGAAAAAGGTCAGGGTTCATATGCATTTGGGTTAATAGCCATAAAGCCGTCCGCCAGGCTTCGAATTTATCAGAATCTGAAATGGCAATACGGGCAATTCCAGGGTAACTCACGTTACATTTGGAAAGGGTCTTCTGTCAACTCTGTGCTGTTATTCTATGGAGCCAAAGTATAGACCATTATCATGCTGCGGCCATTTGGATTTTTCCCATTCGAATCAACCAAAGCAAGGTTGGAAGGAAAAATAGTCTGGTTCCTTTTTGCACAAAAACATTATCATTCAGTACTGTTGTTGGATACAGGGAACATGACTGAAATGGTGGCAGCATGATAAAGGTCTATTGAGGTGGATGTTTCTTACAGAAGATCCCTTGAAATGGAGTGACTTAAGTATGAAAAAGGGCCAACAAAATATACTTCTGCTGGTTTGGCAATAAAGTTTTTTATCGGTAACTTGAGTTACAAAAAAAAAAAAGGATGTGAAAAAACCTTGAAATCCCTTGCATTTGAAAATGTCCTCATACCGTGCAATGTTGGAAGAATCTTTCTAGTGCCCTTACATTATTAGGGTATACATGTAGGTCAGATGCTACCGTAACACTTTTTATCAGTTAATCAATCATGAAATCTCTACAGGGATGTATTTCGGCACCTCGCGTTACGGTAACAGTTTTGTCCGCCCATCTTTGGTACAAGTTAAAACATAAAAGAAACTTATGATCAAACCAAATAAGATTTTTTTGGCATAGATTATGAACCTTTCTCTCTGCCTTAATAACAAAAACTCACAATAACACTTTCAAGTTGCATGTAAAAACAAGATGCCAAAATGACCACTTAAAATCCATCATTTTAGCCCCCCCCCCCCCAAAAAAAACCTGCTTTGGACCAAATTCCATCTCACTGACACCACTCAGATGAAAGGTCTTGTTGTCCCCTTTTAATTTGATACCAAGTTTGAGGTTGTGATGCCTGTAGTTCTGAAGATTTCATAGATTTTCACCTTTTCAGATGTGTCCACTTTGCGATGGAATTGCACATATTATGATTCACATGTATGCTTATAAATTGGGGAAAACGAAGTTCAGACCCTGTGCATTGTACACTGTTGACTGTTTTCACCATGGGCGTCAATCGGTGGGGGACGGGAGGGACAAGTCCCCCTCACTTTTTAAAGTGGGGGGGGGGGGGGGGGGTGTGATGATATCATATCGTTTGTCCCCCCCCCAACTTTATTCATCCCCGAATAAAAATTGTAGCGTACCTTTGATTCTATACTCAGGATAGCTGATTCAATGACTCCAAACTCGAAAATGTGTCCATGATGATCTTTTGCTCACAAAAATTGGTTAAAGTGGTCAGAAATTGCATCAGATCGCACAACAGAGCGTCTAGAATCCAAAATGTTCCCGAACCCCACGCTGTTAGGGCTCCGGGCTCGCATTACTTCTGATCACACCCCCCCCTCCCACCCCACTTTTGAGAAGCGATTGATGACCTTGGTTTTCACCACAGTCAATCCTCAAAGCAAAACAGTCCATGCCCATGGTGTATTACTCCAATGTTATGAATCATGCTTGGACTGCACACAGACAAAACTAATGGTACTCAATCAAGGTCTCGGGTTGTTCATGTGATGGCCATGACCAACTAACATAGCAATGTCACTGGATTCAGACATTCAAGCTGTCTACAAGTTTGAGAGATCATGCAACTCTTTCAGGTATTTGTCTGATCCTTCTTAAAACTTTTTTGCAAAACAACTTGTTAGTCCAAGGTTTCCTAACCTTTTAAGTTTTTTTTCATTTCGAGTGCCATTATAGAAGTAAATAAAACCAAAGAAAGAGTGAAGTAAAGATTGGACTATGGTTCAATCTTTGTAACTGCTGCCCTATTGTAACTTGTCATCCACAGAAATTAGAGTTCACTTCTAAAACAACTCTGACAGCATGTAATAACATGCATTTCCTTGACATTTCTTTTTAAAGTATGCCTCCCTCACTAGGATGGTACATATCTGGATGAGTTTGCAGTGACCTTCATCAATAATATGCAGCTATTTTGCAAACCCTACTCTTTTTTTTATTAGCATGCCCTACCCCCTGCAGAGGGAACAGCCAAGATCAAAAGCTCAAGGTTACACCCCTGAAATAGTAATGGCCTAGTAAATATTAACGTCTTGTAGTTGACAATCAACCTGGGCATTGGAAACCTGAAGAAAATATTTACCAAACACATTAACATGTTCTTTCTTTCCTCGTAGTATTTATCTAGTCTCATTATTATGTAATATCTTTGACCCCTGTTGTGTGTTTGTTTGTCAGTCCATCCTTGATTATTGTTTGTGTATCGTTTGTACTCATCCATTGGTTTGTTGGTCTTTCTTTAATTTCTTTGAAATTATCAGAATTATTTTTCAGTTTTGCATTTATGTAAGGCATGCCCCTATAAGGCTTTGTATAATCATGCCTCCATCTTAACATAATAACCTATTGTTCTCATGGTTCTTTTACCTTGGTTTAGATGGAAATTAATGTCATTGAATTGAATCGAATTGAACAGAACAATAACATTCATTTGAACACCTCATAGATAAAAAGCATGCTCACTTTAAGAGGTGAGGAAACTAGGAACAAAAAACAACAGAAGTGAAAGGGATTACAATCAGCAGCGTAGTGGGGGGGGGGGGGGGGGGGACGACTGTGGGCTTGGGGGCAGCATGCCCCCCCCCCCCAATAAAATGTTGCGCCCCCCTGTGGCCAGGTACGGAGGTCGGGTGTCCGGTGAAGAAAACCTGTCTACCTTTCAGCACAGATGAATGTTGTTGGCGCCCCTCCCCCATGCCCCCCCCCCTCCCCTAGGATGAGAACCCTGGCTATGCTGCTGATTACGATACTGGAGTGATTTTGGGCTGGAAGGCTCTACTGTTCAAACACCAGTACTCTAAGTTTAATTCACTCAAACATGTCAAAGGATTAAAATGAAAGTGACATGAATAACGAAGGATATCAAGTAGTAGCATGGCAACTGTTGCCACAGTAACTCTTTTCGGCAGAAAGTAGTCTCGTTTCAATGGTGGACATAAAAAAAGTGGCCACTCTTTAAGAACTCTTTCAAAGAGTATCTTATTTCCCAATATGTTGCATAGTTTGGTTGTTTTCCTTTGGTTTGTTCTCCAGTGTTGTCACCTCTCTTGCAGTTTTACGGGTTTTTTTTCCAGTCATTTTTCTTAATTTATTTCTGGTCAGATCATTTTGTCCTCTTGTTTATGTTTGTCTTTGACTTATAATTAACTAACTATTTGATTATTTCATGTCTTTGTTTTCTCTTCTAAAGGCACTCCGCTACAAGCCTTGGCTTATTAGGATTGTGCCTCCAGAATATTGTATTTTGCTTTCTGTTATGTTATTGTTTCAGTATGGAAATAAATGTAATATTGAATTGAACTCTTACCTTAACTCTGGATAAACATTGTCTAGATACCAGCTGAAGGGCTTGCATTGTAATTTTTCCCGCAGTTCTACTCGAGACTTTATACTGTGAACAGAAAGAGAAACATCTTGTAATTAAAAAAAACCTGTTTACAATAACTATTCACACAGATACTCTGAAACAAGTTTTCGAAGCAGGGACTTTAAAAAAAAATTCATTGGTCTTTATTGCACTTTTATCTTGTATTTTGTGTGGAAACACAAAAAAAGTGTCAATGCAAATTCAAAAAAATGCAAAAACTAATGCATGTCATCCACACTTCCTCCATCAGTTCAAAAGCAGATTTCCTAGTTCCAACAGTTTTGTTAAAAAGAAAACAAAATAGACCAATACTTGGTTGGCAAACTTGAAGGTAATATATTATATCTGCAATCATCAAAAAACAAAAGCACCAAATTATTATGAAATGCCTTACTGGACTGTACGTGAATAACAGTCTATAAAAGCATCCTATGAAATTATGGCACCTGGTGTGCTGTCATTTCCAAGAAAAGTGGAATTTTCATACCGGCTGACCATCATTCGAAAAATATGACTTTTTTTCAAATACTGTCCCCAATTTACCAAATTTGAAACCACATTTTGTTTGCAACCGATTACACATCCATGAACGGGTGCAAGCCAGCTACATGTAGTCTGGTTCCCTGACCTGACAATTCCCTGACGTCTATAAATTGCTCCATTTCGTCTAAAGTAGGGTCGGGGACCCATACTACAAGAACAGCATTTTCTTTCTTGCTTTTTCCAGCATTTATGAACACGAAACTTTTAAACAGGTCAGTGTAACTATATCTTATATAAAATACTAGCCCCCAAATCCATCCATTTCTCAAAATTACAGCAAAAACAAATGTTGTTTAAATACCTTTAACAAAACTCTACAATTACACACAAGCCATTGACTTCTAAATGAGAAAAATGGCAAATCAAAATGCGGACGGGCGGTCTGTTATTTGGGTGTTATTCTAACCCAATATTTCTGACGGCACTCGACATATCCACGTACAAGTTCAAAGGTCGTGGAAAAATGATGGACTCCCTGCCAGTTCTCCAGCAGACAACTTCATAAAAAAAACTGACTCGGATAGGTGCAGTGTCCTATCCTAGCCTTGATAATATACTGCTGGGGTTATTTTGAAGTCAATTTATCGGGGGCTATTTTTGAAGTCGAACCGCAAGCGCCGCATATCTGGAGTTGGCAGACTGTGAGATCATTGGATTGTTTGTGGGGAAAATTTAAGCCACTGTGAGTGGTCTGGGAAGCCGACCACAAATTGAAAATTTAAAAAAAATTCATAATACCACTATTTTTCTGAGCAATTTCTGAAATAGCAATGAAGCAATGGTTTAGGAGGCTGATCAGATATAAGTCTCATCTTTCAATCAATTTATAAACATTTTTCCCTAAAATAATTTACATTTGATTTATACGGATAGTCAAAGTCTCCAGACGATAAGCAGAGCATTTTAGGCCCTCCCATCCGAAACGCTGAGTACTGTATCACCCGGTTCTTTTCAGAACCTCAACAACTCACAACAGACATCTGTCACACGCTGCATCTGTAAACTTACTCTTATAAACCATTAACTGTTGTGTAGACAATTTGCTGTTGGTTGAAATCTGCTTTATGTGTACAGTATGCACATGTACACATTTTATGAAAAAATTGTAAACGCAGAGATTGTTCAGTTCCATCAATCGTGACTTGTTACTTATCCAAATTATAACTCAGCTGGGTTTTTTTTTGCAGTTCATTATTAAAGGACCTTGGCTTCTAAAAGGTCTGTCAATTAATTTTTTTTGGATAACCAAGGAGTGTGTGACCTCAAATGTCAAATTTTACATTATTGCAAATTTAATTGGTAATTAAATTAGAAATGCAACTGAAAACATTCATTGGTAAGCTTAAGGCCAAATTGACATTTTTGAGTAGAAATATGCAAGGTACATGTATGTTGAATTCCAAGCCTGATATTACCTTGACTAGGACTAACACTTAAAGAATTTCCGTTAATTCGGTCCCCTTTTTTGGGGGGGGGGGGGGGAGGACGAAGCCTCTTGAATCTCTTACCTGTGACCATGGCAAAATTCCAATGGGTAGCTGAGCAGAAAATACTGCTTAACAAATTTGTTTTTAAGCATAAGAAAAGGCCAGTACCAGTCAAGAGCAATATGCAGCACATAGGATATTGGCTGGTAACCCAATTTTGCTTACTGCTTAGCAGTATCTTCTGTGCTTAGCAACAATTTGTGTTTTGTAACTCCATGAGATTGCAATCAGACATTACCAATATACATTGTATCCCCAATCAAACTATTTTATGTTTATGCAATACATAATGTCAACAGGTTCCTTCTTTCTCTTTAAAAGCATAATTATTTTTTGCCAAATCTCATACAACTAAGCATGAGCTTTTGCTGGGACGGTTACATGAATATATATTGAAACAGGCTTACTTATTGAATGGAATCAATTCTTCCTATTTTGTACTGAGACAAAGCAACATGACATTTGCGGGAAGAAAATAGCACAATTGCTGTAAGTAATATCCCATAAGCAATCAAAATGAAACACATGAAACTGATCCTGTCAGCTTCAATAAACTTGACACAAAGCAAGGTCCCCACGTTTCAATCAAATCCAACATATGTCCCTGTGGTGCGGCCCAACTAGGAATCGCCCAGATGCAATCAAATTACATGTACTTTTGGAGTCGCCAGAAGAGGTCACTACACTTTTTCTTTTGAATGATTCGTCAGGAGTCAAAAGCTTGTGGTGCAACTGGTACTCTGCAGGGTACCGGTCTCTGCTCAAAATACACACAATGCTCAGTGGATCTCAGAGTTTTTTTGTGTGAGTATGAATGCGTGCACGACAAGATGTGTGGACCAATCAAGCCACTAAGGTGTGGACAATCTTAGGCTGGTACGGTCTGAAGGTGTGTGAGAAAAAGTGTGGGCTTGGGGGAGCCCTTTCGAAGTGGTGCGGCCAGAGGCAGCTGGTGGTTGAGAATCGAAGTGTTGAAAAGAACACTTCTGGGGTTCAAATCAATACTCGAAAGCCGCGTTTCCTTAGCTACCTCCAAACAACTTCTGGTTTGTAGCATCCAATAATTAAAAATAAAATGGAAGAAAAGTAAAAAAAAACATTGGCAATGGATAGGTGTTCTTTCTTTTGCAAAAGGTCACGTTGGTAGTGAAAACTGTTAGATGGACACTAACGAAAAGGGAATGAGTTGACTACAGCCATTTAAAACACTAATACTTGCACGTCTTCTCTGGTTTATTTATTTTTAACAAAATGCCTTTTGGGGGGGGGGTGTCATGGCCCCTGTTGCACCCCTACTCTCTCCCCCCTCCCCACCCCTTCTGCCCCTCCAGACCGTCAACGAAATTGAGGCTTGTTTTGAGCAGCCTTGCTGCTGGAGCAAAATCTTCTACCTCAGTTTCAAAAATAATAAGTTTTTAGAAATGATACAGGAAATCTTCAAAGACTTGATCACATATCCAAAAGGAAAAAAAAATGAAGGGACTTAATCACATTAAAACAAATAAAAACTGAAGGAAAAGTCAGTTGGCCACAAAGAGGCTGCGAGTTTAACAACATCCTGCAACAGATTTAATAGACGCTGACCAGAATAATGAATAAGACAGCTCAGATTTATCAGAAATCAAATTAGTTTCTGCAATGCATTTTCCCCCCAATAATGGCTAGTTTCCTTTTCCGACCAAGAATTTGAATGAAAGGCTTGCGTCTCTGACATATATAGGCCCTAGTCCCTTTATTTTATTTTCCCTGTTGGGGGGGGGGGGGGGGAATGATTCAAGAGATCGGAACTTTCTTAAATGTCAAAAGACTTTTTTTGTCATGGAAAGCTCCTTAATAGGCTCTGAGAAATCCTAAAACCCTTGGTGCTTCCGGGATTTGTCTGACAACGGGAAATCAAAAGATGAAAGAAGTGGAATGAAACGGAGGAGAAGAATACAATGTTACCTTCCATATGGCACGTTTCTGGCTGAAGGCACGGCGGCATAATAAAACTGTTTATATTCATCCATCCACACTTCTGCTGCTCGCTTTGTGTTCCTGGAACCAAACCAAACCACAAACAACCAAGTTGACAAAAGGTTTAAAAATGGAAACTAAAAATCTGTGAGAATTTACACAGTTTGTACGTCCACAATCTGCGTTACATTTATCAGAATGGTAAAAAGCCAACTCTGATATATGACTATATACATGTAGTCAGAAATTGCCATTTTGCAGAACAGTGGGGCAAAGCCACAATTTTAACAGGTGGTACTTTTTTCCCCTTTTTTCAGGCGAATCTCAATCCGCAAGTCCTGTTCTACTAGTTTTTTTGTTTTAATAACACATCTTTCAAATCTGTTCTCACCCTGTTTTATAGGTTGACTGTTGATTCACTATAATACAACGGTGGGATTTGTAAATGTCGTTTTCTCAGAAATTGTTTTTACGACTTCAATTTAGTTTAGACATTACTTTTACAACTTCAATTTAGTTTGCGGTCTATATTACTGAAACCCCAAATGTTATATCTCATCAGAAAGCTCTTGTTCTGTAGAATCCAGAAATAAAAATATCTCAATTCTTAAAAAAAAAATTTTATAGTCATTTTGTGGTGAAGGCTCACAAAACTATAATAGGCCTACATCTGCACTAGTATACAGGAAGTAAGGCCAAAAAAACCCCCATAATAGTTCTGCTTCCGGTTTATCTAGCCTATTTTGACAGCCCCTACCCTAACTTATTCTAGAAAAATGAGGGAAAAAACCTGAAAATCATCAGGCTTTACCCTTGACTGCACACAGAGACACCCCCATATGATCATACAAAAACAAAATTGCCTAAAAAAAATTATTATTTCCCTACCTACATGTACCTACCCTATTTTTAAATGCCATGTAATAGGAAGCAGAACTTTTTTTTTTCTTTGACCTAATTACAGTCCTGCACAAGTAAACCTGGCATTTTTGTAAAATTTAAATATATCAATAAGCTCTGACAGCCCTAGGAATGCAGTTCATACAGGGTGAGTAAAAAAAAAAAGCGAAACCCAAATGTCGGGACCATTGTTTTAGTGAAGTTCTGCATGTAGCACTTTCAACATCTAGGATATGAAAGCTCAATTCAAAAGCTTTCTTTAAGTACAAGAATCATTCAAATCACTTTTCGTTCATTGTTCTTTCAGCAAAACGAAAACAAATCACATAAGGATGTGTGTGAATTGTTTTCGTTTTGATGAAAGAACGCACACTTTTTGTGATCCGTGGACAGAACTTTAAAACGGTGGTTGTGTTCAAAACTCAGTACCTTAAAAAGTATGTGAGTGATTTGAATGATTCTTGAACTAAAAGAAAGCTTATGAATTGGGCTTTCATATCCTAGATTTTGAAAGTGCTACATGCAGAACTTCAATAAAACAATAGTCCCGACATTCAGGTTTCGGTTTTTTTTTTACTCACCCTGTATAGCACTCTGTCAGTTCAGGGCAGATCCTTGTTTATAACAATACATCAACTCCGCATCTATAAAACGTCACTTTGAAATAATTCTTTAAATGGTTCTAAACACCTTCTGGGATTTGAAGGTTCTCAAGAGCCTCAGGCTGTATTTATTTGCAAAGAGTAAACATACATGTACCTACACCTGTAGTTCACATTAATAGTATTAAGTTGCCCAACAACACATATGGTAAATGCATTGGCCTTGGCCTACAAAAAACATTGATTGCACAGGTTGTTTTGAGATATTTTTTTTTCCCACCTGGGAAATGGACAGGGTCACTGCACTAACGATCATGCAAGGTTCACAACCAAAGTCAGGGAACAAGTTTACAGCTAAAATTAAGGATAAGAAAACGTGAAGGCTTGTATTCAGCTTCAGTTTTCTTACGATGGACTTCCTTGATGATGTTATGAGTCAAACTGCAGAAGTTTGTTCCTTCGTAATATAGGGTAGTCCCAAAAAATCTTAACACTTTTTTCAGATGTAGATTTCTCAATATTGTGGAGACATGCTGAAATTGTTTTAAGCTATTCCTAAACTACAAGATCTTGGTGGCAACGAAAAGAAAGCCTAAATTAAGAAATGGTGGCCATTTACAGAAAAATGGTCAAAAACTAGTTTGTCCACATGTGTGTATGAGATAATATCATTGTTACTGCAGTTCTTTGTGCACGCATTACTATTGTTTTGACCATGTCTCATAGAATTGCATGTGGACAAACTGGTTTTTTGACCATTTTTCTGTGAATGGCCATCATTCCTTAATTCAAGCTTTTAATATTTTCAATGCCATTTTCACCGTACACTACCAAGATCTTGTAGTTTAGGAATATCTTAAAACAATTACAACATGTATTCCCAATTTTGAGAAATCGTCGTCTGAAAAAGTGAAACTTTTCTGGACACTCTGTAGAGCCACAGAGTAAACAAAAGATACACCTGGTTTGCTGCGAACAACATATATAGATACACACGGTGACAATTTCACTTTCAAATTAATTCAAGTTTAAATTATAAAAATTATTAAATTATAAACAGTGTTAATTTCCCTTAATTACAAATTTCATTTTCAACCTGAACATTACATGTATACTTCGATAAAACTATGTTCTTTAAAAGAACAATATTGTTTACTTGTAAACATATTGTTTACTAGTAAACTGTTCTGGCTGAATATAGCTGTTTGAATTGAAAAACAAAATTAAAAAAAAAATACTTTCAAAGAACAATATTGTTTACATGCAAACTTTTTTGGCTGAATAAAGCTGTGAATAAAAAAGAAAATCTGTTTGGAACTTAATTTTAAAATCAAGGACATTTCTCATTTTCTTGTTGATTTTACCTTGCAAAGACATTACCACTCCCTCCAGGGAAAGTGTAGGGATGCTGCTTTCGGAACACATGGCCCACACGACTACATGGAATGATTTCTAACGTGCCACCACACTGCCAGACCCGAAACGAGATTTCTGCTCGGAGGAAGAAAGGAGAAAAAAAGAGCAACTGAATACCGTAATTTGATTAGGATTATTACATTATCGTGGCGGTGATGTGATTATGCAGCCATTTGGAAGGAGATGAGGCACAAAGAAACAGATTGATATATTGTGTTTACATTTGAGAGAGTTTTCGTTTCAACACTTGGGGTTTTTTTTAGGTCAAGGGAAATGACCAGGAAACTGGCTCCTTAGCCATGATGATCAAGTCTGGGCCCGACACTGATGAGTGAATTGGAACAGGAAGCAGGTTTTTGCTCCATTAGAAAAAAGTTTACGCTTTAAAATCCAGTTAAGTAAAATACTTCCCTTCAAGGGTCTTGGAACATTTAATGAAATGAAACCCTTCATACGCTGTGTCTATTATTGATTAACATCTGGATTATTTTTAATGATTCAAGGCAATATCCATTAATGTTGAATATAATTCATAAATGCCTGGGATGCTTTACCAATTCCTATTGGTCGAGAGCCTATCATGTGGGAGGTTTTAAACTGCCAGCAGAACACCGCTGCATTCTGTGCCACATCGTGCAGTATGCATCCCGCGCCACATCGTGCAGTATGCATCCCGCACATGCCAATTCCATGACTTTTAGCACTACTCACGCGAGGTACGTATATACCATAGAGAAGGCCAGTGGGGTGTTTCACAAAACATATGAAATAACATTGTTGAACAAAATCGTTGGAAATTTGTGAATTTTTGACTTGTTTTGACTTGTTGACAAATAGATATTTATGTGTATGAAAACACGTGCTTGGCCAGTATAAAACAAATACGTTAAAACCGGCTAGGGGCCTGGACACAGATAAGACCCTTGCCTTCAGCTCGGGCTATTATCAGCAAACAGGCCCATACTTGTTTAAAGCCAGCCAAGCACATTTTTATTCCCTTAATCAATTAAAGATATCTTTGTGTACCCTGACATTTCAGCGGGAAACTTGAGGTATTAACAGAACTCAACCCATCAAACCCCAACGGCCTGTTTTGTTGGAATCTGTCAGGATGGGTACAGTACCCCTAAACTGACAGTCTTTTACACTGGGTTGACACACCTCCGGAATCAAAGTCAGAAATATGTGTGTGCAGTTTCCCATATGGTGTTGCAATTTGCCAGGATGGGTATGGTTCCTAGTAAATCATGCTAGGGATTTAATGTGACCTATGGCACCCCTCAAAAAAGAAATTTGTAATATACAAAAAAATCCTGCAACTACGGGTGAACATACAAACATGTATCCTTTTATTTAATCAACATTTGATAATATGAAGAAAAAAAATGAAGGCAGTGATGTCTCTAGGAAAATATAAAGTAGAACAAAACAAATTAAAAAAAATTAAAAACTCTGACAAAAAATATTTGACAGCAAGGATGCATGTTAACAAACAAACAGCCCAATAATCTCACAAACACACGAAAAACATCAAAATGCAGCATGAACTTGTAAGTATTTAGTTCCCTTCATGTACATATATAAATGAAACTTTTCAGCTCAGTGCTTGGATAATGTCGTATTGAAATGAATTCTTGAATTAAAGACAGGAACAATAACTCAGCTTGCAGAATGGTGATGAGCATAGACTAAAGTGGCGACAGCCATTTTCTGCGGTGGCACCAGGCTTGCGTGAGTCGCGCTCAGGTAAGTACGCAACGACTCCGGGCTCCTTCGACCAATACTTAAGTGCGCGTACGCCTCGTCTTTAAGAACACGTGCGGCATACACGCGTGGGCATGGCACCACCACAAAAATGGCTTCTACTTTTGTTCGGCGAATTTCAGTAAACCTAACAACAGGCAACCTTTTTGATGCTCTACAAAAGTTTTTGTCTAGACAGGCATTGAATAAACATATTGTATTACACAAGTATAGTCAGTTTGTCTCACATAAGGAAAGGTATGAATACAGAAACGAAATAATAAAACAACATATCAAAGCCGGTGCCGAAATGCGACGGGACTAGCAATATTCATGTCTGAACTTGTTATCTAACCCTAACATTGATTGAACTTTCAGCTAGCCAACAACCACTTTGAATTTGTTCATCTAAATTCAGGTTTATATGTTTTTGTTGCGACTTGTATGTACTGAAGCTTGTTTTCTTACACGTACTTGAAAATCTCTCGGGAAATTGAAACATGCTTTGAAGATGATTTTAAAGTCAAATTGGTTCACTTTGTTCTATATAACAGCTTTAAGTTTCATGAATATAGACCATATGACTTTCCTGTTTTTGTTTTTCATCTGAATAATATTTTCTGGTTTGAAAAGAAAAAATAATATTTTTGTACTATTATGGAAAACAGGAAGAAAGTTCCAAAAGTTCAAATCAGTAAAGCAAAAAACAAGAAATGTGCAATGTAAAACTGCTTTTAATTTAAATAACCTATTAGCCCAGATTTCCGCGCAGAACTAAATTATTCTGAAGATTTGAATTTATTACATGGGAAGTTGGACACTTGGGACAGTTAGAGGTGACCTCTTCAAAAGACAGGCTTTGGAAAGATTCCAGGATCTGGAAAATCTGTACACAAAAAGTTAACCTGTCTCAAACTAATTTAAAGTTGAACAAAGAAATTGACTGCAGTGGGGTCTGAACCTCTAACCAACCGTGCTATCCAGCCCTTGGCTGGTGGTTCCCAATTTTGTCAATGTCTTTGTTCAAGGGCAGCTTGTTAGACCCCATAAGGCCCACAAAAAAAAGTCTCCGGTTTCTGGTATGGAGCTTGCCCAAAAAGTGGTGCGGTGACGCGGCTTTTTTTTTTTTTTTTACCTGATTTTTTTGCTTCAAATGTCGGCTGATGACTGCAAATGTTGCCCAACTAAACTTAATGCAAATATATGGGAGTCCAGAGAGGCCACATAAAGCTTATTCTCGACCATAACCCAATCTAAAAAACACGTTAAAATTGTGCAGCAGCAGGATTCTAGTCAAACCAGTGAGTTTGGCGGTTTGAGACATCATCTTTCATTGAAAAAAAAACATTTTCATTTTGCCGATGCGCATGGCTATGGCGACGCGTGCGCATACCAGAAACCGGAGACTTTTTTGGGGGGCCTAAGCCCGGTATATGCCATGCAGCTAAAGTCACGATGCTAGCAATGTTTGCAATGTTGCAAACCTGGGAAATAGCAAACGGGAATCTGTCAGAGATGATACAGGTTTTTATTACAAATTTCAAAAAATCACAATGGGACACTGACTGGGTGCACAATATTTTGAAAGTTTAACAAAGAAACTAACTGGAGCAGGGTTCGAACCTGTAACCTCTGTAGTGTACCAGTAAACATCTGTTTGAGTTGCCCGACTTACCTAAATTTTCTCCACCCCAGACGTCCATCATCATGTCGTACTTGCCGGACTCTTCAAACCACTGTTTGGAGATTGCAAATAATCCCCCAGCTATCATTGGAGTTCTGAAACAGAGAAAAGGCCCCAGGTTACAAAGTTGATATGATGGAAATGTTTCTGTTGGTACATCTTTAAGCCCGACTTGCGGGAGCCAGCCGACCGGGCACGCTTGGTGTTCGAGTGGTAAGATGTCTGCACTAGTAAGCAGGAGGTCGTGGGTTCGAGTCCCACCAGAGTGATTTTTTTTTCTGACAATCACCCAGGAGAAACAATGAGTATACAGTGTTTATAAAAATACGTCGGTGAAGGACAAAACCAAGTATTGCAGGAGCGAAAAAGATTGATGGCCCATTGTTGCAATACGAAATTGGGAGGGTAGGCTCCAGACATTATAAGGTTGCAATATTCTTTTTCTTCAGCACTCTGTTCCTTGTTGAATAAGACAAAAAATCCACAGGGAGATGGCTTCATGCTAATGGCATAGCTAGTCGGTCCCACCATGAAGTGGCATATCGTGTGCACGAAGTCCATAAAAGATATGTCACTTTTTTGTGCACCTGACCGAAATTGGCTATAGATGATTTATAATGCCAAGGCCAATCAACGTGAGGGTTAAACAAAATGAAAAAGAAAAAGGAGGGCAAGGCATCTACAGAGAGGAAAATTAGTTGCGATTGTGAAGCACTTGAAGTGGGACTTGCTTGATATTCCTTCACCAACATATTATTATTTGGAGCTCACCAACTTATTTCTGAATTGCTTGGTTTACTGAGCACTGGAAAGGTACTGTAGAGATTGTCAACTTGAGTTTACTTTAATAATATAGTCTTATCGATGTAAATATCCTAATGGCAGGATAGTATATCAAAAATAGATATAATTGCATTCTCTCTGAGTGATCCTAAATTCACAGAAAGCCAGGTGCAGTCATATTTTTTTTGTTCTTTTGCGGCAGAGTTTTCTGTAAAAATGATGTTTCCGTCTTGACTCAATTTAAATCTCATTTGAATTTCAATGCCTGTGTGTAATCGCTGGTGCTTACTCCATCAATCGGCTGAAAAGCTTCAAAGCATTCAGTATTCCATGGATAGCTGTAAAAATAGGTTCTTTTAGTAAACATACATGCATAACTTTTGATAGCAAGGATCAATTTCAGTAATTGTTTTGTTCATATGATTTGGAGAACATGCATGTTTAATACACGCTTTATTGGTGTATCAAATTTAATTGCTTTTTAAGGGAGAAAAAATTAATCCTGAACATATATGACTTGAAGCTATGCATGGCAGATGAGATAAAGTAGAAAGATTGCGGGTAACACCATGTGGAAAGTAATCTCTTCTTGGAAGGAGTGTGGTTCTAAAAAAGAACGAGTTGGTTGAATGTAGAACTTGACATTTCGGACAGTGTGCTCAGGACGGACAGAGCACACTGTCCGAAACGTCAAGTTCTACACTCAACCAATCGGTTCTTTTCAGAACCACACTTCTTCCAAGAAGAGATTACTTTCCACATTACCCGCCGATCCTTCTACTTTACTTAATCCTGGCCACTTTCTTTTTCACTCGACCTGTTGTTAAGAATAAAATCTGGTATCTCAGTTCTGGCAACTTTTGACCAATAAGGGTTGTAGTCAAGTTCTCAACAGTCACTCCGAGTCTAAACTTGTTCAGGTAGTAAAAAGCTATTCAAATGATCTGTGATAAAGGTGATCCTTTGTCTGGAGTTTGACTTGTGATTGACTTGTGATTGTCTTGTGATTGTCTTGTGATTGCACACCTAAAGTTTTCACTTGTGATTGACCTTTGATTAACTTGTGATTTCACTTGTGTTTTCACTTGTGATTGACTTGTGACTGACTTGTGATTGCACAACTTAAGTTTGTATTTTCACTTGTGATTGACCTGTGATTTCACTTGTGATTTCAATTGTGATTTTACTTGTTTCGCTTGTGTTTTCAATTGTGATGGACTTATGATATCACTTGTGATACCCTTGTGATTTCACTTGTGAATGACTTGTGATTGTTTAAAATGAAGTTTAGAAACAGGTGTTATATTGTTTTTATTCTTTAAAGTTTCATAACTGTGCAAATTTTTCCTTAAAAAAAAAAAAATGGATATACATGTCGCGTTTTGGAAATATACTCTTCATACATGTATGTAAAATGGCAAATGGATTTTGGGGATAATAAAGTTTTCGGTGTATTGTACTGTATTGCATTGATGAATCCATTGAGCCATAAGGTGCTGGGTGGTTAGGGGCAATACAGGGAGTAACAAGCAGGCAAGGGGGGGGGCGGTACAGGGACTTATGTTAAACACTGGACCCACCTAATTGGTGCAATGGGATTAGATCTTCTACTGGCTCGTTCCGTGGGCGTCATGTAATCCCATTTGAAGACCAGATTCCAGTCAAAGCCACCCTTCAGGTCTGCAGAGGCTGCCACATATTGGAAGTTGTCCATGTTAATGACGTCGATGATGGGACTGACGACCGCTTTATAATTCTGTAAGAATCAAGAGACAAATCAAAAAATAACACCTGCTCTTGGAAAACATCAAATTAATTATTTTTTATGTTTGTACAAATCAAAGCTTACGGATTAAAGCCAGAAATGTGCAAAATGGTGAAAAATTACATATACCATATTTTTTACTTTTAAATTGCCAAAGTATTTGTGGGAAATCTAAGCTGAGGGACATGGCTTAAACCGGTAATCTATTTTTGTTTAATATTGCAACTGGGGTGGAAATTAATATCTTTGTTTGTTCAGTTCTCCATTTCTGAACACCTGCTTCACAATGTATGCAGTGGCGCACCCAAGGGGGAGGGGGGCCCCCTCGGGGGGCTCGAGCCCTACCCAAGAGGTTATCAATTATTTTGGTCCATTTTTTTTCAGTGGCACGATTTGACTGTGGTGATGTGGACTATTTTCACGTAGTATAATAGGGGTGTAAATTGCGCCACCAACGTCAAAATAGTCCCCCCCCCCCCAAAAAAAATATTATTTTCTGCGGCCAAATATGTTGGGCAAGATTTTTTGACAAAAAATCAAACTTCTTTAAAAAATTTGAAAAAAGAATGTGTGAGCCCCCCCCCCCCCCTCCCCCCAGCCAAATCCTTGGTGCGCTTCTGAATTGTATGCTCAAAATTCTAATTAGCCAAAAATGTTGGGCAAGATTTTTTGAAAAAATTCAAACTTCTAAAAAATTTGGGAAAAAACCCAAATTGGTATTCCAACTGCACATATGCGTAACAAGATTCAACTGTTTTTAATGCCAAAAAATGTGCAAATAAATGCACATGAGTCAATGGGGGACGTGGTAACCAAATCTGCATTGTAATTTTTCAGGCAATTAAAATGTCGATGGAAACTTTCGTGGGTTCATAAAACACCTAAAACACTTTGCTGTCTAACCTTTTTTTGAAATTTTGTGCTCACAATTTCTTTAGTTTTGCCGGTACCCGCTATTTTTTTACCGAACTGGCATATTGGCTGGTCAAAATGCAAATATCCAACAGGCTAAGTAACTTAATTAATTTCATACGACTTATGCAAATGTATTTTCTAATAAACTTTTAATACATCTTTTTGAATAAAGGGACAGACAATTTCTTAAGATGCAATCAATGGTGGTGGTCTTGAATTTTGTTTTTAGTTCTTCTCAGCATTTTCTTAAGCTCCCATCCAAATTCTGTGTACATTTAAGTGTTATGCATCATCTGGGTCCAATTTCATAGCACTGCTTAACAGTAAGCAGAAAAGTTGTGCTTCCTATAGCAGAAAATCCTGCTGCTGCTTAAGCACTATTTCATGCTAATGGTTGCGCGCGCATGGAGATTTCTATTGTTGCGTTACTGATTTAAGTAAAGTTTTCTTCTGCTAAGGTTAAGCGTGCTTTTGCTGTGATTACTGCTTAACGGTCCTTATGAAATAGATGGAGGCTCAGTAAGCACAAAGTTGGCTGTTAAGCAGCGCTATGAAATTAGGCCCAGAAAGGACACCCATCATCAAAAGCTTATGTTTGAACATTTCAATCATACTTTTTATGTGGCACAGGAATGTAATACTTGTCTCCAGCGACATACATGCACATGTACCTGTCCAAATTTCATTTCATTATGGCAGGGCTCTCCACGGCAAAGCAATAAAAACTGATTTCGACACAAAACTCCCAAGGCAATCTTTCCATAAAATGGTCCAGGGCAAGAACTAAATTGACTTTTTCTTATCTGGAGGGGGGTAATAAGACACAAGCCCTGCTTCGTGTGTAACAGATCTCTATCAGCCGGAAATAGGAAATGAGGCTTTTAAAGATGCACAGTAGTTTTTATCGATTGTGGAACACTTCAAAAATTTTATCAAATTTGAAGAGAGCCTGATAGCCTGTGCCCTCATGTGCATAATGCTTGTTATTATCCGTCGGAAGAAAACGCAACAAGAAAAGCTCCAAATATTGTAAATCCTATACGACCCCCAAAGTAGGGACGTTTACATGTTGAAATGTTTTAAATGTTTAAACAAAGATAATTCTACATCCGTTAACAAATTTTCCAAAACGTTTGAACGAAACAAAAATTATTAAAAAGGGACAGGCTTTGTTAATGCGATCTTCCTTTGAGTTAAACATACCATACATAACACAAATATTTATCGATATTTTTAGACCTATTTAATCTACAAAACCTTAGAAGCACTGCAGAGCTTGATTACATTCAGGGTACACGTAGTTATGTTTTTATATTTTTAATAACTGCCCGCTAATTATTATGTCAAGCATTGCTGATTTATCATGTCACTCACGTCGGTCTACGACTGCGGACATAGTGGGCTGGCGTCAGCCTTTGAGAAATGGCTAAATGTTTAAAACGTTTAAACGTTTAAACGTTTAATAAAATAGTTACAAAATGTTAACAAAATCAAAACGGAAAGTCACATCCATATTGTTGTTATTCAATATCTTCTGATGACTGTGCTTTTCATTAGAGCAACTCAACAAATCATATAAGTCGTAATTTTGAATTTGATCTCAATAATGCTCCGTAAAAAGCTTTTACAGAAACTTAAGAAATTGTAATTAATCATCTGGAGTAGTTTTTGTAATTTCACGGTGCTATGCGTTAGACCGGACTCCAGAGCTGAATTTTTAATGCATGGTTAGGCACAAAGTCCTCCTTTGTATGCACACACTTAGTCTCCGACAGCCTTCAAGTTCTTTCTGTAGTATCATCACACACTTAAGTGTAGTTGGAAAAACCTACTACTTGAAAAGCCAATAAAGGGACTGGATGACTGTACAATGTCAATGAACAGGGGACATGGGCACAGGCAGTGAATGACCAAGGTAAAGGAGTTGATTCTTAAAACAAGATGCATATTAAGATATCAACATGCACCTGCATGTCATGTCCAACAGTTACTTTCCTTGTTTAGAATCTGAATCTTCTTAAACATTGTTGTAGTTCGAGCCCATCACAAGTCAATCACAAGTCAAGTTAGAAGTAAATCCCAAGTCCAGTCACAAGTAACAGTTAATGAACAATAACAAGGGAATGCCTTTGTCAAAGCTCATTTGAATAACTTGTGAGTTGAATTGGGACTGGAGGACTTGTGATGGACTTGCAGGGACTTGTGATAGACTTGTGATGGACTTGTGAGGACTTGTGATGGACTTGTGATGGACTTGTGATGGACTTATGAGGACTTGTGATGGACTTGTAATGGACTTGTGAGGACTTGCAGGGACTTGTGAGGGACTTGTGGGGACGTGTGATGGACTTGTGAGGACTTGTGATTGACTTGTGAGGACTTTTGATGGACTTGTGAGGACTTGTGATGGACTTGTGAGGACTTGTGATGGACTTGTGAGGACTTGCAGGGACTTGTGAGGGACTTGTGAGGGACTTGTGAGGACTTGTGATGGACTTGTGAGGAGTTGCAGGGACTTGTGAGGAGTTGCAGGGACTTGTGATGGACTTGCAGGGACTTGTGATGGACTTTTGAGGACTTGTGAGGACTTGTGATGGACTTGTGAGGACTTGTGATGGACTTGTGATGGACTTGCAGGGACTTGTGATGGACTTGTAAGGACTTGTGGGGACTTGTGATGGACTTGTGGGGACGTGTTATGGACTCGACTACAACACTGCCCTTTAATGAATCCATCACCGTACACATAACCAGTGGCACATTCCTTGTACATTATTTGTCTAGGAATATCAAACTCCATGCCAAGTAAAGAGGCAGGTCTCTGCTTTTCTCAATCCTACACAATATCTGGTAGATGTTAGAGGACCTGGGAGGTACATGTATAAAGTGTAACTTTTGAAATACAACAGGTACAAGCATGCTGCAGTATCACTAGTATTGAAAGGCACTGCCACAAAAGTGATCCAAATCGGACTCCAAAATAATTTTTTCAACTACGCAGTTAGGGTATAAATCAACACCTGATTAAGACATATATTAAATCATAATACTGAACTAAATCAAGATGTTTCCAATCCTAATATTTTTCCTAATTGGTAAAAGGAACATACAACTGACAATATCTTTTCATAATCTACTTTCATTCGGGAGGAAATGAAAAAGAAAATAGAGAACCCTTACATCATTGTGTTGGTGTTAGCAATAATATTTGTCCTGCATTACTATCGACTACAGAGCACAAAGTAAACTTGCAAGTTTTGTTTAGCCAAGTATTCCAAATCACATAGGTTTTATGCATGAATGAAACATAGTTAAAGAGAAAGTATTTCCCAACTGAAAGTGAAATGAACTTCCAAAATGAGGAAACCAATTAAATATTTTATATACCAACTAAGCATTTTCTTCTATAAAGTGACATCAGCTGACATCTGATTCAGTATTTGAGGAATGAGTTCTTAAGTCATTAATAAATAATAGTAAACAAACCAATCAACATCAGATTTTTATCAAAATGCTTGGCTACACCACCTTTTTCCCAGTCAAAGGCTAGTACCAGTACAACATTTTCTTGCAATGAATCCACCCTCGACCTCAATTCTCCCAATCTAAAGCTTCCACTGCCACACCCTCAATTTGAAGTCCCAACACCAACCTCATTTCCTCACTAACCTCATCTCGCCCACCCTCAACCTCATCTTCCGCTCCCTCAACCTCAATTCTCCCAATCTAAAATGCCACTGCCACACCCTCAATTTTAAGTCATCGCCCCAACCTCATTGTTCTACCTCTACCTCAACTCCCCACTCTCAACTCCCCACTCTCAACTCCCCACCCTCAACTTTAATTCCCCCAACCTCAATATATGCTTTTACTCCCACACCCTGAACTTGAACTAGCCCAACTTAATCACAAACTCCGCAACCATAAACTCCCCTACCCTCGATTGCAATTCCCCCTTCTACATTTATATCTTCCTCATTCGACACTTTCAACTTCAACTCAACTCTCCTTAATCTGGAGTTCCCCAACCCTCTCAACTCTTCACCTCAACTTTCCTAGCCTTCAACATCAACTCCTCGTCTGAGCCGGTAGAACTTTGATTTCCATAATCCCTCACCACAACAAGAAAGTCTGAAGTCTAAACAAAACAACACTACAACACCAAGAGAATGTTATCTCCAAATTGACTTGTATAACATCCCCGGGGTGCTCACTTCGCCGTCCAAAAGAGACTGTGATTTCAATCCCATTAGAAGTTTTTGATAACTTAAAACATGAACACGTGGGAGTATTTTGCAAGTTTTGAAACTGAAGACATATTTTGCCCCGTTCTTCTGGGACGGACCTCTGGGGAAATCAACCGGAGATTTCAAAAGGCCATTAATGACGAATCCACACTTACCTCTTGTATTCTCTTCAGCAAGGGCTGTAGCCAGTTCTCGTTGCATTCGCAGTGACTGTCTAAAAAGGTTAGGACAGAGCTGGAGGCTGCATCAGCACCTTTTATTCTGGACCGAATCAAGCCTGATGTAAAGTAAAAAAGAAGAATATAAAAGTTTACACATGTAAAAGAAAGATGTAGTAAACTTTTAGGGGTTTGTGTACGTACATGTATCTCAAGAGTAACACTGAGTAACATTCCTCAAATACTTGAAAAGTAACTAAAGATAGTAATGAACATCTATTTTGTTTTTCGCAGCAGAAAATTATGACCCTGCATACTGAAAATGTATTACACAGGAAATGTATTATACAAATCATTGATAAATTGTGTCAGGCGGCTAAAAAACAAGAACACTCTTTGAAAAAAATGAAATTAATGAATTTTAAAATTTGTTTTTACTTTGACAAATGTCCTGCTCAGGACCGAAACATCAGGCCCTCTATAGTTGGTGATTTGTATATTTCAGGTCAATCCAGTCAGCAAGCAGTTTGTAGCATTTTTATTAATTTTCATACTTTTTAAATTTTGAACAGTTTTGGATTTTAAAAACTTCTACCAAAAAATTATTGTTGGACCTGGTTTTGCAGCATTGTGACAGATTCCGAAGTACTGTATTTTGAAGCCCCCATTATTGGGTACACAGTTCGGTATCTCGATGAAGCAGGCTTAGTCCAGGTCAAAGGTCATTCAGGATAAAATCACTGATGCCATGTTATGCGATGTTACACAAATGCCCATTCTACTTGTTAATAACGCCCGAGTGTTCAATTATCTCTAATGACCCGTGACCCATATCATTGTGCACATGTGCACTTTGAAACACCGAACCGGCTTACTGGGTATGTTAGTTTTCCTCACAGTATCATAACAAGCTGTGGCCAAGAAGTCAAAATTATCTGGTATAAAATAATCGAGTCCGATAAAAATCTAGATATAATTACCTTCCCTTCGTTCATTTCTGATCAGTCTTACTTTTTCGATGCCCAATAAAAGTTTCCCATCTTGTGCTGAAAGATAAAAGAAAGAGACAAATTCAAATTTGAAAACCTCAAAAATTAAAACACCACTAAGTGTAATGGTTTTGAAATTAGTTGGTTTTTTTCCCTGCAAAGTGGAGATACCATGCTTTTACATGTATCTCCTCTTGAACAAGACTCCAACTCAAGACTTCCCTCTCTTCTCTTCTTAAAGGATGTTATCAATTCTCTAAACAATTCAGAAGTCAGTCTTCCGGTAAAACCACAAGTCAGTCACTTCTCATAAACTTTATTTACCCTTCTTTAATAATTGACATAATTTCCAGCGCCTTGAGTACCTAATTGTTGGTAGATACGTGCGCTATATAAGACTCCATTATTATTATTATTATTACAAGTCAGGACATAAGTAACAGGGGATGAACAATTATCGGCAAAAGCTTTTGTCAAGTCACAGGTCGTTTGAGTAGCTTGTGAATTCACTTGAGATTGACAGACTTCTGATTACATTTCAAAGGCTTTTGAGAATGCCTTTAACTCTTGTACATTTCACTCAATTTTCAATCACCTTTTTTTTTGGGGGGGGGGGGATAAGTGGTGGGTTTAATATCCGAATATTTTAACGTTCGGTTTGAATTCCATTATTCGGTTTTGATTTTGGAAACTGGATGTTCGAAACCAACCTTTAACCCTTACTCTCTGAGGGTAGTTTACTGCATGTCAGTTGGTTATGCCAATGCCCTCCAGCTGCAGTTTATTGGCAGATAGTTTTATTTAACAGTGAAGGCTCCAATTGGCAGGAGTTGGAGGCCCTGGAGGGTGCCTGATACTGACCAGCTGGGGGCACTCACTTTGTTATCAGAGGACTCTCATTGTTCTCTGTGGCATGTATTGGAGTGCCTGTCCAGTTACTCTTGAAATGACATGGCAGATATTGGAGGGCCATGAAAAAAACATAGGAGATTTTCTTGAGGCACATATTGGCATGCGTTGGAGGGTCTAGTAGGGTAAGGGTTAAACAAATTAAGCCTTCAATTTTTTGTGTGACTCAGGCTAAAGAAAACAACTGGAACATCCCCAATGTGCTCCATGGTCTCTGACTGTAACTGCTTTCGCTTGCTAGTGATCTGGTTGGTTCATGGATAACCATTTTTTTCCCCGGCATTTCAGATTTGGAGGGCATTTCATGTGGGGATTTTGATGGATTCAGGACATGAAGCCTAGCGGAACTGCAGGATTTTGATGGATTCAGGATACCTCCATATTGAGCAGTTGGGGGCCTTTGATGGATTCAGGATCTCAACAGATTTACTCCCGGCTAACTGGTAGATTCTGATGGACTCACCGGCCACCAAAATTTGCTTGCATAGCAAAATTGATGGATTTTGGTGGATTCAGGATACTTTCCAGTAAATATACCCAAGGGGTTAGAGTTAATGTCGATAATAATGAACAGCGCCAGTCTCCATGGAACACAAACCATCAGTGCAGAACCACCTCTAGATGAAATGATACATTTTGCCTGTTTGTAAAACAAGACGACAAATTTCTAGCAGACACTCGCAATGCCAGATCAATCACCGAGGCTCAGTGAGTAACACCAGCAAAGTACACTGGCGCACGCTCGAGCTGCGACTCCGTCTACAGTTTGTTGCCTCCGGCTAGTAATTTATATCAGTCCGAGATGAGTGATGGAGCGGTACATGACGGTCAGCCAGTCAAGTGTTTGGGTTGGGTGTGCGTATCAAAAACACAGGCGCGAACCTGCAGGAACCTTCTGTACACGTGTGTACCAGGTATGCATGACAGAGGGGCCTACCGGTAGTAACCACACAGATATAATACACAGTATCATGCCCAGGGCGAGCAAAAATCTCGGGCCTATCGGGACACAGGACAGCAAACATGGATGCATTTTTGAGTACCATATTTTTGAATACCATATTTTTGTGGTAAAATGCACAATTTTGATATACATGTACATGTTGTCGCTCTCATCTTCCATATTGTTTGCGTAACATGTAGGTGCACAAGAGATGGAATCTTTTCCCCCAATTTGTTTATTTCTTTGTTTATTTCTTTGTTTGTTTGTCTTTGAAACAAGTACTTACAAATGAAATTCATTACAAATTATATTTACAGAAAGGGCATACATGTACATTAAAACTTTTTACGATCTGAAAAGATCCAAACTGCTTGTGCAACCTTAGGACTTACAATGTACATGTGTAATAATAATGAAACTCAACAAAGACAAAGACTTCCCTTGAATTTCCACTGGAAATTATCTATGTGTGATATAAGCAAAAGTCTAATGAAAAATCTATTTATACTTTTATTCATAGCAGTACATACATCTTTGGGATTAAGAAAAACAAAAAGTGTTTGGAATAAAAGTGTCCATGGACAGCAAAACTGAAACTTTTGGTAAATGTAGTTTCAGGAATTAATGTTGAAATTTCACATCGTTGTACAACAGAGAACTACAGTTCCTTAACCACAAACAAACAGACAAAATCAATAAAGGACAACGAACCAAGGACTGGTTCCAAGAAGAAAAGTAACATTGAAACTTTTGGTAAATCTAGTTTTAGAAATGTATGTTGAAATCTCACATCGTTGTACCTGCCCAACAGAGATAACTGCAGTTCCTTAGTCAAAAACAAACAGACAAAGTCAATATTGAGGACAATGAACCAAGGACTGGTTCCAAGAAGAAAAAATAACATTGAAACCCGAAACAACTGGGACGCTACTTACGTTCATCACTGTAATCATCAACTAATATGATTTCCTCTATCAGCTCAGGAGGGCTTTTTTTTAGAACACTGAAATGAGAAAAGAAGACATTCCAAAAATCATTGAAAATTCCATGAAAATGGATGTTCTTTTTATTTATTTCATTAATAATCACAATTGAAACTGAGAATTGATAAAAAACTCTCTGTTCATGGAAAAAGGCAGATGCACTCGAAAATAACTGTGTAGCTCCATTACGATAAACTATTACAATAAAAATCTAAACACAGAAACCATCACAGTTTCAATATTAACACAAATTAATGCAACCTTAGGACAATGTTTATAAACCAGTTGTACATTGTATACACTGTATTTTAAGGGAAGATACAACATTTGCAAACATCAAAAAAACAAAATGATCAAATTATCACAAAAATACCGATTGTTGGGGAATGACAGTCTAAAGCATCCTGTTAAATTGTGGCTCCCGGTGCGCTGACATTTTCAAGAAAAATTGTATTTTTCCAACGCTTGTCTGCCGACCAGCGTTGGAAAAAAAATTTGTTTTTTTCAAAAACTGCCCCTAATTTTTCAGTTTAGTTATTCCGCATTTTCTTTGCAATTGATTACACACCTATGAAGAGGTACAAGCCAAGCCTTATTCTCTGACCTTACAATCCCAAAAGTCTACAAATTGCTCCGTTTCATCTTAAATGGGGTCAGGGAACCAGACTACAGAAACGTTATTAGTTTTCTTGGTTTTTCCAGCATCTACGAACCAAAAACGTTACACAAGTCAGTTTAACAATATTTTCTATAACAAACTAATCCTCCAACTCCATTTATTTCTGAAAATTGCAGCAAAAGCAAATGTTGTATGTTCCCTTTAATAACTACATTTGCTGGACTGACTATGTCATTTGTTTAAGCTCCTTAATGTTAGTGCTGGGGCAGAAACTGAAAGAGAAAATAAATGAGGTAACCGTACCAATCGATCTACTGTATACAATCTACCGGTACTTACAATCTAATGCCATTAAAAAAAATTCAAAAGAATTACTGAGAAAAAAAACCAATATCTTTCAGTCAATTTCATATTTTTCCCAAAAGCCCCTGCATATAGTATGAATCTTTGAAGCAACAATTTCTACAAAATTGAGGTTTACGGAAATTCCCAAAATGGCAATAATGCCACAAAGGGATCATTCAGTTTTTAATCTATACATACAAAGCCCCCCAAAAATCAGTGGCTTGAAAATCCCGAAGAGATACTGTGTGAGTCAGCTTTTGACATTTTCTAAATGTCAAACGGCATGTTCGTGTTTACTTTGCCACTAAATGGGCTCAATGACTGACAGAAACTTTTCAGAGACATTCTGCCATATCCATAATGTAATTACAAAATGGAAAGGGTGGCTAATTGAACATTTAAGTGCACAAACGTGTTTTCATGGATACACGTTTCAGTATTATTATATGTGTGTTTTTTTAGTTTTTTTAAAGTTTTTTTGAGGGCATTAAATAATAACTGCATGCCGCATGCCACATGTACATGTAATGCATGTACCGGTACTGATATCGTCACCGTTTTCAGGCGCTGCATGCTTTCAGTTCGCGAAAACAGCATAATCAATCACTTCGGTTTCATTAACTGACACGCGGGTCTCCGCACACTTCGTACACTGTCCCATAATAGAATAATTTTGCTTTTCATGAACTGAAACGCAAGCATGTGGTAGAAATATAATTCAGAGAAAAACACTTTAAAAGGTTTGACACGAACTTACTCCATCTGTACATTTGTGGGCTTACACAAACATTTAATGAAAAAAATCTTTTAACTGGTGAAATTAAGACAGGTTTCAGTTCGTGAAACCGAAAATGTTCCGAATTGGCATGTAGTACTTGGGAGTCAGTTCGTGAACACCAAAATTACATGGTTCTGTAACTTACGCGCCCAAGCCAGGCTCTCACACACCACCGAGTATCAGTTTGTGGTGTCGGTGACGATATAAACAGAATAGAGCATTAAATTCTGAAGAAGAAAAAAGCCTGCAAATGTGGAGTGGGTGACAGTTGAAGTGACCAATGTTTTAGATATTTGTAAAAAAAAAATCATGAAAGAAATGGTATGCAATATTTAAAATCCTGGTCCACAGCAATCACGGGTTAACAGCTTTTGATCTCTGAACGTGTTGACTTGGACACCTAAAGCAACCCCTTCGCAACTTCCTGGATCCACCACTGAAATTGGAAACTGCACCTGTCCGTCTTGAATGTTGCCCAGTACCGTACTCAAGGCACTGAAGGCAGTGACAGCAGGTCGAATCATCGTCAGTCCCCAAGTTCAAAAATGGCAGAAATCTTATTGACAAAATCGATTGGCAAATTTTCCTGCTAAGCAAAAATCAGCTGGGAACCAGTCACACGCAATATCAATTGCATAGGATTTTGCCTGGTTACTGTTTCTGCTAAGCAAATATTTTATGTGCTTAGAAGATTTCTGCGCTTAACCGCTCACTGATATTGCGCTCACTACTCAGACCTCACTCTCAAACCCAAAATACTTATAAATAAATATTTTTCAAGATTGCAATGGTCTTCAAAATCAATTCTATATTTGGCCAATGAAGTCCAGACTTGTGCAAAATTCAAACAGTGGGATACATTGAGAAATGTTTTGTGAAGCTTAATTCGGCGAACAACATTAGAAGCCATTTTGAGGTGGGACCACGTCTGCGCTCATGCCGCACGTTTTCTTAAACACGAGACGTGCGCGCAAGCCTCAGTACATTCAGCATGTACCAGTAGATTGCAATATGAGACAGGTTGGCACAATTTTCTGCTAGCAGACCTGTCTACGTTTCCACTTCTAAATGATAATTGAGTTTCAAGGCTACAATTTCTGGCTGTGTTGCCTAGGATCTGTGACAAGGACTGACAGCAACTATAACACTTGAGTTCCTTGAGATCCTTGAGATATCTGGCCAAAAAAAAAAGTATGCAAATCCAAGTACACAATATAAGTACACTTCTAAAACACGGTTGTGCTGTCTACGACAATTCAAAGCAAGATCAACATACATTGTCCTCAATGTAAAATGAGGAAATTGTTTTTGTTGTTCGGGAAATTGCTTGGTCTGCCACATGTTACTGGAGAGTAGAGACAGGTGAAATCAACACGGAACAGCTGACATGCATGACAATGTGGCCCTGGTACAGTCAACATGAAAAACAATGTTGGTGGGTTGGGGAGACAGTACATAATATGTGTAGCTGTCTGCAAAAAGGTTAAAGGGGCACTTACGAGAGAAAGAACCAATTTGAGCTTGAAAATGGGCTGACCAGAAAACAATACATGTGCTTGGAATTTGAGGGCATTTAAAAGTAGAACGTTAACATTTATACAACTATACATTGTAGCTCAGAAATTTGCTGACATTTCGGGGTACAGAATTTGGATCCTCAAGAATTGAGTCATTAGAAAGCTTGTCGTCATTCACGCCACAAACATTTCTTTCAAAACATTCTTTCTTGAAATAATTACAAGTAAACAGTTTACATTTGAAAAACATGACATTTTTGCAAAATCTGGCTGAGCGTCAGCTTTAACTTGTAGGGGCAAAGAGCCAAGCTACACAACCATCTCCCCTGTGGCATATCAATTTCAGGAACATGTAAACTCTGAGAACATTCAAAATTCATTTCCCATTAGAACATGCCCCTAGCTGGGGTTCATATATCACATTTTCATGACAACCCCCCCCCCCCCCACCACCTCCCCCCCCCCCTCCACATCATTCAATTGAAATGTGCATGACTTCAGTATCCTTTTTGAAGCAAATGCATGATTGAGCAACCAAAAACCATTGCAATGTATTAATTCTTTTAATTCTAAAAAAATCGAACTTGAGTTTGAGAATTTCTGGAATATAAAGTTATAGTGTGTGTGAATCTCCCATACCTTTCCCTCTCTCCAAAATATTCCTTGTGTGACACTAATATTTTGTGTGACATTTTACGACATTGTTGTTGTTATTTTTTTGGTAGGGGCAGATCTAGCTTTCAGTAAATGGGAGGGGGGGGGGGGGTGGGGGAGGGGGGTGCGGATGGGGCATGCCTCCAGGAAAATGTTGAAATCTATGATGCTTTTTCCTGCATTCTAAGGCAATTTAACAATAAATGTAGGGAAGTTAAGCCTTCTACTTATTATTTTTGGCCCCATTTTACTGGTATCATAACATTGGGGGGGGGGGGGGGAGTTTGCAACCCCAGTAGCACCTCTTCTAGATGCTGGTTGGATATTTATTTGTTTTGGTTTCTAATTTATTGTCAGGCCCTTCTGTTTAGTGGCGGCGCTGTGTGTCCCCAACCCTACATGTGTCCCCAATAAGGCCCACCAAAAAAGTCTCCGGTTTCTGGTATGCGCGCGCATCGCCGTAGCCATGCACTTCGGCAAAATGAAAAAGTTTTTTTTTTTCAATGAAAGATGATGTCTCAAAACCGCCAAACTCACTGGTTTGACTGGAATCCTGCTGCTGCACAATTTTAACATGTTTTTAGAGGGGGTTATGATCGAGAATAAGCTTTATGTGGCCTCTCTGGACTCCCATATATTTGCACTAAGTTTAGTCAGGCACCATTTGCAGTCATTAGCCGACATTTGAAGCAAACAATTCAGGTAAAAAAAGAAAAAAAAAGCCGCGTCGCCGCACCACTTCTTGGGCAAGCTCCATACCAGAAACCGGCGACTTTTTTTTGGAGGGGCCTAAACTAAGCTTTTTTTTTCTTTGACCACATGAATGTGGAGGCTCATGTCGCAAGGCAAGGGAATTCTGTAAAGGTGTTTTGAAACCAGAGGAAGCGGTATCAGACAAGGTATTCACAACAACCTACCGGTAGTGGAGACAATGATCACAAAACAAAGTCTTATTTTACCAGTTTCCTTCCTGGACAATTTCTGTACAGGAAAAACAATCTCATTGATTTCTTGTATAGTACTCGTTGATCTCCATTAGTAAGACTGGATAGAACACCCTGCCCTCCATCTTGTGCATGCACGCATAGTCATCGGTGAGGGTTTGAAAGTTTGAAATGCGTTCGTCACACTGCGGCACGCGCACGTCATGCATGCGCAGTCGCAAACGTTAAACCCGCACTGTATTACCAAGCTGTTTGTGCCCACGTTTTCCGAATCGTCACTGCGCGCAAGTATACGTGTGTCCTATTCGGTTTACTAATGGAGATCAATGATAGTACTACACTCCATTACACTGTACATATTCCTTGATGTATAATAGAGCGCTAGGGTGGTTTGGGGCGGTATAAGGAGTAACAGGTACCGGTAGGCATTTAAGGGGAGCACAGGGTCCGATAGATTCAACTCTAATATCGAAATCTGATTTGGTGTAAGCTGCCCACAGACGAAACACCCGTGAACGGCTGCAGATGGGAAAATTATAGCCAGACACTGAATACAACCAACCATTCACCCTGTTTGTTGAACAAATTTTATGCTCTAAGTGCTTTCTAAATACAGTTTTTGACAGCTGCGAATTGATTAACTAAGTCAGTTTTGTTCCTGCAGTTTTGTGTCTGACTCGCCCACTGCACTATAATCCATAGAGTGCCATCTCAACTTCCATGCAATCTTAGCAAAATTCTCGGTGACAGTTGTTTTTAGGCGATGAAACTTTGTGAGTGAATTGCAATCGGTTCGTTAGTGTGACGTCACTTCAATTTAAACCACGCCCACTGCACATTCAGCAGCATTGGAACCATTGGAACCGGATTTAGTGCAACGTTGTGTGTTTAGCCAATGAGCGCTAGTAATCAGTGGTGCGTGGGCATGTATGACGAAGTCACTTACGAACTGGAGAGACCAACAGATCAAGCCCTGCCCAGTGATGTTCTGGCCAATCACAGCTTTGATCAATGTCCGACAAAGTCCGACATGCGTACCTTTGCCTATGATGCGCGAGTCTGGAACATGCACTGCGCAAATTGAATTGGTTGTTAGATTCTTACCTGACAACTGTTCGTAATAACGTTGATCTAGCTTCATTGTGATACGTAATAATAACCGTGGTGGCTGGTAGGACATGGTGCCAGTCAATATTTCTGCATCTGTGTTGATATAAAACAATAAAAAACAGCTTTTTTTTAAAAAGGTTAAAGTTTATCTTGTCAGCAAATCAGGAGGGCTTCTGCATCAGAAGTGCAGATTTTGAATGAAAAGTGTAACAGTCCTTTAAAATTGAACTTTTCACTCAGCTTTTGAGGTACATGTACATGTACATTTGTATTACAACAGAAATTTAAAAGTTCTAAACATTTGTGATGCGATCAAGCTACATGAGTCGTTTGTCGACCCTGGTCAACAAAAAAATTATTACAGATTTGAAAATAACGCAATCACAGCATTAATGCTGTGAAAACTGCATTCTGATACCATCTTTAGTTTAAAAATTATGGAAGTCGGAGCACCAAGAGATGTGATGAAGTGATGTGAGGAAGTGGCCCTATTTTGGCCTTTATCTCGAAATAAAAATTCCTGACAAACAACTCATTTAGCTTGATCGCATCACATGTGTATCATCACTTTTGACTGACTACCACTGTACGACACACATGATGAAACATGAAGTGCATTTTGATATTTAACTGTTGATTGTTGAAATGATTATTTCAGATATCTTGCATCCATTGTGACGTGCCCCCGGGTACCGGTATTACGACAAGGCCCGATAAGCTTCTTAGATTTGCGTACGAGGGAAAATCTGAGCGGCAAGGGACCATTCTTTGGCCCTAAATTAGCAATGGCGTGCATCAAAATCACACTATAGTAATGATGCAATAACTATGCAAAGCTTGTTTTTTTCCCAACTGGCAAACGAAGATATTATATCTCGTTTACAGTGTGTAATCGATCAGACATAATCATGTTATTAAGACAGCTACAGGAAGAAAACAAGTTCAGAACAATGGTTTAAAAGTTGTTAAAGCCTAATCCAGGTATTTTGTAAGGAGCCTGCTGAATCAAAAGTGAAGCCTTCCGAATCAATTACAGTAGAATTCTGGATCTATTGTTCGAGAAAATGCAACAGAAAACTTTTGTTGTTGGTTTTTGTTGATATCAGCAGACATAACGGCCTTTCACACTATCCAAATTCTCGGTGTGTTGGACCCCAACACGGAGGTTTTGGGAACCCCTTTCAGACGAGCAGAGCATCTAGCACAGCTTCTGCACTGGCCCCGGTTCTCTACCAGTTCTTGGTAAAATCCAACCCTCAATCCTGGCCAAATCTCGCTGGGCCTCCAACCCCCCGGCCCCCGTTCAATGTTGTCTCTCATTGTGCGGTGTGTGCTCCATCAGCTGGAGAGAACAACATTGACCGGGGGGAGCAGGGGAGTGGGTGACCGTGGCAGGCCCAGGAAGTGTCCCAACCATTTTGGCCGGGATTGCTGGTCCAGGGTTGAGAGGCTCTAACCAGGTAGAAAATCCAAAATCTACAAACCAGGTACATGTACATAGGCCTATTGGTGTACTGGGTCAGTGTGAATGGTATGCCTTGCCTACCTGTGTTCATTGGGACCCGGTTACTCTTACCGAGGACCCTAGTTGATTTCAACATACGTAAACGAGACCATACAATGTAGTGTGGAAAGGCTGTAAGGGTTCATAGCCAAATGCTAAAGAATGTGCAGATGATAATCCTATGTCAATTTATATGAATCCCTATTATGCTCTGATTCCAATTTGTAATGTGGCTGCGAGGGCTTAACTGCCCACAGATTACAACTGCAAGACCATAACAGAGCAAAAAGTACATTGTTTACTGTGATTAATAAATAAGCAACAACAAAAAATACATTGAAAAATAAAGTTAATTAGGTTTGTTTTAAAGTGCTAATTTAAAAACCCACATTGGTAATTTAGGCACAAAACACATGGGAACGCAACCACTGCCACCACAACAAAACATTATGTACAATGTATATGAAGTAAAATATTCACAATTCACGATTCAATCTGACAGTTGATTTTGAATTCTTGTGCAATACGGCATTACACTGCTTCTAAATCTATTGGTTAAACATCACATTTCAAATTCCAAGAAGAGTTGGACCAAAGCTCAGGCCAAAATCAAACTTTTCCACAGAACAAGGGAAACTTTGTGGTCGCGAGTTGCACTCGTAACATCCCATCACCCCTATCACCTTGCAGGCACAAAATAACAAGTGGACGCTTTCAAATATCAAAACAAATCCTTGGTATCTAGAGGGAGAGAGAGCAGTGTTCTTTGCCTTTTAAAAAAAAAAGGCCTCGCAATCGATGCAAATCCTCATATGAAATATTAATTCGGATATACGGTAGCTCAGAGAGAAATCTACACCCACGTACTCCCTGAAGAATCAAAACAAGTTTTTTTGAAATCAGCTTTAAGAGATCGGTAGGCAAAGTGCCATTCAGCGGCAACCGTTTTCTCTGTCAATTATTCCCAACACATCAAGCGTGTGGTTGACAGATACTGAGTGCTCCAAATTTTTTTTGTTCAAATTTCGTTGCAATGGTAATGCGGCTTTTTGAATAAAGTTACGTTCGGCAAACTTTTTTTTGGTCTCAATACCAATGACTACTGGTCTACCAATGTCTACCATTCGTTGATCTGCTAACCACACAATTCCTCATTTATGCCAATCATTCTGTGCTAGTCAAACACATTTGCAAACAAAACATCTGTGCTAATCCTGTAAGCTTGGAATCCTTATAGTTAATACAGGATGTACGCATGCGCATAAGCCAAACTTCCTCGCTAACCCGTGAAATATGCTAACTGTAAGCACGGACGGTAAGCAGAGTCATGAAGTGTGGTTCCGCCTCAGAAATTTCGGTTGTCGAATTAGTTTATAGTGTGAGTGTTTGAAATACATAAATGTGTAGCTTTTTTGTATCTTTGCTGGTTTATTTTTTTTTCAGCAAAAGAACTAATGACGACATCCTCATTTAATAATATTCTCTTCTCATTCCAACGGAATGTCAGAAAGCCAAAGTTTTATTTCCTTTCCATTAAAAAAACAACATGTGCTCCACTTTGTCTGACTTAGGGTAACTTTCATTTTAACAAAACGTTTCTTCAAATATTATCAAGCCATACATGGGGACGTTGGTACCGGTATGCATGTACAAGGGAAGGAAATATAAACTAGACTACAAAGATACTTTCTGAAACTCAGCCACAGATCACATTCGGAAATGTAAACTTGATGATTGTAAAAATAATGGAAACACAAACCTTCAGCTGGCCCAATTTCACGACGCTGCTAAGCACAAAAATTTGCTTAGCACAAAAAAGTCTGGCTTATATAAGCAGGTTACCAGCCAAAACTCCATGTGATTTTCATGCTAAGCAAACAACAGCTGAATACTAATCACAAGCAATATACATCACGTCCAGAGTTTTGGCTGGTAACTTGCTTTTATACGCCAGACTTTTTTGTGCTAAGCAAATTTTTGTGCTTGGCAGCGCCGTGAAATTTGGCCTGGCCACATGGGAGAATATTTCGGTTTCACTTGTGAGCAGGAAACCTCAAAAAGTTTCTATTGGAAAATACATCTAGCATCAAGTAACACGACTGAGCAATTGATACAACTGCATGTACCCACCGCTCCAAAACTTTACAACCATATCTCGAACAGATGGTGATGAAATATTTCTAATGCAACTATCTGCCCACCGCTGCGGATAATTTGGAATGTCTGTTTGAGATGAAATTTCGACGACAGGTTGGTAGGATTTCAGAATAGGCACTATCAATGTGAAAGGTTCAGACATTCCATCCTGAAACCAGAGAGATGGCGGGCATTCTGAGACGGAAAGAGTCAGGAACATATGTTTCTACCATGTGCAATACAAATGTTTATTTGACAACTTGCTCGCTGTCACATCTATTTAGGTCTGGTTCATTTCAGTTTATTTTTACATTTGGTGGTTTTTGTTTGGAATGGATTATTAATTGGTATATATGACGTGGTATGTCAAAACCAGGCAGAATTGAGCAGAGCTACGAATGGAGAAACAGCTGCAAAATGACATGGGGGAGGTTTCAGTGATTAACATTTTCTGTAAAATGTTTCAAACTGAAATTTTATCTGCAAAATATTTTTAAAAACACTTTTAGAGAGGCATGTCATTTCACAAAATGACACTTTGTTCAAGATTTTGTTCGTTAACGACGCAAAATTAGCCCGACATTTGGGATAGTCCGTTTTCAAAATTTAATAACTTTGCTTTGGAATATCCAATTTAAAAAAACACCCAGCGTTTGAAAGAGCAAATTTTATATTTAACCAATATTGCAATAACTGAAAATTGACTTCTTGCCCAAAAGTGCCTGATTTTGACATACCGTGTCACATACATGATTTTCAATTATTTTACAGCAATTGCTTGTAATACAATTTTTTTGGTAACATCAGAAAAACAATTTTCAACTTGTTTTTTAAATAATGACAGTCACAACATCTTTGTTATGAAAGTGTTTATTAGAAAGCAAGAATTAAAAATGAAATCTAACCTATTCGTTCCCTAGGGTCATTTCTCTGTTATCCAATTGTGATCTAGATAAACTGCGGAGCAATACCGCTTAACTTGACATATTCATCAAATCTTTGAAGTCGTCTTGACAGGGCCAAGCCTCTGGCTCCATGAAAAATGAAATTGATATTTCTTGCCCAAAGAAGATTAGGTACACAATTGCCTTACCGATATCTCTTTCATAACATTTCCCCGCATCCGATCTGTCTCTGGAGAAATTTCTGCCTCGGGTGACGAATTTATGAACGTTGATTGGCAGCTTTGCGGCAGAAATAATCGTCTTGTTTTCTGTTGCTGGCTATTGTGCGGTTTGTGAGGCCCCCAGATACACTGGAGAACATGTGTGGCAATAATTGAAATAGCTGAAATAAGTTCAGTCAAACAATTCTGCCTAAGTCCAGGACAAGTTCGTGTTTCTTGAGGCAAGACTTGGGCCTCATTGTTCAGCAAGTGTTGGGCCTCATTGTACAGCAATTCTCTAATGGTTAAGGATTAAGACTCATCAGATAATCAAAAGCTCCTAAGCCT